TGTAAATTATTATTGGTTCGAATTCGGAGAGTAATCCAAATGACGTTCGCAAAAATATAATTTACAGAAAATATTCAATCATGTGTTAATAGCCAATCCTGCTATAACAATTGTTGTTTTACAATAATATCTCGACCTCAACTCATCTTGTATGTAATCCATATATTTAATTCCGATTACAGGTCAGAGTAGTGCGGCGAATAATTGGGCCAAAGGATTTTATACGGAAGGGTCTGAACTTCTAGAAGCAGGGATGGACTGCATACGAAAACTGGCGGAATTTTGTGATTGTGTGCAAGGTTTTCAAGTGGCTCATTCTTTAGGAGGAGGGACAGGCTCTGGCCTCGGATCGCTTTTAATGTCAAAAATTCGCGAAGAATATCCGGATAGACTACTGAGTAGTTTTTGTGTGCTGCCCTCGCCAAGAGTGTCTGAGACAGTCACTGAGCCATATAATGCTACGCTAAGCTTTCATCATCTTGTGGACATTGCAGATGCAGCGATTTGTATTGATAACGAGGCTTTGTACCATATCTGTTCGAATGTTTTAAAACTGAAGACGCCTACTTACAGTGAACTAAACAAACTAGTGGCCACGACCATGGCAGGAGTCACGACCTCGCTGCGCTTTCCTGGTCAGGTAATGATCAATAAGCTAAATTAAATCTGTAACAATAAATGATAACACGTTCATTTTGAAACACAGAATATTCTTTTTCCAAAAAAGTACCCATTGTTTCTTACAACTTAGTTCGAAAGTCAAAACGTATCAAGTAGAAATAGAAAACAATATAATAAATGTAAACAAAACGAAACCAGACGGGAAAAATGAGTTCTTCAGTTATCTCAGTGTCCGCTTTCGATATTGCAGATATTTCATTTTCTCTACGCGAATAATTCGGTGATCAACTAAGCGTGGTCGATGTGTCATTTTCAAATATTAGTTCTTATGCGCACCGTACACAGGGGCCAAAAATATCAGCCCTTAAGGGTGGGGGAGGGGGAGAGGGTGGCCATTTGTAGAGCTATGACTGTAAACAATTTTTTCCTCGCAATTGTCAGATTAAAATAACTAAATCAAACTTTGGGTACTTACGGACAACGTGCTCTCCACAGCTAAACGCAGACCTTAGAAAACTCGCAGTAAATATGGTTCCGTTTCCAAGACTTCATTTCTTCATTCCCGCCCACGCACCACTCATCAGCCGATACTCTCAAAGCTACAGATCATACGGCATCTCGGAACTTACTAGTAACATGTTCGGACCTCAAAACATGATGGTAGCCTGTGATCCGCGCCAGGGAAGGTACCTTACCGCTGCAGCTATGTTCAGAGGCCAGCTCGCTATGAGGGACGTAGAGGAAACCATCTCCGCAATGCAAAACGCATATTCGACTTCATTTGTCGATTGGATTCCGAATAACATGAAAACAGCTGTGTGTAATGTACCGCCCAAAGGACAAAAAACCTCCGCCACCTTTCTTTATAACAGTACCGCCATACAGGAAGCATTCAAAAGATTTACTGACCAGTTTTCTGCCATGTTCAGAAGGAGAGCTTTCCTCCACTGGTACACGACGGAAGGCATGGATATCATGGAGTTCACCGAGGTGATTTTTTTATCTTTGCCTTGTTATTTTCTTTGAAAACCAGCCACTTTTTCGAGCATATTCCGTTTTTTGAGCTTAGAACTAACTAGTGGAATATTACTTTCAGTGGTTTTAAAGTCAACTCCCACCATGACCTGATCACAACGCGGCCAGTTATCTTTCTGCAGAATGTTAGTAGTACCGCAATTTAAAAGTAAGATGGCAATTTTCCGAAACCTAGGACCTCTTGGCACAATAACCTAAAAAGTTGTTTTCACATTGCCGTTTTTACATCCAAGATGGAAATATAAATTGGTTTTAAATTCAAGCAGCAAGAATATCAGGAAAAGAAACAAACTGAACTAGCTTTTAAGCAAAGAACCGCTCAAATTCTTAAGTTTTTAATTGTAAAATATAACTTTCATGGAAGACTAATTGGTTAACTGGTTGCCAGGCTGTTGCTAAAGCTAACAAACTGACCTCAGGCACTGTTTTAGTCACGTTAAAATATCAAACTTTATTTCATGGTCTTTCATTAATGGTGCTTCATTCAAAGTCTTGATAAATTTATTGTGAAGGCTACTTTAAACTGGATTAGAGTAAATCCTATCAGCCGTGCGCATGTGAATACAACACCAACAGGAAACGAGCGTTCACTGGAACGCGTTAGAACAGACTCTAAATTATGCCACGAATTTTTTTTTCGAGAAGTATTTGACAATTTCTTACTGTACAACTTTTACCTCGTGAACGTGAAGTTGGGAATCCTTCTGCGATGTAGGGCTACACTGTTAACATCATGAATTCGCGAACGTGACTTTGAGCGCGATGCTCAACGAGTTTTTTTTGACATTTTCGAAGTTTCTGATGAGTCTCTTGGCCGAAACCAAACGCCGCGCACTACCAACCACGAAGTATTTTTCATTTTGAAGTATTTGACAACGCTTTGTGAAAGAAATTTTGTTTGTTTCCGAGCAAATTAAGTACGAAAGCTTTGAAAGAAAAATCGCCGTGGCCCGTTGGCGAATTGTCAGCTCAGAAAAGAATACAAACGAATACATTTTTGTGACATCGACAAAAATGCGTGAAAATTCGCACTAGTTAAAATTCAATTCAGCCGAGTTAGACAAAGGTTTACATCAGACCAACACAATAAAAGGCGTTCCGAATTTCTGACTCTCGTTACAAAGTAAAATTTAGTTTTTAAAGAATAACGACATCCTGAATGATAGACAAACTGACCTTTCTCCATTCATAACACTTTTGAGCATGGCCATCGCTTCCCGACTTCGTTCCTGAATTCCAGTTCCTTATTAAACTTTCTTCTCAAAATACGACTGATCAAGCGATTGCACGCACAATTAGCAATTGACAAGCCGAGAACAATGAGATGAGGCAAAAGTAAAGGAAGGCAGTGTCGAAGCTCAAAGGCTGACGTGCTCGTTCCTGAATAACATGAGTTTGCTTGAGCAACAAAGCTATGCAACAGATTACGAAACAAAGAAACCAAAATTCCCGCCATGGCGCGCGCTGCCATGTGGATAAGCTGCGCCCTCTCATTGGTTATTTGCGTGGTGTGTAAGAGCTTCACCCCGATTGGTTAGATTTATTAATGTCGATGTTCGCGGATAAAGAAATAATTACGACAACAACCAGGAAGGAAGTATACGTGGGATGAAACATGTACGGAGCAAAAAATAGAAAAGGAGCCGCATAGATGTAAACTATTGAAAAAAATTTTGCTCTCAATTGAGCATTGGATAAAAATGAATTTGTGTACAGAGTACACCTCACAAGGTGGCATTTTGGAGGGGAATTTTTCTTCGCTTTCCAGGCATGCATCGGTTGTTAGAACAACCAACACAAACTTTTACTCGTTCCTTTCCTCAGCATTATAATAAATGGTCAGGCAACAGTCTCCCCTGTCTTTCTTCCAGGTTGGGCATTTAGATGTTTTGGAAGGGTATGAACCACACCGATGTGATAAAGTCTAAATTTGAGCTCAGGTTTTAATGATTTTCAATTCGCAGGCTGACTCCAACATGAACGATCTTATCGCCGAGTATCAACAGTATGAGGAAGCTGGACCAGAGGACATCATATACGATGACGGCGAATATGAAGAGCTAACAGATTTCCCAAGAGACTCACCCAATAATATATAAATGAAAAGCAAAAGATTTACTTTGAAGTACTATTATGTTCATCTATTTACTTACTTTAACTCTTTAACTTTATCATCATGCAACTGAATGATTTGTGAGAGTTGCTATAACAAGTATATATGCTTATAGTTCCAAGATTAGCTTGATTCTTTATTAAAGAATATTAGGTTCTCAACAAGTATTTTCCAGCTAACTTTGATGAGAGTGAGTGAGGTACCTGCATAAGTTGAGTTGAGGCTCTACTCAAGATGTTTTTATGATTACAGTTTATTAAATTATTACAACAAATACTTTCAGTTTTACTGGTGAAACAATCAGTTTTTTGTTTGAGTTAATAATACAACACAGAACATTTTACAAAGTGTCTAAGTCAAGGGATATTTTCATTTATTCATTGAAACAGGTCTTAAAGTAAATGTATTTTCTATTTCATTTAAATTGGTGAGTTTTTTTTTTATGTTTGATTACTCCATTAAGGGCTATGCTTATTTTTGAATGTAAATAATATAGCAATTCATTTTGCAATTTAAGTCAATTAAATTAAGCTGATTTACTTGACTTATGTCAGATTAGGATTTGAAGTAAATTTCTTTGTGAACAATTAAAACTACTTATGTAAGGAATTAATCCTTCAAGAATTTTCAGTTAAAATTGAAATAAGTTTACTCAGGATTATTTCAAAATTAAGGTATCCTGAAGACGTATTTTTTCCAAACTGATATTAGAAAGGTGTTCCTCTCTTGATCAACAAAGCCAGAAACCCCATTCTTAGTCAAACATAACCATATATTTAAATAATGAGGTATTAAATCAATGACGTTACTTCAACATTGCAAGATAAATAGGTAAAGGGGGATCTTTCTGAAATTTTAAAGAGATTAAAAATATTGAATTATTTATAAATATACTTGATTATTTAACTTACAAAAGGGCTGAAAATAAAGCTTAACCCCAAAAGATCTTGGATATAAGATTTTGGTTTTTACCTTGTTTCATACTGCCTTTTACTCATTTACCCCACACACAGAAACAGAGGCAGCCTTTCTGGCATTGACACTGAAGAGCCATAATAACACCACAATACTCTGAAGGGGACCATTTTTTAAACATAACTTTCAATAACTAAAACCATACATTTCCCAAAACATGGTGGTCCCTTCCTAAAAAAAAGGGGCATTGCATGTGTCTCTCCAGATTATGCCTGCAATCAAGCAATCACTTTCTACCCATCCATCAAACAAACAATCAAACCACACATTTTTTAATATATTCTTGGTAAGGGCAGAAGCATTACATGGCTCAACCATTATTTGAAATAAAATCTTAAATACACATTTTAAAAACAAATGAATCCACAAAACTGGCCATCAAGCAAATACATGTAACTGCTATTAATACCCATTAAGCCAGTAAAGTGCTATTTGGCAATTATATTGAAAATAGCACAAAATGCTTTTAAACCTCAACACCCAGGCACCAGACTATTGTAACTCTCAAACTATTCCATTACATGAAAACTGAAACTTCTTAATTGCCTTAATAATTCAAAGATTTTTCTCAAGTATTAAAATGAAGTAATGGTTTTGGCTTGATGCCTTACAAACAACTTGGACCCTGTCTTTGGGAAATAAGGCCACGTCATTCAAACATAATCAGGAAAAACAAATAAGTAAATTGCATACAATATATATACATATATACACACACACACCCAAGATAATAAGTTGTCATTGAAACATCATGATGATAACATAGTACAAATATTATCCAGAGATATGACTCTGAAAATATGTCAAAAGCATCTTTTATTTACAAGCAAATACATTTACCTTATGCTTAATCTTTTCTAAAGTGCTCTTAATAACTATCACACTGTTCTATGAGATGCAAAGTATTTTAAACCCTCACTTGTGATGGTATAAATGTCTTCATGGTAGCAAAAATTTAGAAATGGTTTTTAGGTTTGTTATGTGTCATTATGTAATAGTGACCTACCAATGCAGAGTTGTTGGTCATTAACACTTAGTAGCTACAAAAAAGTTTACCAATTCATAACTTGCCTGTAAATTTATAGTTAGGAACATTTGTGAACACTTCAAACACCTTTGGTAAAGAAGACAACCTAGACTCAAGGCAAATGAAGTTTTCTTATTACCACCTCTAGAGTGCCACCACTTTCATGCATTATCCACTTAATTTCTCAGTAAAGTCTCAAGCAGAAGTGAAGAACTGAGCCATTAAGTTAGCAAACCCAAGCAAAACAATAATAGAATGGAATCCAGCACTCAGCCAAGACAGCTTTCCTTTTTGCTTCTGTATCACTATGTACACAATACAGGGTAGTGCATAATCATAGGCCACTCCACTTAATGATCCCGCATACCTGTAAATGGGATAAAATAACAATAATATAAAACAAAATGAAAAGGTCCTCCATGAAAATTTCTAAAATACCATATATCACATGCTCACATGACAGTTAGGTTGTCCATTAGTTACCTGATAAAGTCACCAACATGTGGGTAGACCACAGCAAATAATACACAGGTCCCAATCAGTACAAAGTTTAGGATAAACACATGTAGATAGCTGTGTAAAAGAATATCAGCTCAATTAAAACAGAAGAAGTTACCTTAGTAGAACACATGCAATATTGCTTAGGTATGAAAAATTGCACTGGATACTAAAAAAAGTATATTGCTACACTACAAAAACTATTTTGCAGCCTGTTACCTGAGTACACGCAGGGCAGAAGATCTAGAAACAAACTCACCTGGGATAGGTTTTTTTGAAGAAATAGAACATGAACTGCACACGTATGACATACATGGCCAGAGGAAACACGGTGGTAAGTTGAAACAGAAGAAAGAGCCTAGCTATAAATGTCATAACGTCTGCAGCTGGAAAGTTATCAAGAAGAACCTAAAAATTGATTGAGGTAATTAGAAACAATTTTAATAAATTGTCCTTTCATTCAGTCTCAGGCTAATTGCCCAGTTACCTTTTGCTTTGATAGCTGCATACTCTCTTAAAATCAGACACTAAAGATTTACAAAAGTGCAAAGGAATTGTTTAGGGTGCATCCACTACAAGGGCACATAACTTGTAGGGATATATTTTAGTAAATCTGTACATCTCTAAATACAGTCATGCACAACTTTTGGTAGGATATATTACCTGTTGAATACAATCTTTTTCTCTAGGAAAAGAAATGAAGAACAGCACTCCAACAAGTGTATATGTAAATGCTACAAGACAGAAAGCTACACTGAGGTCTCGTTCCTGAAATGAAAGAAGAGAAAAGAGTAACTCTTACATCAGTATGTTATTGTTCTTGATACTGTTCTCCATACATTCCCCAGGGCACTGACAAGGAGAATTTGTTTAAAAATTTAAGAGCTTCTTTAACTGGTGATCATTTCCTTTACTCTCATAACTTTAAGGTGTGATTCAGGGGTGATGTTATGAGGAAGCATTAGAAACTAGTTACCCCTAGGAGTCAGAAACGTCAATTTAAAATAATTCATTAACACTATTGTATTGCATTTAATTAATACTATTTTATTATAGTTGGACAAAACTAAATAAATAAACACTTGAGAGTAACCTTCAAAAATATGGATCACTTACGTTATTTTTAGGGTTCTCCTGGTTCCTCATTATTGATAGAATACAGTTGTGAATTAAGTAGGCCAGAGTAAGTAAACCTGTTAGGGCAGGAAAACTAGCCTTGAACACTACAACAGAAGAAATGGGAGACATGTTAGTATAAAAATATCCCATATAACTACAAATAATGATAGACATTACTTGTTTATGATGAACTATTGCCAATCTTGGACACATACTCCCAAACAAAATTAAGGTAAAAAATATAAAGCTAAGAAAATAACAAACAAACTGCTGCTTTACAGTTTTAAAAAAATGTTACACAGAAATCTTCTTTCTACTTAACCCTTACACCCTAAGAGTGACTACCATGTTATTTCTCCTTACAGTAACACCACTTAATCAAACATTAAAGTCATGACAATAGAGAAAAAGATCATCAACTACGGAAGGACCTCTTTATAATTTAACAAATTCTCCTTGTCTGCACCCTAGGAAATGTATTGGGAACAGTATGGAGAATATGCAAAGTGATGTTAGGACGTAAAGGATTGAGACCATCCTTCTAAGCTTGGACTAGGATTTGTGTAATGTTATTATTCAATAACATTTCTTAATTGGTCATCTATCTACTATTCTGTAAACCTAAATTATATCTTACTAAGTGATTTTTATTTTCTTGCTCTAACTCAAGTACCAGTATCTTTTACAGGTGTTATTTAAACTTTTTTTAATCAGCACTAGCTTTAAGATCTTACTTGGTATTTTGTTAAAGTCCAGGTTGACTCCCCATATGCTGGCTTTGATAATAGTGAAGATGATAATGTAGATGGCTGACACGGTTCCTGTGTTGAGAAAAGTATAAAGGTAACTAGATACAGCCCATTTAAGAATTGCATTCTATCAGATGCAGTCCAAATGTTTAAGCCAACTGAAGTCAAGCTTAAAAGTAAATGCTACTCCCGTAGTTGTATGGAGACATGTTGGCTCTATACTATTCTTTTTATGCCAATTCTTTTTCAAATTTCTCTTTTGGCACCAACCCAACCTCTTGAAATGTTCTTGACAAGTGACTTTTGAGATTTCCAGCTGTGGTTGGCATGAGACTACATAAACAACATAAATATCATTTTGCATGAATAAATAGTTAGTTTTGGGCAGTGGGCCCACAGGTTGTAACTCATTGCAATTAATCATCATGTTTACTCCTGTTTCTTTCATCAGTGACTGTTATTTCAAAGGCAAAAGTCTCTTTGTCATTACTGTACTACAGATTTTATGACACAAGAGCTGGTAAGTACATTATAAAATTCCCTGTCTGTTACCTATTATATAAATTGACTGAGCTTGAAGAGAAAAAAGAGAGAGAGAGATTACAAAAAAATATTGAGGACATAGAAAAAGATATACTAAACAACACTGATCACAGAAACTTAATATTACCTTACCTAAAGAATTAAACTTTGTGAAAAAAGTTGGTGACCTGACACTGCACAGTGGAAAGAAGACAGCAATCAACAAGTATGGTACGGTGTGTTGAACATGCCAAAATGAATTTTCATCCTGAATAACTGAGCTATTTGAAGAAGTTACCCCTGCACTGTAGCCACCTGGGCAAAGCACTGAAAAAAAGTGTGTGGATAACATGAGCATAGAGCTCAACAAAGTATTTATATAAAGTATTTAAAGTGTTTACCGAAAGTGTTTCTAACAGGTAGATGGATAAAGCAGATGAAAATGAAGAAAAATTCAAAATGAACTCATGAACAATCATGCCACAAGTAAATTTGTTGGGCAAATAGCACATAAAAAATAATACTCTATGGACATAGACTTTTTGCTACCTTCCAAAGTGGTTGAAGAGTTGATCACTCGTGCAACTGAAAATATGTTTTCTAAATGGGAGGAAAGAAAAACTATTTGAATAAACAGTTGTTACAGTTAGAAGGTGTCAATTTTATACTCATAAACAGGTTTGTTTAACATTTCAATTTAGTCATAAGTCATGTACCATACTTATAAAATACCTTACCTTGGATGTATTTTCCAGAGTTGAAGAGAAAGTTGCTCATTAAAACCCAAAATACAATGACTGCACTGACGAGAGGTGCCACTGAAAACAATACTGCAATGAGCTCTCCAGGTTTACCAAGATACTCTCTACATAAAGCAGAAAATTCCACAACATCTCCATGCTCCACTAAAGAGACAAAAGAGGTAATTTAATTGATAAGTTCCTTAGTACTAGAGTTGAACTTCAAATTTGGCATTATCAAAAGTAGATACATTATTTTATATTAAAATAATTGGGATAGACTTTTGTCAGCTATAACCTTACAACATTAAATGTCAATGAAATTAATATAATTTTGTCAACAATTAAAAGAGTAGTAAAGCAGAATATCAAAATGCATAGTCTGTCACATTTCAATGCCTAACTCCCACAAGTGATTAACAAATTACTTCTCCCTATAATATCCAGACATCACCCACCAAACTCATTATGAGAATACTCAAAATTATCAGGTAGAATTAATCTCACACCAAATTCTCCCAACTAATTTACAAGGAAATGTGTATCAGCTACAAGGGAAAATTAATAATCAGATCACAATATTTAATAGGATAAGAGGCTCAATTACACAATACCTTTCTCTTGTGAACACTTTATTATCAAGTAGCAGGTGTAAAAAATAATTCCAGCCATTACTATCACAAGAATGGTACCCAGAACAAATCCAGCCTGAAAAAAATAGACAGAAATTCAGCTTAAATATTAAGTAGCTTTCAGGTCAATGAAACAGAGTAAACAATTAACTTTGGATAACAATGATTTCATGATTATAGTAAAGTTACTGTTAGTAGTAAATTATCCAGGAATAGAGGCGCAACATAGCTGTAAACCTGATTGATAGCCCATGGCATGCTCAACAGTGATGTGCCCATCATCGTGTTCCAAATGGAAAAGCTGGGAAATAAATACATTTATTGAAATTCAAATCATACAAAGGTGAGTTCTGCCAGAGAAGTGCAGAAATTGAGTGCAGATAAATGTAAATTTCAGCATTGTAATCATCAGTTTCAAAATACCACACTCACCTCAAAAGCAACATTAGAAATTCTAAAGCATAGTTAAATAGAGACTAAGGGGCACAAAACCAGTTTTCCTTAGTGAAACAGGGCTTAAACCAAAAAAACTTTTAGTAGAAGAAATACATACATTGTTTACAACAGGACAATTAGGCAGTTATCATTATTAGTTAGGTTAGAGGTAGTTCATTATATAGACTAGGTGAAGTATTTAGTCATAACCCATTCACAACAAAGCTTTAAATTCACAAAAGCTGTTTTGTTTAACAGGTTTGAAATCGTTTTCTTCATAGCAGCTGCTTAAGGCCATGTTTGTCAACTTCAAATTTAGCACATGAAAATAAAAGTTAGTGGCCAGTAAACCTTAGAGAAAACTTAGTTTTTTCAGTTCCCTACTTTTGATTTCCATTTAGGTAACCCTTCACTCTCAAGATCCTCTAGCTGATTCTCCTTACTGTCTGCCATACAATTCTTGTGATGTTATTTTGAAGAATTTGGTATATTTTTCTCTATTCCCATCACTTGTCTGTTTTATATTGTATTGATATTGTAAGAAGAAATTCTGTCTTGGTCACTCATGTGAGAGTTAAAGGGTTAAACCCAGTTTAACTAAACATGTTTTGCTAGTGTGAATGGGGTATTAGTCTTACATTGTGACAAGGCTGCTTTGTTTCTCATTCCTCTCTTTTGTGACAACAGACTGAGATGGAAGCAGGTGACTTGGAATTATCTATAAAAGGGGAAAAGCACAAACTTATGAAGTTTACCTAAGGAGTTAAAATAATACACTAGACAGACTAGTTTTGAAGCCTTACAAGCATGCATGGTGAAATTTCCATAAATAATGATTTACTTACCACATTGTGATTAGATAAGCGAGAGATGTATCTATAACGATTGAACTTGGCTGCCAAGTCCCAATACTCCAAGGACGACACAATTGCTTTCTTGAAAGAATTAAGATTGAAGGGTTTCCTTGTTTGAGTATAATTTCCTGTTGTGATGCCATTTTGGTTTCTTTTACTAAAGAGTAATAAAATAAAAACAAAACCAATTCAAACGAAGACAATGCTTTACTCTAACTTGCTCCAGTTCAGAAGTCTACGTTCCATGGACCAAGTGTTTAAAATCCGTATTGAAAATCCAGTTTGCACCTAGTCCATTGTACCACTCAATGTAAAATCAAAAGAAAATCGAGCGTGCTTATCATGTGAGAAAAAAAAGGATTTGATAAAGCTAAATAGACTTTGAGATCACGGTAACGTACCTCCTCAATTACAAGCTATCCACTACCTTGAGCTTTCAAAATCCATTGCGGCATGTGAACAGTTCGTGTCGGCTGCTTCGCCAACATGAATGAATGACCTTTCATTTTATGACGATTTCTGATAAATTACTCTTGCTCTCCAGTTATCATTCTCAAAGTAACATAAAATCAACTTGAAGCCAGATTAATTTGGTAAATTGTGGTCCCTCGTAGAACAACTGAGAGATAAACAACTTGTGTGTGCCATGTTATGGTTTGCATTAAATGAGTACTACACGTAAACTGCCCCAAATAGTCCATGGTATTTCCAAAATTGCCGTTTACTTTAAACTGTTGTAAAGTTGTGCAAAAAGGCCACAAATTATCATTTTTGACAAGGCTTTTTACTTGTACCATGAGCTCAGTTTAGGGGGCTCTGTATTTTTGGTGTTAGATTAATCTCCCGCGGAAACGATCTTACACCCACATGCTCTGCAGGTGCATCGAAGGACTAAAATACTCCAAGTGAGTTTTTTCCCGCGCACCAAAGTATAAACAGAGATGCCTACACTCCCATCAAATTCAAACTGTCTGGAAATGCTATCATTACCTATTTCTGCAAAGTCATACTTCCGTTGGATTTAACCGTCAAGATTCGATTATGGCGTAATTCCGCTGGTTTATTTCATTACTGCGAAGATTGCTTTCAAATTCACTCCGCTAGTTTTAATAGCTGAGAAATTTACGGCACTGCACAAAGTAGAGTGTCAACTGCGAAAATTTGCATAAAGCTGACAACGTTATAGAAATTGCACACCCCTCACGACAAGGACTCTACCTTGAATTAGCTGGAAAATTTGACTTGTCTCCAGAATTGCTTGAATCGCCCAGTTGAACCGAGATTAAAGGAGATTTTTCGTCTATGATCGCCACTCCCACTTCACTTAAAGAGTTTGGTCCTTTTTCATCAGCCATGATATGATTCAAAATTCTCAGTCGGGTGAACTGATGCTGAGTTGTGCTTTGTTTAAATATTTTTCCTTTTGGAGGAACAAGGCAGCTTTTTGTATGAAGGCTTATATCGGGTCTTGTTCGAGGGGTACTGTAAATATCAACACAGGAGCGTACAAGCGTTATACCCGTCTTGACCAGTCACCACCGAGTCACGAGCTTTTTAAAACGTCTCTTTTAAAACATGCAGTTAATAGAAGACACAAGATCCAGAGGCGGGAACGTGGTTTACCCGCAGTGATGTGATGGAACTCGGAACTGTAACAGAATACGACCAAACAAAGAACAGGATCGATTTTTGGAGAGTTGCTCCTTGAATTTTACTTATTACTATTATTACTTATTATTACTAATGAAGGAGCGTTTTACGAAGATCGTTATCGTAAATTTCATCCTCTTTAAGAACCCAAGCAAAACACTTTGTTCTCTGACAGAAGAAACATTTTCCCGTGAGTGATATAAGTCAGTCAGGCTACGTTGTTTAACACCAAATTACATCATGTGTCAGGAGCATCTAAAGGACAAGTTGAGACGAGTAAAGTGCACAACATGCACTTAATAAAACTGTTCACAAGTGTGGTGCCCGTTTGCAGGCTGTCTGGTAACAAATAAAGGTCAGAGGTTGCACCAAATCAATCAATTTTCTTACGGTCCCCCAGGTAAGTATTAAAAGTAGTTAAACTAACTGACCTCGGGGTCACGAGTTCACTACCCAATTTAATTTTTAATTAACCTTAGGCAAAAACAGCCACACCCCAGTGCCGACTGTTGAAAGTAAAGGGGCATGACAAACCTACGGCATGTGTGATGGGAACGATTGACCAGAATGAAAAGATGCCTTCAGAGTTTTGCTCCGGATAATATGTCTTTCAACAATTTATTTTATTTAGGAGTTATTAAAGTGGTGCTTTTCATAAAGGGCTGGAGCACGGGCTGATTTGGGATGAAAATCCATCGTTGCATCAATATTTGACAACCTCGCGAACAGATTTCATTGGGATGGAGACACATACGAGTTGATAATATTCTGTAGAAAGGGGTGATACATAAAGCTCTATGGATTCACAGAGGACATCTGAAAATGTTGTGCTACTCGTTTCGAGAAGAATGAACTGACACGCTTAGCTCTCTTAGTCTAGCACTTAATAAACTTTCACCTTTACCATCCTTACCGCGCCACTTCACTTTGTCTTAACAAATAAAGGCTCGAGATCATGAAGGAGCCCTTAAGTGGGTCCTTATTTTGTGAGGCAGTTGATTCCCCCTTTGGTGTACCACTTTAACCACCCTCTCTCGAGTACATCTCTGTTTCTCCAAAGGCTAGATTATTTTCTTGCAACGTATACCAAAATTTGTTAGGTGCCAAGTTACGTGGGGGGTTTAACTAAAGTGCAAAGCAGTAAGAAACTATTTACAGATCAGTGACTTCGTTGCGGTTTTATTTTATTATTTGAAACCTCTCCCCACAAAGATACCCGTTGCATATTGATAAAATTATTTGGAACATAGAAATTCTTTTAATCAGGTGCAAACCCGTATCGAGGGTCTTCAGACGCAGCAAAAACACCACCTAAAAATAGACGTTTCCCAAAATATTCGTTACGGAAACGGAATAAATTAATTCCCCAAAAAAGCACAGATCAATAAATAATAAAACCAGAGCAAAATTATCAACTCAAATGTCATTGTGCGTTCACCTCTTCTTATTGTGAAGGGCATTTACTGACTTTGATTACATTACAATTTTCAAAAAATATATATTTTCAATCAGGTTTTTGTTTGATGTCTCCTATCTCAGTACATTGTTTAGTTATACGAACCAGGAAATGTCCCAAAACAGGGGAAAAGTGCAAACACAAGGGAGCCCATCTTTGGGTAGTCGCGCAACGCTCCTCATTACGTGAAAACCGAAGACAGACTGCGAAGGAGACTAGCAAGGAGGTCGAGCCAGCATTAAATACTTCGTGACTGTACTTCTTATGTTTAAATCTTTTTTTCCCAGTCCTTATTCCACTAAACAATGATCTGAAAATTGATAAAATTTTTCTTATAAAAACGATTCAACGCATATGCTAGTGTGGAAAGCTGAGTTATAATGGATAAAAAACATGAGTACGGTAAAAAAAGGTACATCATGTTATCAAATAAGAGAATAGAGAATTTAACTGAGCTAACCAGTGACGATGCGCATATTCCTCAAAACTTTATCGAAATCATACAGTATGACAGTGACCTGCACCAGGTAATTAAAGTAGTCCACCGAATTTTGAACATTTAACGCATTTGATTGTAGGAACCATTAACATTGAGGTCTCAATTAAATCCTCGAGACAATTTGCCACATAACTGCATAGAACACATATCTCAAGTATCTTATTCTACCGTATTACAAGATTAGAACATCGAATTGAACTATCAAAAATAATCTCATCCATTAATAAAGAACTGGGACATAAAATTCAGAACTCCAAAAACAACAATGCAAGAATGAAACACAGTGCTGGGCCAAGAGAGCTGTCCTTTCTGTTTCTGTATCAGCATGTGCACAATACATGGCAGTGAGTAGTTGTAAGCCAGGCCACTTAATGATCCCACATATCTGTGACAAAAGACAAGAGTGCATCACGTGAGCTATTGTGAAATAAGAATCCATTTTCCCTAGGACAGCTCTATTAAATTGGGACCGTTTTAATCGTCATAGCAAAAAGAGACAAAAAAATGGGGAATAAATTTGAGGTGAAATTAAGTTGTTAATTTGACAACCTGTGCACAGTGGTCATGTAGTAAGACCAAGGGAGCCGCAATGTTTTTTTTAATTACAAACTGTTTCTGGTCTAGAGTTAAAGTGAGAAGGAGATTGGCAATACATTTCAGGTAATGTCCTTGTCTGATTTTTTCTATTTTTTTTTTTTTTGAGAGAAGTAACCAAGAACGGACCAAGCCTGTTTCTGACATTTCTTCAACTGTAATCCTGAGGATTTCCTTTAGTTACCTGATTATGTTGCCAACATGTGGATAAACTACAGCAAATAATACACAGGCTCCAATAAGGGCTAGGTTCAAGACAAATACATGTAGGAAGCTGTGAAAAACAACAACAAAAGTTTTTTTGTAAAAAAAAAAAAAAAGACATTTATAGGTCTTCATATGTATAGGTAATCACATGAGGCCAAGTACTATTAAGGATTAATCGCACGAGAGTTTTCAAAATTTTCCAAAATTGCCCAAGTTGCAAAGTGACGAGGACAATTTGGAAAATTTTGAAAACTCAAGTGCAATTAATCCTTAATAGTACGAGGTCTCATGGGATTACTTGTTTATCAATAAAGGGCAAAATTTATACGAAGGAAAATCACGCGCGCAGTCTATTTTTATCTGGGAAGCAACGGATTAGCAATGCAACGGATTAGCCAATCATTAACAGGTAATCATGCCCTCTCTTGATTACTAAAAATGCCCTTGATTAAGAAAAAATGCCCTCTCTCTCAACCAATCAGCACTCAGTAATTTTGCCCTTTATTGATAAGTTACAATAATCACACTTTTGAACCTTTAACAAGCTTGGCCACCAATCTGTCCTAAAAACAATAAAGGGGGTAAGATTCTACAAAAACTGCGATGCTGCATTGGCGGGGGAAATTACAGGATAATTTGCTTTTATCAACTGAGTTGATGATATAGATTGGTCACTTTTCAAGTATAAGCCCTTTGTCTGAGTGAAATATGAAGGTTTTTTTCAAATTTTTTTTTTGCTCTGACAAAAGGCTAATGCTCAAAATGTCAGCTGTAGAAACTCTTTACAGTGACCAATTTAAATTATCTAAAACCAAATTAACTAGCCCCCCACACACAAAAAATAACATCTGACAAATTCATCACTTATAAAAATTTCCAGTTGACAAATTCCAAAAGGCAATGAAAAGAAAAGCTTCAAACCAACTTACCTTGGATAAATTTTGTTAAAGAAGTATAACATGAGTTGCACACGTATGATGTAAACAATCAATGGAAACACAGTGGTAAGTTGAAACAGGAGAAAAAGCCTTGCTATAAATGTCATAATGTCTGGAGCTGGAAGATTATCAAGAAGAACCTACAGGATAATGAAAACATCATCAGCAAAAGAGCAATGAATTACATTAAAAAAACATTAAGAAGTGTGTAGAAAAGGTAATATATGAAAATGTGGTTTTGCACCAACTTTAATTTTGCATTTTCCAGGATGAACATCTAATTCATGCTATCAGGAAGTTATTTATTGAATAATACTACTGTTAAGTAATGTTTTTTGTCTTGCACTTAAGCTTTGACTGGTTTGTTACTCCATGTCCATCCAACAGTAAGGTCCACTGCACTAACTGATTTACAATGTTCAAAAACCTCTTTCCTAATTTTATTGAAGAACCAATTATACACTTTACCTCTTGAATACAAGACTTTTCTTTGGGAAAACTAATAAAAAACAGCAAACCAACAACTATGTATGTTAAAGCTACCAAGAAGTAAGCTATGCTGAGGTCACGTGCCTGACAAAAAAGAATAATAAAAGAGGTAATTTTTCCAATAAAATTAAAATGCTAAATTTTATCAAGCATATCCCAGCTGCCATATATATGCTTATTCTACAAGTTTGAGTGCTAAAAGAAATAATGAAACCTCTTTAACAACCTATCTAAGATAAGTTTGAGGCTTTGTGGCTTAACCTATGGACGACTAGGGAAGTGAAAAGAAACCCTTCCTGGTGAAATGTAGGGTAAACAACTCAACCCTTTAATTCCCAAGATCTGATTGTCAATTCTCCCCTCCAGCTGCTACAAATTTCTTTGTAAACTAGCTATGAGAATTTGGTAACAGATCAAGATAACACTTTTACTCGATAAGTTTGAGTATTCCCATTACCTAACTGTTTGCTGGATAATGTATGGATATATCCTGAGGAAAAGTTACACATAAATCAATTCTGGGAGTTGAAGGGTTAAATTAATAAACTAGGGTCGCAGGATTACCCATACACATTGCATAATGACTCTTTACAGGAACAAGAACACTCTGATTCATATTTGGGCAGCAATAAACAACACCTTTTAGTATTTTTACTTGAAGCACTTACATTATTTTTAGGGTTCTCCTGATTCCTCATTATTGAAAGAATGCAGTTGTGAATAAAGTAGGCCAGAGTAAGTATTCCTGTTAGAGCTGGAAAACTAGCCTTGAACACTACAACAAAAATATAGATAGATCTATATCACCTATACTGTATAATATCCAGAACTAACTAGTAACTTTATAGTGGCATGCAGTCCATGTATTTTTTCCTAAATTTGCAAATATCTTTTTTATGGCATTTATCCCTCCCATCTTGAGTTCTATCTAACAATTATGGTAATATCCACACAATAAGTCAGTCAATAAGACTAACTGTAACATCTAAGTATCCATTAGAGGTTCCCTTTTAACTTACTTGGTATGCTGTCATGTTTAAAATCCATGTGAATTCCCCATATACTGGCTTTGGTAATGATGAAGACAACAATATATGCAACTGATAAGGTTCCTGCATGTAAAGAATTGAGACATAGACTGTTCATGAATACCCTCACTTTACATTAAAAACAATTGCCTTAGCTCTATAACAGTGAGCTCACCAAGAGAGTTAAATTTAGTGAAGAACGTTGGTGACTTTACACTGCACAAGGGAAACAGGACGGCAATTAAAAAGAGGGGTACGGTGTGTTGGAGCTGCCAGAATTTGAAGAAGCTTGTTTTGTCAGCTGTTATTAAACTGTTTGCAGAGCTTGCTGATGCACTGTGGCCACCAGGGCAAAGAACTGTAAAGAGATAAAACGAGGAATAACCAATTAACATAAAAAAAGCAAAGTGGTTTGAAATACAGGCAGCTGTTCAGTTATAATTTTCTTACTCTATCCTTATCAAGTGCACAAAGAAGAGGTTAAAACAAAGAAATCAAAGATCAAAGCAATTTACTTTAAAAATATTGTAAATGGACAAATTAATAAAAAGAAAATTAATTAAATACACCTTGGATAAAAGGATTAATAAATTATCAAGTACAGTGAGGAATGAATGAATGAATAACTGAAAAAGTGAATAAGTGTCAGACAAACTGTCCTATCAACTGACAGAAATTTAATGTGTTGTTGCAAAAAGGAACCGATGGTAAAAATTAATGGTAAAAGGATGAACTGAACCTGAAAAGATGGAACATCAAAAGATAGAAAATCAAAATGTTAAGATGGAAAATCAAAAGATGGAGTATGGAAGGAGAAAGGAATAGAAAATATGGGTATCTGATTAGGAGTAATTGAGCAGAAAAAGTTGTATTCAAGCCACACATTTAAGATTTATAAGATTGAAAAGTAAATAGTTCTCTTGGATTAATTCACACCAAAATACCTTCTAAGTGGCCTGGGGAGAAGCTTCCATTTGTAATATTTCTGGAAGTGGGAACTGAATAAGCATGATGGACAGTCTCTATAACACAAATTAATATTCTGTTTAATAATTATGATACTAACAGTAATAATAATAGAAATAACACAGAAAGGAAAAATAAAATAATTTTTAAAACAGGATAAGAATACAATTTAGTACATTGTTTTAGCAAAGAGATTCTGCAAACCTTGAAAAATAATAAAAAATTAAATAAAGATGAAATGTTAAAAATTTAAGCACTACTCACTTTTAATCTGTATAACATATGGGGAATACAACTCCCTTCCAACGAATGAATCATTTAATTAGTGGTAAAATCAAATTACAGTGACCCATTTTTAAATTTTTTGCCATTTCCTGAAGACCTGTACTGACCAAAACCTTGCATCAAGCTAATACAAAAGAAGATAGTTACCATGAATGTACTTTCCAGAATAGAACAAGAAGCTGCTCATTAAAACCCAAAAGACTATGGCCCCTCCAGCATTAGCAGCCACAGAAAACAGGATTGCAATGAACTCTCCTGGCTTACCAAGGTACTTCTTACAGATATCAGAAAATTCTAGGACGTCACCTTGTTTTGCTAAAGGAACAGTAAATTGAAAATCAAACCAACTAATTAGGAGTCAGGACCTATCTAGGGCAGGCAAGGATCTATGTTTCATGAAGGGCAGAATTAAGGCCTAATTAATTACATCATGAAAATTTATAATCAGTCACTAATAAAGTTACTTGCATAAACATGTTATATTAATTTCGTATATCATTAATAATGAATAACATTATAACCATGTGAATTCAAAAACCTCACTAACCCGTTTCTTCTGCGCATCTTATTATCAAGTAACAGCTATAGAGGCAAAGACCTGCCATGACAACCAAGAGAATAATGGCAAGAGCAAAACCAGCCTGGAAAACATGATATGATACATTCATTGTTAACTTACAGTTAGTGTATTTACTAGCTACTGTTCTTTATTGTAGTTCATATGGAATTAGTGCTGAGACACACACAGACATAATAAAACTGGTCCTTTTTTTTTGTTTAATCAGGATTAGTATGGGAACACTCGGAATGAATCAAATCAGTACCTCAGTCTTTCACCAGTGAGAGTTCTTTATCTTGTAATGTATCTTCTATAAATATCATTTTAGTCTAACTCTTTATTTTTATTTATTCACAAACCTGATCAATTGCCCAAGGTATACTTAATAGTGAGGTACCCATCATTGTGTTCCAAATTGAAAAACTGGAAAAATATCATAAAATGAAAAAATATACATATAATCAGATAAATTCCTTCCTGGCATGTGTTAACACTGAAATCATTGCTGTTATTAGTAGATTAAGATAACATCAAAGGATTGTCAACACTTAGCTTATATTGGTTAAAGCTACAAAATACTATTGGAGAGAGAGGTCAAGAACACATGAAATAGTCTAGTCTAGTTCCCTGGAGTAAAGTGAACAGGAGTATTGCTCCCCTCTCCCCCCCTCTAAAGTTTTAGAAAATCTCCTTGAAAGATCACAGGTAACTATAAGTAAAAACCTGGGTGGATACATTAATTTTAAGCACTGTGAGAGGGAAGTGTCACGCTCAAGATATCAACACTAAGCATTGTTCTAGCTCATACCTGAGCCTGTTGGTTCAATACCTCACTAACTAACTCACAAACAAAGGCATGCCTATTTCATAGCCAACAATTACCTGATGAGGGTCCATTATCATAATGGTTTACCATTTGATAAGTACATCCCTATGCTTAGCCAGAATGATATATCAGATCTAGGTTTACTATATGGTACAGTTAACATTTGTAATCAAATATTTATTAATAACAACTTAACTAACATTGTGACCAGACTGCTTTGTTTTTCATCTGATTCTTTCGGGATGACAAGAAATAAGTGAGGTGGAAGTATATGTCTTGGAATAATCTAAAATTATGAGAGAAAATAAAATTTTTGATAAGCATTGCCCAGGTAGATGTGACATAAAGCTTTGAATTAGGGAATCAAGGTCAACTTGCATAAATGGATTCTTGCGTTCTTGCATTATATTTCTCAGTAATATTTATATTAGGACAGAGGGGATTTATCAGATCAGAGTGACTTTGGATTCCATCCTTCTGATCCTGCTTATCCAAAAAAAAAAACAAAAAACAGGTTAGGAAGAATAAGTTAAGAATAAGTTAAGAATTTCTATAAAAAATTGTTAAAAGTTCATAAGGATTTATAAAAGCTGAAAAAAAACTTTTGTACCTATACCAATTAAGAAAAAATTAAAAACTCATTTTTACAATTGTACAGTTCCATATTTAAAACTATGTAAATTAGCATCGTATTGTCCTTACCACATTGTGTCTAGACAGTCTGGATATGTATCTGTAGCGATTGAACTTAGCAGCTATGTCCATATCACGAGGTGTAACAATGGGATTTCTAAGTGTGTTGTAATGAAAGGGCTTCCTCTTTGCAAAGTTGTTTGATGACTCGCTATTCAATGAACCTGTGTGTGAACCATCATGAGTGGAATTGCTATCATATAGGCCCCTACACAAACAATAAAATATATAAATAAATAAATAAAAATATTTGATCAGTGTGGGTACCTGAGCAATTGTACACTTATCCCTCACCTGACTCAATGTTAACCCTAACTTGTTGTTGGGTTAGGGCAGGGGTAGGTGTGCAGTTGCTCAGATACTGACATAGATCCCAGACATACACATTCAAACCCTTAAATAAAAATATGATGTATTCCCAAAAATTACCTCATAATGAGCCTAAAATATCCTGAAAGTCAATAAGCTAAGGAAGAAATAACGAGAGTCAGCTTCTAAGTATTAAAAATTGTGAAGTAGGTATGTAAATATTTTGAAAGAGTTTGAACATATGTCTCCACTCTCCTATTCCGTCTTTCCCACCTCACAGTTCAGCAAACCCCCCTCTATCTACTAGAAATACCGATAATCTTATTATTGATGTCCAAAAACCTTAAAGTTTATCTCAAGGAAGCATCTTACATTAAGAAAAAAAAATTTAAATAGTTCAAGTAATTGTTGCAATATCATCTATGAAACACCACATTACAAAATAATCGTTGCATTTGCAAGTTTTCAGGTAAGAGAGCTGCTTTCTACGAATTAATTATTTTAAAAAGGAAGAATAAGCTATTGATATCTCTTTCATTTCCTGCGGCTGTGCATACCTTGAACTATTTGAAGCACTGGACCTGTCTTTGACCGCATTGCTTGAATCGCCTTGCTCAGAAAGGAGGGGAGATTTTTCGTCGACGACTTTATCTCTCGTATATTCTGAGCGCTCCCCTTCCATAGCTAACTTCAGCTGTCATATATCGTCCATTTTATCTACAAGACTGACTCATTAACCCATTTACCTACGCGAGCTCACGTCGCCATAGGTTTTTTTTGGACAATAATGTAATGCGGAGGACTCGGTCGAGCTTCATGCATGATTACTTTCGGTAATAACTTCCGGTGAGTAGTCCTCCCATCCTTTACGAGTTCATGGGAATGCGCCTGGGAAAACAGAGTTACTCTGAGAAAACTGATAGGTGCGTTTAACAGAGATGTTCATGGCTCAAAACTCAAGTTCATTGCTCAAGACTCAAGTTCTTCACTTGAAGGTTGCATAAAACTTCGTTAAAAATGTTCAAAGAGAGGAGCAGGGAGTGCATCCCTTTCGGACTCACAAGCACATACCCTACCACACCTAACTACTGTCACTTAAAGGTCTTTCTGACGGGTTTGTTCTCTCCGGAGTGAATACTTAAGTCACTGCAATGGAAAACCGTTCTTCCTGCCACACTTCAAAGTATTCATCACTCAATTCCAACTTCATTTCGCTTCTGGCGAACGCAAGTTTTGTTATAATGGACATTCTGGAATGCTCTTTTAACATGAGTAACACCCTCAAAGCTTCATCATAGCCACCCCAAATTGCCGTCTCTTGGAAAAGGCTAATATTAAAATTTACTGCTCTGATGTAATCAAAACTTCTCTCATCTGAACACAGTTATAGACAATATTTCAAATTGTTCCCTTTATTAGCTGTTGATATTCATTCAATTATGCAATATACAATATTTTACAAAATATGAATCTAACAAATTTTAACTTATTTCAATAAACAAAAACTTTTTTCCATATGAAACCTTACACTGTATGCAAAATTATTATTAATTGTAAGATCTATATTAACATGGCAGTAACATGTAAGGAAAATAAGATCCTAAACTTTAGTTGAAGCAAATATAAGTCAACTGGAAAAATGATTTTCAGTAAATGAAAAGCAATTAAGCAAAAAGAGAGTAAAAAAAACAAAACAAAACAAACAAACAAATAAAAAAAAGAAATAAGCACCAATAATGCAAATTATGCATTATAAGAGAAAAATGCCTTGAAGTCCTGCAGTAACAAAATCATTAGACAAAAAATTAATTGCCTGATCCCTTTAATTCCATAGGTGAAAAATAACTAACAATAATTTATGAGAAATTGACTGACGGAGCACTTACTTCTTGCAAGTGATATACAAACTAACATATGGCAATGAACTGATATATAAAATCCTCTAGCAAAGAGACATCAAGTTCCCAAGCAAGAAAAGCTTTGTAATAAAATGAGATCCAGTGTTTTTTATCAAAATGTAATGAATGTCCCATGAAAAAGGTTTGTTACAAATGAGCATCTTCCAGGAGGGTTCCTTAAGAGAGCCTTAATCACTTGATTTCCTTATTCAATTACAATGTACAACAACATGAAAACAGCATTAAATGTTGACACAGCTTAATCACACATTATTTTTAACTGTTCATATCCTCTATTAACTGAAAATTTGCTTCCACCCATGTCCTACACATCTAGATGCTACTCTGAAAAGACACAATTGCTGATTCACAGCAGTTTCAGGGATCTGGCTTGAAATGCTCTTGAAACAACAGAGCTGCTTGGTTAATATTGATAAGTCAATTGCTTTTCATTCAATCCATTGGATTCTGTCATGTATTATCTTTGAAAGAAAGAGATTCAAAGTCCCTTGATTTACATTATATGCAAAATAGCAATTTAGACATAATCAGACTAGATGCTAAATTATAACTGGATGCCAGAAAAAGTCAAAACAGTCTCTATGGCCTATTGTTCTTGAACAATGTAATGTATGTATGACATATGCAGCAACCTTGTGCAACCCCTTTGCAACCCTAATGAAGGTGGGGGGAGGGGAGAGAGGGGAGAACTGTGTATGATAACATCTGTTTCTTTGATATGTAAGTGATGATATTTAGTAGTCAGAGTATGTCATTTTAAGTATCTTCCTGATCTAAACACAAAAACATACAAAGAACAAAAGTGTTGTTGAGAAGAATTCATAACTTGTTAGCAATCTCTTTTTCTGTTCTCACAAGGCCTATAACAAAACTGTCTCCTTCAGAGTAATGTGTTTCATGTCACACCCAGTGTTCGTGAATGACTTTTCCACCTTTCCGATATCCTACAACTTGAAATGCAGATTCACTATTGTCTTGTTTAACTGTGTTTTCTGGTGGCCTGTAAAGTAAAGAGAGCTTGTATATAAAGCATGGTCATCTCTGGACATCATAAGTGTATAAATTACACTTACAATGATGATTACTGATTACTTGTTGCAAGGAATTAAAAACCTAGATGATCTGATTTTAGCATTTGACACTCTAGCATTAAGTTCCACCATAAAGAGAACTCTGGTAATCTGGGCCATTATCTTGTTCATGTGACAAGTTTTCTTCATTAGGTCATGAGCATGGGAAAAGGAAAGATATTGAGTCTGAAATTCTGGGGCTCAGTTTCATATGGGGCACTCAGATCTTTCTTTTATCCCATCCTCATGAACAAACTGAAAAACATCATATGCATCATATACACACATGTATTTCTTATTAAGCAAGCAACGAAAAAAAGAAATGAATTACTAGGCACTGTCCTACACATATACCTTTCTTTCTCCTCCCATTTCTGTTCCTCAACTCTTCTTTCTTCCCTGCTTCTTTCACTATCTCTCCAATGATTACCGTAACTTGCTCTTTGGAACCCAGAATCCTCTCTTGCTGCTGTGGAACTTTGACTACCTCCTGGTGATGACATAACATGCACAACAGAGCTTGTGAACTGCTGCTTTGGGGGAACTGAAGGAGCTTCAGAAGCAACAACCTTGTATTCTGAGGGAACAGAATTAACAACTTCTGCCTTTCGAAGAGGTTTTACAAAATCATCCACATATTTTCTTTGATTCTGGTAATCAACAGCAGAGTCACTATCCACACTTGAGCGTCTTAATCTCTTATCAGACACTGGACCATTTACAGCCCTCTGTAGAGATGATGCACTTTGATCTAGAGACTGCCTTTGCAGACCATTGTTGCGTTGTCTCTGGGATGGTTTAGAAAGGTGTTCCAAGTTCACATCGAGGCTTGGGATTTTCTGCATTTGAACAGCTACAGGAGACAGCCTTGGAGGTGACTGAGACCTGGTTGAGCTTGGTATGTCAAGTCCAAGTTTCTTCCGCAGTTCACTGTTTTCTTTTGTAAGCTTCTCCACCTTTTTTTCCAAATTCCTCTTCATTCGAGAGAGCTCTAGAGATTTCTCCATAGCCATATCATTGAAAACTGCATTAGACTTCTCCAAATCCTCTTTGGCCTTCTCAGCCAAATCAGCCTTTTCTTCTGCAACAAGTCTTGCTTCCTCTGTCTCTCGTAAATTCTGTTGTGTTAATTTTAACTCTTTTCGGATCTCATCAACCATAATTCTTAAGTTTTGAAGTTCAGATCCTTTACTTGCCTGAGACTGACGTACAGAGTTTAACTCTCCCTCAGAAGATTTCAATCTGGCAGACATTTCTTGTATTTCCTCATGAAGTTTATGCTTCTCTTGTTTCTCTTCTTCACAAGCTGCAGACAACTCTCTCTTCTGATCATCCAAATTTCTCTTGATCAGTTTTATTTCCTCCTCTTTGGTTACTAAATTTTTATTGGATAGGGCTAAGTCATTCTTTAGCTTTTCAATGGTGTCCTCATATTCTTTGCACAGTTTTTCAACTGACTGTTTCTCACTTGAAGTTCTTTGCAGTATTTCATCTTTTTCAGTGTTGCTTTTATTGGCGATTTGTAGCCTCTGAGCAAGTTCTTGATGAAGATTTCTTAGATTTGAATATGTTCCCTCTAATTCTTCTTTCTCTGTCTTGATTTTTGTTAACTCCTCAATGATCCCTTCAAGTTCAACAAGTTTTGATTCATGTTTTGTCTTTTCTTGATTAAGTGCTTCCATTTCTTTAGCCATTTGACGTTTTTCATTTGCAGTCTTAGCAACAGTCTCTGACAGACACTCACATTCACTTTTCAAATTATAAATTTCTTTCTTGAAAGCTTCCACTTCACTGCTGTGATCATCATTAGTTCTACTAACTTCACTCTCTTTGTCTTTTTTACTTTTCTGCTTTTTCCCCTTTTCACTTACACTTGCTCTCCACTTTTGTTTCTCTTCCCTCTCCTTTTCCAGATCTTCTTTCAGAGATGTTATCTCCTTCTCTGCCTTTTCCAGTGATTCATGAAGTGTGGATGTTTCCTTGTTCAGTTTTTCAAGAGCTGACTTCAACTGTAGAACATTCTGAGTGGGTTTAGGCGATGCATTTTCTGATACCTTTTCTTTTTGTTCCTTCAGTTGCTGTATTTCTTTTTCAAGTTGATCAACTTTCTTAGTCAAAGCACTCTTCTCTTTCTCAAGTAGGGTGCACTTTCTTTCCGATTTAGCTAGATCTTCTTTTGATTCCTAAGAAAAAATTAAAAGAGTGGTGAATTGTTAGCTCAACCAATAGTTGATGATGGCAGCCAATTCTCCTTCTCAGACCCACTTTGGTTCTTAATTAGAACAAATGAAAATAGACTCCACACACAATACAACCACTATCAACAAAATTGAGATGAGATCCTTATGAAAAGAAATGGCAATAACTTTCTCTACCTCTAGTTGTGATAACAAAACTGGAACTCTAAAGTCAACTGCCAGTGAGAGTTCAATAACATCAGTCCATATTCAACTTCATATGCTATAGAATTAAGTTGCATACTTAGAAAAGGTGAACGCTATTCCCTCAGAATAAAAATCAGTTCCAAGAAATGAAATTGAAAATTCAAAAATTTTACCTTCAGCATTACAACATTTCCATTTTGATCCCCACTGTTACTCAACCTCTTCTGCAAACTATCCACCTCTTCCTCAAGCTCTTCCCTGTCTAATTCTAGTTGTTCTTTCAAGGATTTCAGCTTTTTATTTTCTTTCTTTAAGCTTTCATTCAGCTTTTGCATTTCTGCTTGTTTTGATTGAGCATTTGTCAGTTCTTTAGTAATACTGCCTTCTGATTCCTCTGCCATTTGAAGAAGTTTTTTCAGGTTTGCATTTTCATCATGTAACAATTCCAGTTCTCTGGCCAATAAATTTGATGTATGATCACCCATATTAGTATTCTGACCTTTGCCTTTTAATTGTTCATTTTCTAAAGTTAACTTCTCAATATCCGCTTTCAAAGCAAGGTTTTGTTGCTTTAATTCATGGGACAAATCATCATTCTCATCACCATTTTCCAAGCCAGCTGAATTATCTAAAAGTGTTTTCAAATGATCCACTTGATCACGCAAACCATCACACTCGTCCTGCAGAGCCTCTTTCTCAAAAGCCACATCAGATGAATTCAGCACATGATTCTGAATTTCTGTTATTGTCTCTTCAATATCTTTCAGCAGAGAGTTCCTTTCCATTTCAACAACAGACCTCTCTTCTTCTAATTTGCTGGTGTTAGAATAATGGTCCTCTATTTCTGCTAGACTGTTTTCTATCTCTTGAACAAGACGATCTTTCCGCATAACAAGTGGGGTTCCAGATGATTCCACTCCATTACCATTCTCATGAGTGTCATCACCTCTGACAAACAAATCTGTATTATTCTGCTTAACTATACTACTGGGTAAACTGGTTTGATGGAAAGCAGAAACAACTCTCTTGGGCTTTGCAACTTTGTTGAGAACTAGTGATTCCCTAGGTAAGCCATTTATCATCTCTTTCGGCATGCTATTCTAAACAATAGATTTTAATATGCAGCTTTTTTAACCAGTCAAGGGCTCAGCAAGACACAAAAGACTTGAACTGTATAATTGATGCACTATAAATGACCTGAAAGAAGACAAAGAGAACTGTCAAAATTTTGTGCACTAATTAAATTTTCACAGCATAGTCCATATCCATGAATACTTTGTTTGTGTAATGTAATTCATGCGTAAGTTATCATTGTCATACCTGTTTTAAAAGTGATCAGTGTAAAATAACATTCTTCAGTTTCATATTGGTTTATTAGGACATAATGGCCAAAAAGGATTGAAAAAAAAATCATGGTTATCATCAGTGTTAACAAAGAAACGTCGCAAGAGGGAAGCTATTACAGGTCAACCATGATCATTTTTAGAACAAGTTAGCATTGTTTTCATTTTCAGTTATTATGTGTAATTGGCGAGTCATTGATGATCAGATGCAGACAGACATCTGGTCTCTAAGACATGGTCCATGCATCAACTATGAAAGCTACTGATATAAGTGTAAAAGATTGTGAAGATTAACCATAGAATAGTCATTAGTAGGTGCAGGTGTATGCACGGTGACAAAATTCAAAGCAGCATAATTCTGTAACAGTTATACAAAATCATTGATAGAGATTCTGCACTTATGGACTGAGCAATAATATAGCTTCAGTTGGCATATATGGAAAATTCAACATTAACAAAAGATGGATAAATAGTATTGAACATGAAGATCTCTTTTTAATGCCATTTTTAGTAGTCTGTGAAAAAGACGCACTTTAAGACAAGGATTAATGATCAGCTAATTAAATAATTCATGGATTAAACCGCTTGAGGGCTCATTCTGTCTCATTTAAGATAACTACAAAATTTTTATGCAAAATTTGTCATAGAAACATCATTTTTTCATTGAACACCAGACTAAAATTGTTTCAACAAAGAGTTCTGCATTTAATAACACTGCACCTAAATCAGTTTGTACATTCAAATTCAAACCAATTTTTCTACAAAGACCAAATCTAAAGCACTACAAAATCCCTTCCTTTAAGACATCAGAAAAAAATTCAAAATGTTAATGAAATATATAATTTTGACTGAAATTATCATATATTGAAAAAACATAATTATTGAATACACTTAGATTAAAATAAAAAGCTTTTGGACCTCCATGACTATCGACATTATCAAAACATTGGTCAAGTATAATTTCTAGAATAGAACAAGTTGCCATATGAAAATTTACAACCTATGATACTTCATGTTTACAATCCGATTAAAAATAAGCCAAACACATTCCTCAACAAGGCCAATAAAAAATTTTCAAACAGCATAAACAATAATTTATTCCATGGAAATGTCAATCAAATTAAAATAGAATTATATCACAATGACCCTCTGTAAGGTCCCCAGAAATTATTCATAGCCAGAAAAATGTTCTGCCAACCTTCTGTTTGTAATTGTGTGGATTACATGTAAGGAATACTGTGTACAAAAGATAATTTCATTGTAAAAAACTAAGAACCTAAGTTTGTCAATATCTTTGCCGTCTTTAAGGAAAGACTTAAGCCTATTATTCAAACATGGTCAAACTTTTTCACTGTCCGTAATAAAACATTGCCCACTTGATAACTAACCTTAGCAGACTTTACAATCCTGTGAGAGATAATATTTTCCTTGATGGAGGGAGGCACAAATTTCCCCTTACACCTTAGGTATAGATAAATGATGTAATATTTTCCACCTTCACCCCTTTTAGGCTGCCTTTTCCTTAATTGTTTACATGACAAAGAATCTATTCATAAAGGTTTAAGGGTGCTAATGGTGGCATTTTGCACCTGGTGAGGCGGTATCGAGCTGTGAGATACAAGCTAATACACAAGACTTTAGTGATCACAAGGTAGAGCTTGTGATACACAGTATCTAATCAAACTCAGGTCAACTATTTGTCATGTGGAAATAATAATAATTGTTTTACCATTTGAGCTAGATCAGTGAGTAATTTTTCCAAAAATAAGAATTTACTCATACATGGGACATGTTAAAACATGGATAATCCTGATCAACTATGGAATTTGTAATATAATTTAAATTAACCATTCCCAAATGATGTTTACAAACTTTTAAGACCTTGATAAATTAAACATAGTAATTTGTTATAAAATCATAGCAGCTGGTTTGGAACAAAACAAGACCTCAGTAAATATAGCTGAATTAAATCAAAGATGGTAGTTTGAAGTATTCCAATATTACCATCCTCAACCATAAGAGCACATTGTGATTAATTAAAGACGGGATGAATGAAAATACACTGTGCAAATAAGTAATATTTAGGAGAGTTCAATTTAACCTCAAGAGACACTGCAGAATAATAGCCTTGCATTCTATCGACTTGTCTCATTGAAGGATGTTACTAATTGACAAAAGAAGATGGCAAGAGGAAAAATAAGATGACGTTGCATGCAAAAATGCCGAAACAAGGACACATTGCCGCAACTGGTTTGTGGTTAAAAATTCCAATTTCAGGTGATATACACTTCAGAGTGCCCTAAGCCTAACTGATTGCCCTAACTTTGTTTAACTGCGCGTGAGGTATCTTACGTAAACAAGCGAGGCATTCTGTAACCTAACCAGATCCATTCGGAGCAGGTCTATCATAATGATACTGAAATCGGCTCAAAAATTAAACCAAAAGCGAACATACTGAAGACTCCACTGGGTACGTTATTAAACTTGCCACGTTCGACGCGAGCGCTGTTGAAATCGAGACCAAATTTAATGGAAATAAATGCTCAGACTAGCTTATCATAATTGAAATAGCGGTACAACATAGCTTCACGATCCTTGGAGAAGAATACTTTTGGTTTAGTTCACGTCATACGAAGAAAGCGGAAGCCACACTCGCACTTCTGGAACAATACTTCATACGAAATATCCGTAGACGCACGAGTGACCCCAACTTGTCAAAAATGTCACGAACGAATATGTTCGCTGTGTTCCATACAATCACATACTAAAATTGGACAACATCCATCCCTTTTCACAGTTCAAACAACGGATCATGCAGTCACTTAAATATGTCACGATTAAAGTATTCATTTCTTCATTTACAAGAAAAAACCATAATTCTTTTCCGAAAACGTTTTTCAGTCGAAAAGAAATTTGATCGTATCGACGAACCATCGAGAGGTTGTACGACGGACAGAGATTCCAGTTAGTCTAAACTACGAATTATTCCAGACGATGTTCGAAATACATCATAGCCAATAAGACGAAAGTTAGTCCGTATTGCTTCAGTATTCTACTTGATAAGAAAAATTTGCCCAAGACTAAAAAGTTTTGCAAAAATGCGATCGACCGCTTACTGCGAAGGGTACTCACCGCGGCTGGAAATTTGTGTTTGGTACCAGATATTGTAACTGAATGAATCCTTAAAATGGTAAACCAACTCTGGAAGTTTTCGTATCTTAGTTATTTACGATATAAACCCCATAGGCCAAATTCCAGAACACTCACACGAAATCCTTGACGAACTAAACAACTCGCTCTCGATACTATTAACCATCCGGAAACTGGCTCTGAAATCCAAACACTGACCTATCACCTGATTGGTCCATTTCTGAGCCATTAAGTTGTCATTGGCTATACGCAAAATAATAGACTGTTGGATACCATTGAAAAGCGGTAATAGGTCACAAAGAAATCCTTTTGTTTTTCGCAACAGCATAACTTGTGAAATTTTAATTTTGATTTCAAAATAAGATAATTAAGTTTCTGAAAGATGTTGGATACAGGTAAATAAATCATCATGATCCTTGTTAGTGCTTTAATTAATTCAAGCTCAAAAGAAACACCAACATCTGTCTCCGAGATATTGTGTTTATAATCCAAAGATTTATTCTTTCCCAGCAGCGTGTTGTTAGGGAAATGCTGGTTAAAATATCTTTGTGTATTAATGTAAATAAGGCTATAATTAAATTCAAAGCCTTCTTTTTCTTAGTTAACACCTTTAGGGTAGAGGTTAATTTCAATTTAAAGTGGCACTTACAGAAGAAGTCAAACAATGATCCCATTTATCTCCTGGAGGCTACACACAAAAACTTTAAGTGTAAACATTAAACTGGCAACATCAAAATCTTAGAGTTAAGTGAAGGGGTAGGAAAGTTTGTTTATTTCAGCAACGTTTAAAGAACCATGCATATTCTCAGTTAGTCAAGTAATTGGTAGCCATGGGTCAGCGAACAAGACTCAATATTTACCTCTGATTTGATGAATCATGTGCATTTATTATCATATGAAGGAAGTTTGCTCATTTGCCTGTTGAACAGTTGTCTCAACCAGCATAGGTTGAAGAATTCCCTGTAGTATCAAGATTAAAATGGAGAAAAAGAAAGCTACACAAAGTCTTCCATTTCTTTGCTTCTTCTTTCTCTCATCTTTCCCTTGTTCTGGTCTTACTTACAAGAAAGCTTTTTAGCCAGCAATGGCTGAGGAACTAATCCCTCCAAGAGCAATAATGACTCCAGCTTTTGGGTTTTCATATTTATTTCTCCTCATTGTACCACCAATTTTTAAACAACTCCCACCTAAAAGAACATTGTAAAGGGTACATTAACCTTGAGTAGTTCAACAGTATATATAAAATTTTAATACATTCACAGCTCAATAGAATTATTCCATAAAAAAAGGATATTACTAAATGAAGAACAAGTTTTCTAGGGAGCACAGACTAAATCACCCTTAAAGTTTAGGGTGGCCCTTAGACTAACGAGACTGAAAGAGCAACAGAAGATTTTTTTACATAAACAGTTAGAAACAATAGCTAAGCCTTTTTTTTTGGCCAGGTTATAAAAATTTGTCTCATAAAGACTTAAATGGCTGGGTATCTTACCCTCTTGAACAACAGCCTTTAGACACCCAACAATTCTGCTATAAGCAAGCTGTGAACTGCAATAAGCAGCCATTGTTTGTTTTAGTAGAATTTTTAACAAACCTCATAAATAATATCACATTTTTACAACCATGACTTATGAACTTTTAAAGCTCTAAAATCCATGAATGAAGAATACATTCACTGCTGCTAGGCAACCAAGAATTCAGTAACAATCTGGGTGATGAGTTTCTAGCTAGTAAATTTCTTCTATTCAACATCTCTGCATTCAAATAGTCTTTACCTTTCCTTCTCCTCTAAATGGGAAATAAAGATATAAATTTAGAAAAGGCAATGCATGCAGAGATCAGATAATTAGAGGAGTTAACTGCTAAATAGTCTTCAAACATAACCTTATAAAAGATATGAGAATACTACCAAACAATCCTTAGAGATTATAGGAAAAGTAAAACAAGAAAGGTGGGATATTTGTTAAAACATGTGTATAAGACAATTATTACCAGAGCTGAGGATCATATGTTTTGCTATGTTATGAGTGCATTTATAAATTGGTTTTTACTAAAACAACTGCTATGACTACTGCTACTACTAATGTCATCAATACAATTATTACGATTATTGTCTCTGTCTTCAAATACTAATAAATGAATATTAAAGATGATGATAACCTCATGTTGTTGTTCTGTTTGCTGGTGTTGGTGTCACCTGTGGGGCTGGTTCAGGTGGAGCATGGAAGAAATACAACTACAAACAAAATAAAGTTTAGTATGATGGTCTACATTCAAATGAAAAGGAAACAGATACCTAGTTGACCTACTCAAAAATGATTCTCTTTAACAAAAAAAATCAACTCAGAACCCCAATGCAATGAATAAAAATATCATACCTTAAATCCAACAGCCAAAAGGCCATGAAGGAGAAATATGACTGCAAGAAGAATGCCAGCTACCTGAATGAAGCAGATTTGAAAAAAATCTTAGTTAACGATCCAGCTCTTGAACCAGAAAATGCAGACAAAACAGAAATAAATAAAAGGCTAATGACAGAAACTGAGTTGCAAGTTTCCTCACAGCTTCATACCTTTTTGTCATCATCTTCAACCGCCGGCCAAAATGTTAACAATAGCACAGCACCTGTAAAATTGTCACAGTGGCTATTACAAAGTTGCCTTAAAGGAAAAAACATTGTTTCACTTAAAACACTATGTCTTAGTTTTTTCCTTACCTGAGAGAATCATTGCTATCATAACAAGAAGCCATCTTAACCATTCCAATGGGACAACCCATAACACCTGAGGGGAAACAATATTAATATTATTCACTGTAGAAATATTTTGAACAGCCAGTCAGTCTGTCAGTTGTCCAACATGAAATACGTCTCTCCTTAACATACACAAAGAGAATCTATCCACGGAAATCTGAAGATTGTTCACTGAAACAAAAAAAATTCTCAGAATGGCAGTATGAGTGATTATTGCAGAAAGATAAGTGACTCAAGATCTTGGGAGTGAAAGAGTTGAGAATTTTTGGAGAGGTCTTCTTATCTATTTATTTCTTTATCTAATATATTTCATTCATCTCTCACAACTTACTGATATTGGGACATAGATGGACAAGGAATAACCATAAACACAGAGTATTTCTAGAAAGGAATATCCTGCATTGCTTCTTCTCCAAAGAAGAACTCCCCAAAGAGCTGTTGGTACCAGGAAGGCATATGTGTATATGGCTGCTGCAGCCAGAGTAACTGTCATGGATGAAAATGTGATAGTAGTAATTACTGACAATAGTTTTATAAAAAGGCTTACGTGTTAAGAAAGTTGTGACAAAGAATGGTCTTATTAGGGGGCGCACTGGCAAATAATAATGTGGGCAACCAAGGCTAGAAGATTCTCTACATCCATGGAACAGGTGATAGGAATAGAGAAATATTTCACTTGGAATTTTACCTTTGTGGAAATCATACACCCATTCATGGTCTCCACTGTTGATCAGATAGCTTGCCAGGTTACCAGATATTGCTGTTGTAAATACAAGTGTTGCACACACCCAGAAGGGACCTAAAATTTAAGCAATGTCAATAATTGAAGTAATTTTCAAAACATACCTTTTAAATATATCCTGTACTGTTAAAAAAAATGATAGATACAATGACATTTATACTCTACCATAAAGATCAGGATTTGGACGAATAAAAGACACAAGGTAGTTTTTCTTGTAGACTGGTACCATTGATCCTATAATCCTCCTAAGGACCTTAAAAACAAAAAAGTTATGTTGGTTTAGGAGGCCTAGAGAACCACAGAACAATCCAGGAAGAACTTGAATGTTTCAGAGGTGAAAATCAATCTCTCAATTTCATTGAAAACAGTTCATTTTATGCAAACTTCTTCAAAAACAAAATTAAAGGCAAAACACTGTTAGTATCATTTAAAATTTCATGGCTTCAATATGTAATAATCTTACTTGGTATGTGTCCACATCAAAAAAGGTTTGGTAATATTCAAATGTCCAGAAAGGTGGTTGTTTTCGCTGTCCAGCTAAAAGCTAAAAACACTAATTAATATAATTAAAACCAGTATAACTGCAAAACTAAAGTCAAGTTATGACGTTAACAAGCAGCATGAAATTAAACTAAGCTATGCAAACCTCTGTTTTATCTTCTTCATCATCTGCAAGTGAAGAAAACAGCAAATTAAAAGAATGATTCTGCAACCTCTTAATTTTATAGCAGAGAAGGATAATGCAGTCATAAAAGAACCTTCATTCTTATCATTACTATATGTAGTCACTCCCAATTTTGATTTTTAAAATTCAGCTTTACACTGCTGGTTTTCTTCTGGTGATGAAGTTAACCAATCACAAATCAAATAAAGATTCCCATCTTGAACTGTACACAATCTGATCCACAGATGCACAAGAGAGAGTCGCTATGCATTTATCTGTTACTATTCTTAATTTGAACAGAATATGTATTAAAGGACTACCATCAGAGAAGTCTTCCAGTGATTGTGTTTTCAAATTAGCAGGGATCGTTCTTCCAGGTTCTTCACCAATATTACCAACAGTGTTAAGATTATTTATGTCATCTCCTTTAGTAAAATCTGAAAGAAAAAAGGCCTCTGGTTAACTCCAGCCACAAATTGCACAAAAAATAATAATGTGTTTGTAAGGGCATGATTAATTTGCTCAGCATCACAAATGCAAATGACTCATTAAAAAAGGTAATGAAAATGATACTGCACAGGCCAATAATTTTCAAATTATTTTGATTATTGTGTTTTGATATTTTTTCACCTTATCAAATTTAATTTCAAACCTTGGAATGTGAAGTCTTCACCAGCTCCTCCTCCATCCTCCATCTAAAAAATAATTCATTAATATGCTAATTGCACAGTTTACATCCAAAACTTTTGGCTCAAGCATTGTTTTCGAATAAATATCGAATTATGATTCTTTTTTATTAAAAAATAAATAAATAAGAACGAAAGCTTCCTCTGTTCAAAACTCAGTAATTAGTATTTAAATCGTGCCCTAAAAGACACAGATCACTGATTTGATTCAGGTTTTGTGACCGAAGCTGAACTCATTCAAAGCTAAACACATACAAACTTTTTGACTACCACCGTCGCTTTAATTAAATGAAAATGAACTTAAGGCAAGGGATATTCCAGGAGTAATTCAAGAAAATGTAAAGCTCCATAGCGTATAGCTTGCATTGGGCAGCATGGAAAATACATTAGATCAGGTTTTGCTGAATTTAAATATACTTTTTATTTAATACCGCTAACGAAGAGTTTCATAAGCAAATAATTAATTTATTTCATTTGTGAAGTCTAATTAATGAAAGGTTGGGAAATAAGCTGTTTTACCTTCACGTCAACAAGGCCGACTTCATCATCACTCTCCGCCATTTTGATTTTCGTGCATGCGTGGAAGGGGCATGAGCTTTGCGATGAAACCGCTGATGTATTAAATGTGGTCCCATTTTCGGCCCTCCACGTGATGATTTCCACTTTAATATTTTTATTTTCAAAAATTCAGCACGTTCAAAATGATAATCCCAAGTGTATATCTGAAAGGAGGGACTCTAGTGGATCCAAAGGATGGGGAAAAAATTGAAGATGTAACAGGCTGCCTCGATACAATTTCTTTGTGCCCAGAGTTTACCATCGTTTATCTTGATAAAGTCCAGGAGACAAAAGAATTTGGAAAGAAAGTTATGCATAGGACCTCTTGTTGCGTAGAAATTGAACTGAATTCTGAAGACGAGGTCTTAGATATACTGGATTCTGGTGCTAACAGTGTCATCCTTAACAAAGATCACCAACTGCATAGCCTGGGAGAATTTTTACCCAGAGAAAGGATTGTCTGCAAATTACCTGATCAAGAGTGCTCTGTAGCTGAGTTGGCCGAAGAAATCAATGACCTAAAACACAGATCTAGCACTTTTCTTTTGTGTCCTAAAAAAGCTTCCCTTGCTGATGAATCATGCCTTGTCGAGTCTATAAAGGAACTAAAGACCCACCTGTGTGACGATGTGAAACTCATACTATCAATCGATGGGGTGATTTTGTCCTCAACCATCTCACAGCTTCACTTCCTCGGAGTTCAGGTTCAACTAAGTACAACTTGGTTGCTAAATGATCTCAGTCTTGGAGAGATTATCGCATCCTGTCTTAAAAGTGACCGATCTGATGGACTCTACCCAACTCTTGTGGTAAGTCTCTTATGTATATGACATGGGTCAGTTGTGGGAGGTTTTAAGGTGCATGTCCAGAAAAGGTAATGATTTACTATGGTAGAACAACTTGAAATGCCACCAAATGCAGGTAAGATGCTAGTTTAGGATCCTTTCCCCACCACTTCTCATGGTAAAACCCTGTGCACACCCCTCATTGATTTCAACCAGTGCTTGTTGAGGGAGGAGGTGGCTTGGAGAGAGGAGGGAGGGGGTGGTATGTTTTGAAGGAGCTGATAAGGTACAGAAAGTAAGATAAGATGTCAGATGCATGATAGAGTCTGAATCTGATGAGGCAGAGGTGTGGGACTCAATGTGAAACATAACTCAGTTTTTTTTCTTTAATTTTTATTAAACTGCACACTTTTTTGTTGTCATTCTCAGACAGATGAGCATAATATTGCATTAGGATTGTGTTATTCAAGTTCTGAGAGTATTCAAGAAGCAGTGAAAACCAAGAAAGGGGTGTATTTTTCAAGAAAACGAGGATTATGGAGGAAAGGGGAAACATCTGGAAACCAACAGGTAAATTCTTGAGTATGAAAAAAAAATGATGTTTAAGTCTGAGTTGGTGAAGAAAGCAAGCTCTTACTCTTAAAGTCTACTTTTTGGATTTTGGAAAAAGCAAACTTTGGAGCTAACTCTCTTTTTCTAACACAAAGAATCTTTGTCTTGTCTGAGCTTAAGGATTGAATTTTCAAATAAAATTTTGTTTGCAGGATTTATTGCAAATTCATTTAGACTGTGATTGTGATACCCTGAAGTTTGTTGTACGTCAGCTTGGACAAGGATTCTGCCACCTTAACACATGGACTTGCTTTGGAGATAACAATGGTTTACCTTTACTGATGAATACATTAAAGTCCCGCAAAGAGTCAGCTCCTCCAGGATCCTACACAAGTCGCTTGTACAATGACAGTAAACTGCTGCATGCCAAGATCCGTGAAGAGGCAGAGGAATTGTGTGAATCTGAAACAAAAGAGGAGATTACTTGGGAAGCAGCTGATGTTTTGTATTTCACACTAGTGAAATGTGCCAAGGCAGGTGAGTAAAAGCTGTGTTTAGGGAAGGGGAAGATGAGTGACAATGATTGTCTGTTGGGTACATTTTTATGGATTGTCAATGTCAGAGAGAAACAGATATCTGGAGGGGGGGCAGGGAGACAGTTTTAAGACATTGGGGGAATTGCTGGTTTAAGAGAGGGAAGTCTACCCATGAAGTAAAGAAACTATTATGATAATAGTAATGATGATGATAAAAGTGTTGAGCAAAGCAATGACTTATTTTAGAGCTTTGTATTTGTTTGAAATAGAAAATCAGATTTTGTTGTTACATTCCTTTTTCTTAGGAGTTTCTCTGAGTGATATTGAAAAAGTTCTGGATCAAAGGTCACTCAAGGTTAGACGACGTCCTGGTAATGCAAAACCTGGCAAATTGTCTCCCTGTAATGGCCATTCTATAACCAAGACAAAAGTACATGCTCCTGCCCAAGCTAACTCATCTACAGTCAGTGCACAAAACTCTGTTTTAAGAAGCTTTGATTTTGAGCTTCTTAGTGATAAGGAATTACAAGATCTTTGTAAACGTCCTGCAGTGGTTGACAAAGAGAAACTAGAAGCTATTGTGGGACCGATTTTGACCAATGTGCGAACTTATGGAGACAAGGCTTTGCTGGAATTAACAGAAAGGTTTGATAAAGCTAAGCTGAGTAGCCCTGTGATCAACATGTCTGCCACAGATGAACCAGTTCTTGATAAGGAGGTCAAAGATGCAATTGATTTGGCTTACAACAACATCTACAAATTCCATAAGGCACAACTTGACCTGGAGCCTCTTGTGGTAGAAACATGCAAGGGTGTGGTGTGCTCTCGACATGTTCGACCCATTGAAAGAGTGAGTAAACACTTCAAAATTCCATCTTGTGTTTAAATTAGCTGGTATGGTGTGCTCATGGTATTTATAGCAGTTCAGCATTGCTGAATGAACAATAAATCAATTGTATTCCATCTGATATCAGTCAAGGGGATCTTGTTTTTCTGGAAGTTCTTTCCTCTTATTTCAACTCAAACAGAAGTCTTCTTCAATTTGTTTTTGATTTATTTGGAGGTCTGTTAAGGGTCATGCACTGCCAATCCCTTCATAGTTTGCTGGTTAACAGCTCTTGTTTGAAATTTGTTTGTTGCAGGTTGGCTTGTATGTTCCTGGTGGTAGTGCTGTTTTGCCATCAACTGCTCTTATGCTGGGTATTCCAGCCCAGGTAGCAGGGTGCAAAGAGGTTATTCTGGCCACCCCACCCAAGCAGGATGGTTCAGTTTCTCTTGAAATCCTTTACATTGCAAAGAAAGTTGGCGTCTCCAAAATATTACTAGCAGGTACTGAAATTATTGGTCATGGAAAGAAAACAGTATCAGAGGTTGCATTTGATCAGGTGTTTGTGTTATCCCATTGTTGAATGCATTAAACCTGAATGCTTCAGGTTCATTGAGATTCTTAATTTTTTTGAGGAAAAAATTGAACCTTTGAATTTTACTCTTTTTTTTAAGTAATTGAGCTCAGCACCAAAGGATTTTTATTTTTGAGTCAGGTGGGGCTCAAGCGGTGGCAGCAATGGCTTATGGAACAGAAAGTGTTCCTAAAGTGGACAAACTGTGTGGTCCAGGGAACTCATTTGTAACTATGGCCAAAATGTTGGTGCAAAATGATAGCTCAGCTTCTGTCAGTATTGATATGCCTGCAGGACCATCAGAAGTTATGGTGTGTAAAATCAATATTAGTTACCTAGTAACTCTAAGTGAAAAAGAATCTATTGGAGTTCTGTTATCTTGAATCTGAAAAAGGATATGTCAGATATATTAAATATATCTATAAACTAAAGCCTAACCCTAAGGCCCAGAGGCTGGTCACTGTTTCTTAGGGACCCAAGCAGGGCTTTTCAATGGTGTCATACACTGCCATCATGAATGTAGAAGCACACCGTAATACTTTTTTGTTCAACTACACTTATAATTACTCTTAATATTAACTAGTTTCTCATTTGGGTAGCAGTGATGGGGGTTGGTGTGCATGTCACACCCACAGTAGATCTCTACCCCCATCCTTGGGTGCAAAACACTCAGTATCTTGTCTTTCTCTGGTGCCATTAGTAATGGTACAATCATTATATCACTTTATTTTGTATCCTGGGTACTCCATGCATCTTTGCTTCAGTTTTTTATATATCTTTCTTGTTCTTCTGTAATCAACAGGTCATTGCTGATGCAATTGCAGATCCCTCATTTGTGGCAGCTGATCTGTTGTCCCAGGCAGAGCATGGAACAGACAGTCAAGTGGTGTTGGTAGCTGTTAATTTGAGTGATAACCAGCTTGCCATGATTCAGGTGACAGATTATATTTTTATTTTTACCTGATAAGTTTGAGTATTCAGATTATTTGTTTGCTAGATAATGTATGGATATTTTAGGGAGACGTTACATGTAAATCACTTTTTCTAGTTCAAGGGTTAATTTGCCCTTAGGTGGTTATTAAGTGAAAGAGCAAAACATGGATTTGTTTTGGCAAAAAAAATGTAGTCTTCATAAGATATTTAATTGGTGCCTCATTAATATATAGTTTATTTTTTCATAATTTTTTAGAGTCAAGTGGATGCTCAAGCAAAGAAACTGCCTCGGGAAAAAATTGTCAGAGAGTCTCTCTCAAAGAGTTTTGTAATAAAAGTGTCAAATATGAGTCAGGCTCTGTGCTTCAGTAACAAATATGCTCCAGAACATCTCATCATTAACACAAAGGTTTGCTAACGGGCAAGATACTTTGAATGTTGTTCCAAGTGTGTGAGCCCACCAGTTGTACAAACATACCGTGGTATAAGATTTAATCATGGAGAACTGCTTTGAAGCTTAGAGTTGCAAACATATTAAAAGGCATAATAAGAGGTGTAAGGGCTTCTTCCTGTCCTGTGTGACTCATGTGCCTTGTATGTTTAAATCTAACTTAACCCTCTACACCCTAAAATTAGTATGCATATTCTCCAAACTCTTCTCTATACATTTCCTGTAATATAATAAGGAGAGTTTGCCTGACAATTGGGAGCTTCTTGAGTTTGCAATCATTTCCTTCATTCTGTTTCATTTTCTGACACTGTTGGGAGAAATTAGATCCTTATCACTCTTGTGGGGTAAAGGGTTAACAGGCAATAAGAGAAGTTTGAAGAAGCTTATATCATATAGAGGAGGGGAAAAAATTAAATTAACAATCACAACCTTGCTGAAATAATTTTTTTCCCTTTAAATTGTTTTAATATCATATAATTTGTTTGCTTTCTAGAATGCTGAAGATTCTTTAAAAGATATACAGAATGCAGGGTCTGTATTTCTTGGGCCATATTCTTCAGAGAGTTGTGGAGACTATGCAAGTGGTACAAACCACACCCTTCCAACATATGGCTATGCACGCATGTACAGTGGTGTATCAACAGCATCATTCCAGAAACACATCACAGCCCAGCATGTAACAGAGGAGGGTTTGGCTAACATTGGACCAGCAGTGGCAACACTTGCCGCTGTGGAGAAACTTGATGCTCACCGTAATGCAATTTTGATCAGGCAGAAACAGTTAAATGTCTGATTGTAGAAATTTATAGTGCCATTTGAGAGTGTCAGTATGAACTGTTACTTTTATAATCTAAATAAAATCAATAAAATAAGATAAGTATTTTCCTAGGAGTTCAAGGCTTATTAAGCTTTATAAACCATTGAGGAACATTTGTTAGAATAGAGTGTTATGGTCTACAGCTAATTGTACATGTCAGTTAGAGTTGAAAATTCTAACCTTTAAAGAGAAACATATGACATAATGAACATGTTATTTAAGGAGACATATTTATTTGTAGGAGTTAACAAACAGTGTGGCCAAATCTTTGTTTTCCACCCATGGAAGGTATTCTGTCTTCCCTACATGGTAATGACATTTGCTTGTTCAAGGCAATTTGTTTGGGGGGATGACTGAAAGAGGGGGCTAAGTTGCAGAAACCCTGGTACTTACCCACTCATTTGTGTGTATTCACTTACCACTAGCTCAGTAGAGGCAACATTGGTTTAAGTTGTTCAGAGAGCTGAAATGAAATGTTAGTCATCACCAAATGAATAAAGGGGGTACATTCTAAACAAACTGTGGTGTTGCATCACTGGGGGCATTCAAGATAATTTGGTTTTATCAGCTGAGATGATAAAGTAACTGGCCACTATAGAAGGTTTTTCAAGCTGACACCTGCAATTTTTATAATCAACCTGGTTGATGTGATCATCACTAGTCTGAATCATGATAGGTACCTTTTTGCAAAAGTCTTCCCACCTTGCAATTTATTGATTGTTTTTCAATTTGGTACAACACTACATAAGGGTTACAGCAATAAAGAAACTTCCATTGTTTTGGTGTCATGTGGTGCCACATCCTTTAATATTTCCGCTCTCTAAAGTGGTGTTTGCCAGTAGTGAATAAAGAGTTCTGATCCATCAATAAACTTGCTTGGCTCTGTTCTGTTCATTGGTTGAACAAAGTAACATTGAGTAAGACTTACAAGGTATACAGAAATAAGTTATCACACATCAGACATCTTATAATGCAGATTTTATTTGCAGACTTTTCTTGCCACTATACACAACTCTGCTAAGTTATAAGTTACCACTGGCAAAAGATCCAACTATTCATTTAACAATGTTATTTAGCAGTGGACATTGAAATTGTGTTACCAAGTGTAGCATCTTCAAGATGTTTATACTGTATCTACTGCATTGTTTTCTTTTTGTGATGTCAAAAATTGCCTTTAAAAAAGGACCCAACAGCTTTGAGCAAGACAAAAGACTAAAGTTCTGCTTGTAAATATGGAGCCCCAGTAAGTTATAAAACCCCAAATTACTTATACAGCTCTCCTTGGATGGACTTATGGGAGTCTTTATCACCCAGCCACAAGCCCCAGTCTCCACACTTTTGTAACAGTGGAGTAAAGATAGAGGAGGGAATGGTGGGGAGAGGAGTACAAGGGGGTGACAATGACTGGCCCAAAAGTTTCATTAACCACTAAACAGTTAAAGAAAGCAACAAGCATCAGTCTGATGTTTTTCTGGGTTACTGGTAGTTTCAAATTTGCATGTGAGTTTCTTAACATTCTGTTCATTTACTCTGATTTAGTCAACTGAGTTGATAATGTAAATTGGCTGCTGTAGAGAGGTCCTAAAGCTGAAGTTTCAAAATTAATGTTAATCCTTTAGCTTAAATTTTATTATAAAGCAAATGCAATGCACAAACCCATTCCAACTGAATGACAGCTAAGAAAAGAACAGGTGTTACACTTACTGGTTCACAGACCAGTTTAAAATACTACTGCTTCTTTAAAAAAAAGGGTTACTTTTCTTTTTTCAAGTACATACATTGAAACTTGACAACTTGTTGGTAACATTGTGAAGACAAGAATTTTGTAAAAATATTCAACATCACTCTAACAAAGATTAAAGTGGAATACATTATTTTGTTCAATTGGATTTTTCCAGAAGACAAATGGGATTCTTGTGAACCAATTCAAGGTCCACTTTGTGTCCTATTAAATCCCGAATGTTTGAAATCTTGTATTTGATCATGGTTGGCCTGCAGTGAATGTAAATCAAAAATAAAGAGCAATCAGCCAACATTGGATAAACCTTTTCACTCAAAATTTATACAAAAAACCTAACAAATTGATATAAATTGTGTAACACTACACAATGATATAAACATCCACCACAAGTACACAATACAACTAATGAAATGTACAAACAGTCAAAGGGGTGAAAGGTAATTAACACTTAAACGCAATACAGATGGGAAACAACATGACAATAAGTTTAATAACAGATAACACTCACTGAACACTTACCTTTCCAAGGAAAGTCCCCAAGCAATAACAGACACATCTTTTGGTAAGCCCATTGGGAGTAACATTTCAGGTCTGAAAACCCCTGAATTGCCAACTTCAACCCACTTCTTGAGGCCTGAAAATTTTAAAATCTTTGATTGTAACATACAGTAAATAAATCATGTAAACCTTCATAACCACACAAACAATACTGACTATGGAAAGTGTTTTTCAGGCAAGAAAAATGAGTGTAAATGAATGAAGTCAACTACCTAGAGTGCTCCAGAAGATTGGTTCTAGTCAGCTGATTTAGCTCTAGTTGTCTATAAATGAAATCTGATGAAGCAGAATTTTTATTTAATGAGTACCTTCATGATAACTGAAAACTTCCATGCTTGGTTCTGTGTAAGGATTGTATGCTGGCTTGAATCTTAACTTTGTAATTCCTGTGGAATTGGAAAAAATAATTGATATATGGACTGTAGTTCTTCTGCTTCATACAGTAAATCCCCTTTTACCAATGTGACAAAAATACCAAAAGTTGTACTTAAAACTAACCTAGCTTCTTGAAAAACTCATAGAGCACTCCAATCAAATCCCCAAGAGTCAAGTTGTAATCTGCAACGACACCTTCAATCTGATGAAACTCTGCTAAATGAGTAGCATCTAGGGTCTCATTCCGGAACACTCGATCTATTGAAAAATACTTGGCTGGTGTGAATTTTTCCTGCAAGTAAAACATAGTTCAGTTGACTTCTACATTTAATTCATCAACATTGAAAAGTGAAAAAACAAGTTAGAGTTAATAATATTCAAACAAGTAAAATCAAAGATCTTTGTGCTCCATCAACCAGGCTAAATACATTAAAACAATTTTTAAATTAGCTAAAACTATTGCTGAGAACCTGTTGAGCCAGTTTGTACAGCATCCTTGCACTAACAGCAGTTGTATGAGTTCTGAGAATGTTCTTTTTGGCTTCTTCAAGTTTCCATTCATATTTATATCTGAAAAATCAATCACATTTATCAAGTGTTAATCACCCCCAGAAACTGAAAGCCATTCAAGTAAATACAGTTGTCATTCTTCCAATCAAAGCTGTAGCTTTTCCAGTATCCTTACTACTGCATTTCTGAGTAGCGCATCTATCTCTGGTTGACTTCAAAGCCAAGGAAATGTTTGTTAAATTGCAAAGTATAAATTGAATTGTGTAAAAAATAAGTTACAAAATTAGTTCTTACCCCTGTGATCCATGTCCTCCAGATTCATGCATGATTTTCACTTTTTCAATATAGGACTCAGGCATTTCCTTGAGCTTAGCATACTTTGGTTCTAAAAGCAGAAGAAAATATTAGAAGAACTGAATTGACAATTTATTAACCAATGCAACATTCAGTAGTCACTAACCTGCCATGAAAAAGGTGTCATGTGCATCACGGGCTGGATGTTGTTGAGGCTGGAACAATGAATCAAAATTCCAGAAGGAGCTCTCTACAAAGTTGTTTGTAGGCATCTCAGTAAACCTTAAAAAAGATCAACCACTCCTCAGTAATTTGTAGTCTTCATCTTCTTCACTACAACTGAACTGACCTCAGAGTATAAAGGGAATAACACCATAAAGGAATCAGTTTTGAAACTTCTCTACTGACCCCATTTCTAAGAAGATTTGTCTGAACTGTGCTCTAACTTTCATCAAAGGATGAAGATGTCCTGATGTTGGTATGATTCCTTGTGCATCAAAATTGTATGGCTTGAATTGCTTCTCTTTCCAAGAACCACTAAATGTAAACATGGATAAAATATTCACAATTCACCTGATAAAAAATAAAAATGCATTGCTGTGACATATTGATAAATAACTTGTTATCTGAAGTTACAATAGAGAATAAATTTAATTGAATTTTATTTCAATCTTTAGTAAAATTTTTCTTGTCTACATTAATAGTAAAACAATGATACTTTATATAATATTCAAGAAATCAACCTTGCAAGCATGTCTGCTGTTAAATCAGCTTCTAGTTTTGTTGGTGATGTGGTAAATTCAGTGCCTTTGGTCACATAAAAGCTCTTGATGACCCTGAAAAAACAATGAAAATTGCTTAAAATGTAATTGGAAACTTATTCAATTGAATACCCCTGTGTTTATGTATGAATTAAAGCTGACACTCTCGGTGGAGTGTACTTTCACCTGGTATAAGTGTCTTTTGTGTTTCATTGATCCTAACCAAATGCAAACAAACTGTACATGACTCGTAGGTAATCTACAGGGCAAAGTACTTGGAAAGTCAACAGCCCTGAGAAGGTAATGTCCTTTACCTAAGCTGGGTAGAATCTTTCACTATTTGCACTTACTGTGTCTTAATGAGCTTCCTTTTCTTGAATTCTTTCATCTTTGCATCAGGGATGTCTGAAAGCTGCTGATCTCTGATTTTTATAAGTGCAAGTTGGACATCATCTTTTACATCCTCAGCCTTCAATAACATATTTTGAAAGATTAAATGGAGAAATAAAGCCCAAAAATAATTAAAATTAGTTTTCCTGTATCTGCAAAAGCTATTTTACTTATCCTTTCTGCTCACAGTTTGAGGACACAAGCGTAACCTCTACTATGTTTAGATTTAACATCTATATACAGATGAAATTCAGATGAAATACAGATGGAATGATCCTTGTACAGTGCTGATTCAAGGTGTACTTTATGAAAGTGAAGAACAGGATAAGTCTAAAGTGTTTCAAGCATTTCATTCTCACCTTCCTCATTACCCTAGGTCCTCCCTCTGCATTCTTGTTTAACAGAAGCCATCCAGCTGACATAGCTTTACTAAAACCAACATTAGCATGTGGACCGAGTTTCTGTCAACACAAAATGATAAACAACAATGACATTATGGAAGTGATATTGTGAGTTTCTTGGGAAGAGGATTCAGCCTTGCATAATGATGAAATGATAGTATTTAGGACATTTATCTGCCCTCATATGCCTAACTTCCTGTAAGTACCTTACAGGCATATTCAGAAATGACACATGAAAATAGAGGCAGCCTTCTACCACAGCTAACTTCAGTTTTGGTATAATTAATCATGGAGACCACCCCCACCCTGTCAAAAGGAATTTGGAGCCTCCCATCCATCCTGCTCTTTAGAATCCATGTGGAGTTTCATCAAAACAAAGGAAGTAAAGAGAGTTTCCTTCATTCGGTGCACACAAAATAAAAAGAGATCAAATAACTGCCACACAAAAATCTATTTCATAGAATACCTTTACTTCCGCTTGAGGTAATCCCTCTGGCGGAACAGCTTTAAACACCAGAAACTCATGGCTACCTTTCTCTACCACTTCACTTCCTTCGTCCGTCAGTACCCAGCCTTCGGCTTGTCGTTGTTCAACATTTATCACCTTTAAAATCACCCGAAAAAACACCATTTACTGATATCTTTCTCATTAAATTACCGATAAAATATCCTCATTGCACAAGGAACACACTTACATCCCCGAGAGCATGGATGCTCTTCACACTTCCAACAATAGATTGATGATCTTTCCCGAGTTCTTTAGCAAATTCGAAAGTCTCGATACTCCCTCTCTCTTCTACACCTTCTAATACCAGTCTCTCCAAGGACTGAGTACCCATTATTCCGAAGAGAAGAGTTTTCAAAGCAACAATAAAGCCCACTCTTTTTCAGAAAATTTCATCAGAAAATACTGACTGCGTTATACGATGTACAAAATCGTAGAAATATCGCGCCGCTGGATAAGTTATCAATGACTTGTAAGGGCCCGCAATTTCCTAGCTAGCAGTTTCATTTCAGAGGATAGGACTGTCATGTATGATGAGATCAGATAATAGAAAGAGGTAATGGCGCTAATGTTATTGTTTGATCTCATAAATTTTCGCTTTCACGCTCGAGGAACAATAGTGGAAGGTGTTGGAGATGAAGTGTTAATTGGTTTGGCGTCGACTCTTGGGCTCATAGCGCTAGTTAGTATTCTGTACAACACCCAAGGACAAAGAAACATTCATCCCTTACAAGAAGAGCATGTGCGTGTAGTGCGTGACAGACTGGGAGTCCGACGAGAAGGAAGTGATACAGGAGCGAATGATGATCCAGTTCTGCCTGATTCGCCACCTGTTACTTATTCTACTGATAGACGGTGTCCTGTTTGTCTTACAGACACGAAATTCTGTACCACTACCAATTGTGGACATGTCTTTTGTGGTATGTCTCTCTTTGAATTCCCTTACATATATGTCCGATTATATTATCACGGTAACATCATCGTTTGACAGATATAATTGAGGATTTTGTTCGGTTTGTTTTTCTCTTCCTGCGCTTTACTATAACGCTCGAAGGAAAAACACAAAAATGCCAGGACTTCTTATGTGTAGTTATTGCTCATCCTTCTTTTCTGGCTAATATTTTGACAGTCTCGATATATTTGTTTTCTTAGCCCCATGTATAATAACATACTGGAGGTATGGAAGGTGGCTTGGTGCTATCAACTGTCCTGTGTGCAGACAACAGGTGAGGGCTTCATCATAGTCAGACAGTCAGTCAGCGCTCATTGATTCAGTCAGTCATTCAGTCTGTGAGACAGTCAGAAAGTCATTTACTTCCTTGGTGAACTAATCTTTTAGTCAGATAGGTCAGTTGATTGGTTGATCTATAGGTCAGTTGATTGGTTGATCTATAGGTCAGTTGATTGGTTGATCTATAGGTCAGTTTGTTGGAAATAAAGTTTTGAGTTACAAAGAACACAGCTCAGTCATGGCACCATTACACTTGATTATTACTGCTCCCTTAAACCCAGTCCTTATGTCTAAGGAGTGGAGCTTAGGCTCATTTCCTAAACAATGGCTGGTTTTCAAAATTATCTTACCAAGGAGGAAAACATGAATGCAAAATCTGTTACACCTGAGTTTAAGTTTAATTCTTGTCTTTTCACAGGTCACTATTCTATTTTCAAATTTTTCTGAGGAGGACAGAGCATTACCAGAAGCAGTACAACATAGACATGATATGAATGAGTACAATCGTAGATATTCAGGAATACCAAGACCTGTAAGTAACCCCTCTTGTGTTTCAACAGTATGTACAAATTTTTTTGTAAATTACATGATCAAGCATAATGTATACTCTCAATATTATTTATCGTTTATTATTTTCATCTTCCAAAATTAGGACAAGCATTTTAATATTTAAGTTCTGACTTGCCTCTCATAATGCAGCCTCACAAAGATAACTGTGCATGAGTTCAATTTTTTGGTTTTGTCTAAAGCTCACTCTCTGTTGATTTTTTACAATGTTGTACAACTCAGAAACTTTATTCCGGCTTTCTGATGGTTACACACAGAATAATATATCAAGCTAACATTTAAATTTGAGAAAAAAAAAATTGTTGAAATAACAAAAGAAAAAGATTTTTGTCCAATCATTTAATGAACAATTCCTGTGATTTCGAGTGGAGTGAAAAAAACAACAATCAAATAATTTTTCACAACAATAATTCCACTTATAACAATTCCTTTCTTTCTTGCAGTGGATGGATTACATTTATGACCTGCCCACTCTTCTTCATCAACTGTTTACTGAGCTGTTTTCTGTTGGAGGACTTGTCTGGGTTCTAAGACTCAGAATCATCTTGTGTTTTTGCGCAGCAGCTTTATATTTTGTTTCTCCTTTGGACATTATTCCAGAGTCTGTGTTTGGATTTCTTGGTCTTTTGGATGATGTACTTATCATTTTACTGGTGCTGGTGTATGTTACTGAAATGTACAGAAGAGTGATTGCCAATAGAGCAGAACAACCCATGTGAAGCATCATCAAAGAAGTATAATAAATTAAATTTATGGTGTTTACAGTATTTAATGCTATTTGGTATTGGAAATTAGGTTTTAAAAATTTTTAGAAAACATTTTTCAAATCAACAAACATTTTTCTTGACTGGGTGTTCCTCCTAAAGAGTGACACAAGATTAAAATATCTATCATGTTTGAGTCAATAGAATTTCCACTTGATACAAGCATCCTTAAAGAGGAATTCCATATTTCTGAGCTACACACTTTCAGTGGTCTATTAGAAACATTTGAGGTCACAAGTTTAGATGGATGAAGAAACAGGTTATGTTTAATACCAATATCACCATTTCCTTGATGGTGAGCACCAATCATAGTGTTACAGAGTGTAACATTTTTAAAATTATGTTATTGACTTTGCAAGTTGTAGATAGTATTGTGAACAATTGTTTTAAAATAACAAATAAGATAAATTTAAACAAAGTAGTGAGGGTAATTAATCCCTTTATAGTATGCTTCAACTATAAACAGAAGTACTGGCAGGTTTTTACGTACTTTATCTGTCTTATTTCTTTATAAATGTAAAATAATGACCTTTAGATGATGAAAAAAACTCTGCAGAATGCATGGCCAAATTTTCATCATATATGGAGCATGCAGGTCAGGCAAATCCTTCTTTTTTTTTTTTTTTGTTGATAAGTTGTTGATTTGCCTGTAATTTTGCCTGAGTTTAGAACTGACTAATAACTTCCTTTATGTAAATTAGATGAAGAACAATTCCTGGTGTAGAATAAGGAGCAGTCATCCAAAAGGTGAATTAACATAATAGTATTTCCAGACAAATCTTTAAGAATTTTTCACAAAAAGAAAAACTTTGAGGAAAATCTAAGTTAAACAAGAGTTTCTATCACACATTAGTGTCTTAAATTTAAACATCATTTTTTTATTAAATTAGTCATAGTACAACTTCATTAAATGTAAGTTAGCCATACTATATTAGTTCAGATGTAAAAGTTTAAGTTAGTGGAACAATTTGAAACAAATTAGAGAAAAATATAAACCACAGTGTAGGCAAGCAGTAGTGTTTTTATCCAAAACCCACAAACCATTTCTTTCCAAAGTTCTAATCTGAAAGTAGCACTGTCTCCTCCAGCAACTAGACATGGTTTATGCCAGTGTGATAAGTAGGAAGTTTGTCTATTTCTGTCAGTAATGGCTTCTCCAACAATTGACCTTATGATTAACCCTCCTCTTCATAAGATTTCATTTGTTATTTTCTCTTCTAGCTGCTCCACACTTCCTTGTAATTTAGTTAAATGAATTAAACAATATAGAGGAAATAGACCAACAAATTTCCATTGTTAAATCTCTTTATTTGAGTATTTACTCACAACACTCAACAATAAACTGTACTGGTTCAACCCAACTGTACTCAATTTCTGTCCCTTGAATGAAATCTTCCTCAACATAATTTGCTTCAGAAAATGCTCCACCATAATTTTATTTTCATATGTTCTTACATTGGACAACCCAAGTAAAAACCAGGTAATCCAAACAAATCCCACTAACTGGAAAAGCAAGGCAACCTTGAGCATTTCCCAACAGCACTACATGATTTGACCTACTTTAAACTTATATTAAATATTAACATTGTTTGCAGTTTTATAAAAACAGATATAGGTATGTCATACTTAGATAATGCAAGTCTCTATTTTGCCACTGTTTACTCTACAACACGCAACATTGTTTAAGTTTCTTTTCAATACTCATCCACTTTAAACTGTCTTGTAAATTTCAATTTTCATACCTCAGTTTAAGTAAAGAACAGGTCCCTTTTACCACCTGTCCATCAACCCTTGACAAAACATACAAAGTGATTAATTACTACAAAGCTATGCTAGAAACAAGGTACAAAAACTCTGCCAACATCAGTCAACAAACAATAACTAGTCAATTTACAGATAACAGGCAATCTTAATTTTTTTGAAATAAAATATACAAAAATATATAAATATGTATTTTAATGGAAAGGTAAATTTACTTTCTAAACTAGAAAAAATTATACTTGTGGGTTTACTCATCATGCAGGTCCCAAAGCTGCGACTTAATGAAATCAAGTCTGAGACATTATTAATTAAGACACTATGCAAAGTATTCATATGCAATCTAATTAAAGAACCTTTAACAAACATTCTTCAGTTGTTCCTCAGTATGAACTTATTAACAGCAAATTGTCAGAAGTGTTATTCCAATCAGAAGTTGTAAACTTCTGATTGTGGTGTTCATAAACATTTCTGCAGCCCTTATCTTAAATAAATCATTGTTACTGGAAAGCAACACAGTTACACAGGCACTCCATTGAAAAGTGATGAGATCTGGTGATGAATGCAGTTAAACCTTGGCCTCTCAGTTGGCATCAACTTCCAGCAGCCTTGCATAATTTCATACATTTCTTTGGGACACTCTTTTGGACAAGGAAGAATGTCTCCACCATTCACCAAAGAAATAACTTCATCATCATTCATTCCATAGTATGGTGTTAAACCACTAGAGTAAATCTCCCATAATACAACACCAAATGACCAGATGTCAGTATCCTCTTCAAATACACCATACTGGAGGGTTTCAGGGGGGAGCCATCTCACAGGGTAGCCAGCTCGCTCTATGGATCCCAAGGAGAAGTAATCACTATTTGGACCTTTCCAAGAGAAACCCAGGTTTGAGATCTTGACTACCATTCCTTTGCCCATGATGCAGTTCTTGGTGCACAATTCTCTGTGGACATAACCCTTATCTGCTAAGTATTCCATACCACTTGCTATCTGCTTGGCAATGGATATCTGATCTATGTTTGACAGCTTTGGTTTGGCATTTTGTATATCAGTGCGTCGATGGATTGAACAATGACCACGGCCTGATTCAATGAGAAATTGCTGCAAGCATTCATCATGCTCTGAAAACTCAAACACAAGGCACAGAGGTGGGCTGTCCACACAGACACCATACAAATTTTGCACATATGGGTGGCTAAATGTGGTCAGGGCAATAGCATCTTTCTCAAAGTTCCTTCTATCCTCTTCCAAAGAGTATTTTTCTTTGAGCAATTTCACCATAAAGAGTGGACCTTTTCTTTCCTTGTCATTTTCCACTTTGGTTTCATTCACACTGGCAAGAAAGAGGCTTGAGAAGTTTCCTGTAAATGAAAAAGGGTAATTAATATGCATGCTGTCCCGAAGAAGGCAATCAAAATAAACAACTGCATTGCTAGGGAGTGTTATGCTGATATGACAGCAAATTATCTCCACTTGTTTTCAAAGCAACGAAAGACTTAGCAAAATTTTAATCAACTTACCATTTCCATGTCCCAGTTCTTTGATGAATTCCATCCCGTTTCTTGATACCTGCCAATTCAGTAGCTGTGGGTTGACATAATAGTTTGTGTGCTGCTCATATATTGGATTATTTTGTAAGTTCTCCAAATCAACAGGTGTTGGTAAGTTTTTCAATTTGAAATTGCCACGGCGATTCATGACAAGGACCCCACATAGGATGAACAAGACAGCTAACACAACAAATGCCATGACCAAAATAATGGTCAACTGAGTTGAAACTCCTGATGATGGATTAGACTCCACAGCTGCATCAACTAAAAAATAAAATTAAAATAAATGACATATTGTGTAATTCTAGATAGAACAAGGTCATTTTTCATATACTTTTGACATAAATTTCAAATTCAGAGTGAGTCTTGTTCTTAAAAAAACTTGGGCTTTCAATAATTGGCAGAGAAATGAAAGCATAGTACATTCATTTATTAAGTGGAACAATGTCGCTCAACAAGTTTGGGATGACTGAGATTTGGACTATGTTTGACAAGGAAATGAAACACATGTTTATTAGACCTTGCTATTAACTAGTACCATGTTACCCCTTAGAACCAAAGATTTGGAAAATGAGAAAATTTGTTACCTTTAGCAGCTGTAATGTAGGCTGTCTTTGAGTCGATGTTGTGATTATTTTTTGCCTCACATTGGATAGCTGTCCTGTCTTTAATAACTGTTAGAGTGAAGAGAGATACTCCATTTTCATCTTCTGGTAAGTCCTCGTAATATTTACCCTCTATCAGCCATCTAAACAGAGAAGTAAATCATGATACATCACTGAATGGCAAAAAAATTGTTTATTAAGACCACTTTGCCAGACTGTAGCCTGGCTAAGTATGAGAATGCTTTGAACAATAATTCTTGAATCTTAATAAATAAATGTACATATAGTGAGGATACACAAATGTACATATAGTGAGGATACACAAATGTACATATAGTGAGGATACACAAATGTACATATAGTGAGGATACACAAATGTACATATAGTGAGGATACACAAATGTACATATAGTGAGGATACACAAATGTACATGGAAGTCAAAGAAAAGATGCTTGAGGTAATTTTGGTAAAATTGCTTGCCATTCACAACAAGCTCACTGAAAACAATTTACTAATATTTGTATCTACTATGCATTCTTAGTGCACTTCCATTGCACAAACTGTACCTGATCTTGGGTTTAGGATCTCCTTCTGCAGCACATTTTAATGTCACATTAGCTCCCAGCTCTGCAGTCAAATTGGCTGGCACTATAGTTATCACAGGTGAAGACCAGCTGGGTGCAGAAGTTGTTGAGTCATCATCTGTCACAGTGGTAAGTATCACAGGAGCTTAATGAAATAAATTAAGATAAAATAAATCATTAATTGTCAGTGACAATTTACAGGTGTTTAAAGTCTAATTAAATTTCAGCATCTACATTAATTTGTTAATGGCATTGCACTCGTATCCTGTCTGGGAGGGGGGGGGGGGGGGAGACGACACTCCCGGTGACTTCACAATATGAAAACTGGAATCAGCTCAGCTAGAAATGGAGTACATCATCAGAAAGAATCAGCCAAACCTTAAGTTAATTCTAACCTGTTACAACAATATTTGTAGCTTTCGAGTCCATTCCAAACTGATTGGCTGCTGTACAGTTCACAACTGCATTTATGTCTGCTGGGAATTTCAGCTGAGAGGTGAAGTTCTTTTGGATGGCCATTGCTGTCTTTTCTTCTCCATTGACTTTCCAACTGTTAATGCAATTAAAAAAAAAAACCAAAAGCAAAATGAAAATGAAACAACATGTTACTAAATACATTGGGCTAATATATAAGTGGCCCTCACTGATGGAGCTTATCATAGCATCTCTACTAATTAAAAAAAAGGTTTCTTCCTTACATCTTCGTAACATTGCAAATGCAGACTACAATACATTATGATCTGTGAATGATTCAAAGCCATACCTTATCCTAGGAATGGGATCTCCATAGGCTTGGCAATTCATAACAACAGTGTCACCAGTTGAGACATTCATGGTAGAGGGACCCTCTTTTATGCTGGCTGCTTCTAAAAATTCAGAAGAAAACAAAAGAACTTTAATTAATGTGCACTTATTTTCAATTTTGGTCATAAAGAAATGAGGATTGATATCTTTTCCTCAAAGTTGAGAAAGTATTATTTCACATTTATTTATCACAATTAAGATGGTACACCTTGGTGAGTTAAGAAAAACAAATTACTTTTCTGAGAACAACAGGGCAACCAATAGTATGACAGAATGATTGCTTAAAAAAATTTTGGACCTAAATTTTTATTCTATGGTCAGAGAAAACACAAAAAGCTTGGTCAAAGTCTTCTGATTTCAAAGCTCAAAAATGAATGAGCTCTGTAGAACATGTACCTTTCACAAGAAGGCTTCCAGAGGAAGAGATTTTTCTCCCCATATCAATGTCCTCCACTGTGCAGTTGTACTCTCCAGCATCATTTTTTGACACTCTGGTCAACAACAGAGTTGATTTCTTGTTGTAAGAACTGTTTTTGATCATGGTAAAGTTTGATTTACTCCGACTCAAGCTTTTTCCATCTTTCGTCCATGAAATAACAATATTTAGACTTCCATCTTTGACCTGGCAAGTAAATTTAACCTGTTGCCCAACAACTCTGACAGTGGTATCCATCAATGTTCTTTTAAAAATCATAGATTTTATGGGCCTCATTGCTTCCATGACAAATGAGGCCTTGAATCCACGATAATTCAAAGATCTGTCAGACTTGAATGTGATATACATATAACTTCTTGGTGTTTCCACATTAAATGGATTTTTATCTCCACAATACTTTCCTATAAGTGTGGCAGAACTGTTCTTCCCTTCATAAATTTTAACATTATCACTACCGCAACCATAACTTGTTTCCAGCACAAAATCAAAAAACTGTAATTTGATTTTGTATCCTGAAGGTGCCTTTATCAACCAGGAGCATTTTGAATGACTTGGATATGTCTTTGGGTAATCTGGAGTTTTTAATTCTCCAGTTCTTTCTGTAAAGATGATGTGACCACAGTTTCCATCTGCAACAGAGAAGAAATTATAATTTAGTACCCTTTCAAACCTTTTCTCTCCCACGAACTCAATATTAACTCTCCTTACTGTCTGCTTTACATTTCTCATAATTTCCATTCTAAGAATGTGGTAATAAATCAAACTTTATCTTTTAGTACATCATCTTTCTGCTTGACAAGATGTTGGCATTCTATAGGAAAATGACAAATTCTAGTAATTCTCTTGGGGGAAAGTAGAGAGACCCTGGAAGCCATGTACCTCTCTCTCCACTTCCCCCTAACACTATTTAGACAGGTGAAGGACCACTAAAAAAGGTCACATCTAGCATGACATTGGCTTTGCTTCCACAAAATTTTATCTTATATGACCATTACACTTTTTGAAAGACTATTAATATTAAATGAATATGTTTTATCACATAGTATCAAACATTTTCTAAAAACTTGACAACCAGACATAATTTTTAACATGGCTAAAGATATATAGTTATTGTACCATTAGATCAATGAATAATTATGCTGGTATTTCTTTTGTTAAAATGAGTAACGGTACACTGTAAGTACTAGACTATAATGTCATGTCTGAGGTTAACTCCAATCATAATTTCAATATATTGATCTAACTATCAATTCTCTGCAATGTCTGCCAAACATGTCTCATAATGTTAGATCTGAAAATTTGGTGTTCAATCACAAAATATTCCCCAGCTGATGCTTTGCTATCTTCTCATAACCTTTCCCCTTGAAAATGAATTAATATCACTTTTTGCTATATCTTGGGGAATAAAAGGTTTAACAGAAGGTAGCTACTGATTTTTGAGCTCTGAGAAAAGTATGTTACATCATTCTGCTGTAAGTAGAACACAGGAAGGAAAGGTTGCGTTTAAGCACCATATCTGAAGCCACACAATTTACTCATCCTTAGTCCTGCCCAAAGATTAAAGCAAGAAAACTTGACCATACATGGAATGGTTTAAGCACTGAAAACTCCCTATTTATATTTACATTTTTCCAGAGAATATAACATCCCTTTCTTAAAAGTTTGATTATCTAAATCCCCTGACCACATTTTCTTGCTTAAAATTACAAGATCTTCAAATAAAAATCTGCCCTCATAATCTTTGGCTATTTTTCAACACATTTTTTTGCCCTTAGGCTTAACAGTCAAATGGGCGGTTTGAGGTTGTTGCACAATGATACTATGGTAAAATTCTGAGAATAAATTAATCAGATTCTGTAAGACACAAAAGAACTCCTTTAATATATTATGCTGAGCACTGTTCTTTGTCAAGAAAGAAACAGCACCACATCAGAGGGCAATTCACACATCATGATTTCAGTTGATTTCCATAACTCTCGAATCCCAATAAGAAAAAAATAAATATTCATATAATGTGAAGGATACATGTTTCTTTTAAAGTCTTCTTAAGGGACCTATAAGGAATAATTGTCTTCATATCAGTGTTCTACCTTTGGTAGGTGTGGGAGAGGATTATCCAAGCTTAGAAGGAAGGAGAGTAAAACCTCAAACAGGCTGGCAACATATAAGATATTGTCTTGAGATGAAGTACATTACAAGCACTTTTATATGAGATGATAATTAAGGCTGGAACGGTTTATAAGACAACTTTTGTCAGAGGTTCAAGGCATGGCAGGTTTCATCCCAGTAATCATCAAGACTTAAGCCCTGTTGCTGCTCAGATGGAAAATTTTGCTTCACTACCAAGATAAACAAGGTGGGACCTTTCAAGTCTTCTCCCATTAAAAATTGAGAAATCAGATGGGATACCTTCAAACCTCTTTGAAACTAATAAATTTGAGTAATCCATGGAACCTTTAACGTCCAAATGTAATATTTTCAGAGAAAATAGATTCCACTCTTCAACTTAAATGATGGGTTTTCAAAAACATTCTTTCAGCACCATACAGGTGTCACTGAGATTGACTGTTACCAAAGCATAGTTTCACAAATCTTTTTCATGACACGTTGAATAAAATTTGCAACTTTGATAGTCATGAATAAATATATACTCTAGCATGAATTTACTACCGGGGGTTAATGAAGGTTCCTGACAATAGGGGCTTGAGGCTCCTGTTTCTATTGCCAGTCCATGAAAACATTATGCACAACAGATTGTTGCTTAAAGAGAGAAATTGAAGGAAAACACTTTTGGAAATGTTCTCGAGTTCAAGTAATTATATTACACCCGTTCTGTCTAATATTACTCGTCTCACGCGATTCGAGGTTATATATAGCAAGCAGAGATGTATCGTTCTTTGTCACTTAGTAGCATATCCTTTTGACTAAGTGATTCAAAAACTGTTTAGAAAACTAAAGGGACGATTCTATGGAATTTTTTGTTGGCTCTTTTCTAGAAGAGAAATTTTAATTTTCAAGACAGCTAACGATCTGTTCAACGCAATTCGTGCGTGTCATTACTTCACAGCCGGCCGGATTTCACAAGCTTATTTTTATTCAACTTATCTTTTTTAATTATAATTCATACGCACACATAAGGAACCAATATGTCTGAGAGAGAACAAATTATCAGGGAAGAAAATTGCCCTTACTCTAGAATAAATACCGGTCAAGCTGGCAATGCCGAAGAGTAACGTAACTAGGTAATAAACTTATCCAGAGATTTACAACTTATTTAAGTAAAAATTAACCCTTAACCAAACATTGTTACCAAAGAGAGATTATCAATATCAAACAATGTTTCAGAGCAAATAATGCGCAAAGATTTTGTGTGGATAAAATATTCGCTTTATCGCCGCAGGAAACTCATTCAAAGTCTTGTCTTTCGGCACGCTTCAGAAATAAAGATTTCTAAAGAGATGCTGCCGAAACCCCGCGGCTCTCCACAATGAAGGGTTTGAATATATCACAGATTGTCTTTACTGCTACTTTACTCTGAAACTGTATTAAAATTAAACATAGTTGACTAACCTGTTAGAGAAACTAAGTGACCAATGAGGAAAAGAAAGACGCTATGATAAAACACACTGGTACAGCCAAGACGAACTCGGTGAGGAGCCATTTGCAGGATCATCTTACTATTAGTATGCGTTGAGGTCCAGTGAACAAATTTCCAGAGTTCTCAGTTTTTAGCGCCTACCTATGGACCCAAGTTTACAAAGAAACTTCAAAAGTGTGCAGAAAAGAGAGTCTTCTGTAATCGTTGAACGTGAGGGAAACTGCCGACCTCAAAATCAAACGCAAATGACTCATTTATCACAGATAAGCTAGCTGTCTACTCCCTTAAGAAACGGAAATGCCTTTTGCGCCACAGCGGTGTGCGGTTCGTTACGTATTTCCTGTAAGCTGTCAAACTTCGTATCCAAGTTCGTTTCAGCGAAGAATTATCGACCTTTAGACTGAACCGGCGGAACACAATCGAATATGGATCCTACATGCGTGGTGTAAAAGTCACATAATGACTATCCCTTTCTCAGTACTCAAACAACCGCAACTTTCAAAATGATGGTTGATTGCGGAGGTTAAGGATTGCAGAGTTCGACTTGAAAAAAGAGTCAGTGTTTACATGCAATGGTATGAAAGTCTGTTTGTCGTGTATACCTTCTTAACAGCTCGGAGCCTCGGACAGAGTACTTTTAAACAAGTACAACGTGTAAACTTTGTTCAAACTATCGTACAGCATGCGCTTGACTCGGGATTTGTGTGATTCATGTATTCAGTTTTCTATTTTTTCTTTCACAGAGCAAGCATCCAAAAAGGATTATCTTAGTGAATGGAGAAGAACGTGTTGGTTCGTTATTGTTAGCAGAACCATGCAGTTCTTTTGGGTGAGAATTTATGGAAAATGCCTTCATTTCTCACTTACATGCACAGTTAGTAAAAAAAACTTTGTGCACAAATAAAGTATTTTTCGATTAATTTTAACTTTTCCCTTTTTTTTGCTGAATCAATATCTTAAGATTTATAAGAAGCCTATTGACTGTGCTTCTGTTTATTATTTTCATTACTTCTTCTGCAGCCCAAGAACTTTTCAAAAATCGTCTTGGACAAAGCCACAAAAAAAGGACAAGGAGACAATCTCCACTGCAACAAATTCAAAGGCAAGCAGTTGTGAAGAAGCAGTGTCAGTCTTTTCTGCAGATTATGGCAAATGCATGCCCAATTTTTTCCATCCTTACCAAAACATGTGCACAACAGAATTGCCTTTGCACATATAGGATCTCATTGAGTTCTGCCATGCCATGTAGACTGGGTGTCAGTCATGTACAAGTAAGAGGGTTTCAGTTTCAGATCCTGTCAATGGCACACAAAGCCCTTTTTTGTTTTAAGTATGCCTCAGCCATTTTCTTTTGCATTATTACAAAAAGCTTTTAAGTTATTCTCAAAATCTTGCAAAATCTGTGTTGAAGCAGGTTTTTTCTTCTCCATTATTTCAATGAGATTTTGGGACATTCCATGCAGTTGTTCTATTACATGAACTCTGCAATTCTCCACTTTTCACTGTTTATTGTTTGGTATGACCAAAAGTCTTGCACAGATTAAGAACTATTAAAAATTAAGTCAGCACTCTGATTTTGATTCCCTGATTTTTTAGCTGGTACTCAGCAGATTTAAACATATTAGATTTTCTTCCAAAAAAAAACTGACTTAATAACCTTGTTGTGTACATTTGTTTTCAGAAGCGTAGTGCATGGATTGCAAGTTCATTCAGTGACTTTGATGAAGGAAATACTAAGAAAACAAAACAAGCTAACATCAACCATTCACTTGTAACAAGTAAAGCTCCAGGCACTTTCTCAGATAGACCATCATGCAGCTCTGATTCACTTATTAATCTTTTTAAGCAGAATAAGTAATGTGCAGTGGTGAGATGAATAAAGGGGTAGAGAAAACAGGAAATGAAAAGAACTATCATAGCAGCTATATATGGTCTAAATTTATTACTATGATGATATAGATTACACCTCACTCACAGACTGCAAAAAATCAGTTGTGCAATATTAATTTTTTTAATGCACCATTTATAACTTTCTGTGGAAATTCTAACCCAAGTCTTAACCCATCTTAAGGTGAAAGCAGCCAAGCTGCCCATCACAAATTTAGGAAAGATGAAGATCTATGGCTTGAAAAATATAAACCAAAATCAGAGGTATTGTCTGAAATTGTTTTATTCAATGTGAGTTGCATAAGGTATCTTTTTTTAACAATATGGTGAAATTTACTATGAAAGTGTTGAATATTAATTTATTTTTTATTTAGCTTGAACTGGCTGTTCACAAGAAAAAGGTGGCTGAAGTACGTAACTGGTTTTTGGATCAATTATGTACACAGGTTAGTTAAGAGAGGGTGTCTTCCTCTGTATTTTTAACAGCAAGCCAACTCTAATTAATATAATAATAAAGTTCGGATATAACATGTACTGTCATTAGTTGAAAGAGCATGCTCTATGAGAGTATAGAGCATAGAATTTAGCTAAAGCTGTCACACCATCTGCCAAATCGTACTATGTCCGACCTTTTCTGGGACTTCTTTTTAGCTTTTCTTTCGTTAATTGAAAGTGAAATTTTGGAACAAGCGAGCAAAGGTTTGCAAAAAATTCCAGGCACAGTAATTTACATTACTGTAACATAAGCAGAGACAAAAATCCTCAAAGATAAAAAAAAAATGGACAGTCCAAGTTTTAAAGGTTTTCATGCTCAGTTAGATTGTGAGTTTACATGTATCAAGAAAAGTGGATCAGCTTAGATTACAGCATGCTTTGTTAAATGATTAACAATGACTGTATATGGCTACTTTGGAACAATGGCAGAAACAGCTTCAAAATACACGCGGGATTTTTCAAAATTTCCTATTATCACACAAGCAGCAGATTTAAAACATTGGCAAAACTGACGACAAGACAAATCCTCCCCGTAATAAAAATCAAACACAGCTAACTCTTGTATAGTATATAAAGTTTCGTTTTCAAAAACAAAACAGAAAAAACAGGTATGATGAAAAATATAACGTGGCATAACTGTTAAAATTCATACTAATCATTACGGTGTCAGAGCAACTGCAATCATGCTAAGATCTATCGCGGCTAGCTCATCATGGTGATCTCTGGTCATCACAGTGGAGCAAGCCTCAGGAACTAAATTGACTACCTTTCAAGTGAAAAAATAAGAGCTTGCCCTGATTACCTTTCCGATGTGTTGAGTGGAAGGCCACATCAGTCACTGCAGCCAAGTTTTACGGCGCTGTCATTCCAAGCAATCTTCATGTCCTAGTGAATTTGGCTGTTGTTCATTCATAATACACTCATAATACACTTGAACAGTTTGTTTTCTACTTGTCCTGTGAAATAACTTGCATATTTTTGTGAGCCATGATTGGACCAAATTTCACTGAACATTGCACTTTCAGATCCTGTACTAGAAACTGAAAACTTCAAGCAAAAGTGTTAAATTTGACATGCTGAGCTATTTTAGTTTGTAAACTATTGCAGAATATGAACTTTGATAGTTATTGAACTTTGATGGTTTGACATTTTTGACAGCTTTAGTCTTGTACAACCAATCAGATTATTTGAACCATTCTAACAGGGATTCTGATTGGCTTATGGTAGCGTGCTTTATGAGAGCATAGAGCATGCTGACGGTACTGTTGTTTGCTTTGGAAATAAGATTTGTTTTGAAAATTGAAAATAATTCCTGGTGAATTTAATAGATTCTTTATTATAAGACAAATTGAGAAGCCTTGACTGTGCTCTGTTCTGTTGTAAAGCACTTAGGAAGCGGCTAGAGCACTCAAGAAGTAGGGAGAAACACTTGACTATGTCATGTGTTTCCCCCTACTCTTCTTTCGTGCTCTAGCTGCTTCCTGCGTGCTTTACAACAGAACAGAGCACAGTCAAGGCTTCTCTATATGTTAAGTGATTATTGGGATATAATTTTGTGATAGGTTTATTAGTCAATTTATTTGAAGTCATGAATGATCTTTTAATTATGTAGCTAAGATCTTTAAAAAACAGTCCTCAACTAATCCATCTAACTTTTGTTCTTTTATGGTTGGATGTTATGAATAAGTAGAGGAATAAATAAATACATTGAAAAAAAACTGAATAAACATGTCAGTAAACAATTGAATAAATTTGAGTGAGAGGCATCTTTTTTATCATTATTAATATTTTAGACATATAGGGACACAGATAATTTATAAAGGCATAAAATGTTTCCTTTCCTTGACTTGAGGTTTTTTGTTGCTGGAAATTATTTAAAATGTGAAAGCATATTATGACCTTGTCATTAAAACTGTTTAATTTCCTGTCAGGTGGGACATGGTTCTATATTACTCCTGACTGGTCCAACTGGAGCAGGCAAAACAGCAACAGTCAATGTACTTGCTAGTGAGTTGGGATTTGAGGTTCAAGAATGGCTCAATCCTCTTAGTGATACAGAAGGTAACTAGAAATGGTAGAGTTACAGCAGTGAAGTACTTTTACATGTAACTACCTGAAAATCCTGGTTGATAAATGAAAATAACCTAAAAGGACTGCTGAAGTAACTGTGTAAGTAATATTTTTTTTTGGACTCTTCTTAATTTCAGTTTACCAGTAGTTTTATCTTGATTCAGCAATGATGTCATGTATAGTATATTAATGTGTATTTTGGGTTAAGATATTTTTTAAGATATAAATTAAGACAAAAGTTTTTTAACCAGCACCATTCATACCCACCCTGTATATAATATCTCATCAGATGAAGGGTATTTTAACTGGAAAAGCCATAGTCAATCCCAGGTGAAAATTTTTCAAGACTTCATAGTTCGTGCTAGCAAGTACCCCACCTTGTCAATATTCGGTGGGAAGGGAGATAATTCTGTCAAGAAAATTGTCCTGGTAGAGGTAAGTATATTGTAAAGGTCTTAAAACTTACTTTCATCATACTCTCAGAGGCCTGTTTTTGATAAAAAAAAAATATCTTTTAATTGCAAGAAAAGGTAAATTGAGGCTTGCATTACCCTTGATATTCTCACACTATAGGCCCCACTGGATACCATCTGCTAATGATTTCAGTAGTGGGCTCTCTCATTGTAGTATTACAGTAGTTGCGATTATTACCAGGTTTAAAAATATTCAATGACAATTTTACAATCACTTTAAAGTGTACCTTTTGTTGCATAAGTGATAGTAGTTGAAGGATTGGTGGCTATCATTGGATCTAGTGATTTATTTTAGAATTATGTAGCATGTTTTAAATTTCTTTATACCTGTCTGCACTTTTTTTGTAGGACCTTCCAAATATATTTTTCAGAGAGGCTTCAAAGCTTCAAGAGGTTTTGAGGTAAGTGATGTTGATTTAGTTTGAATCCCAAAAATATCAAATTTTGACTAGGATGAAGTTATAGTGACAGAAATAATTGGTTTTTAGACTACTCTGAATCAATCTGAAAAGGTTTCCCTTTATGCATCACAAATATATGAAAGAAGTCAGTGTTGTTTTTCAAATTTTAGTGGGGAATGGTAAACTGACAGATATATGTGGGATGTAATATTTTATCATGATCATGTTTCTAACTGCTCAACAGCACATATAAACAGAGAGGGCAAGTTCCTATAGTATTTGTCATCTCTGACAGCCACCATGGTGATTCAAATGTTCACAAATTACTTCCCAAAGATGTTCAGGAAAAACTGAAGATTCACAACATCAGGTAAAAGTATTGTAACTAACGTAAGGTGTTCAACGTTCATATATGTAGACTTGCCTTGTTTCATAGTTAGATTATATTCTACTAAACACTACATTAAATTTGTCACTAACAGCTTCAACCCAATCGCACAGACCAGCTTGGTGAAAGCCTTGAACAGAATAATATCAACTGAAGCTCAACTGGTAAATAAGACACCTCTCCTATTTATCAGTTCATCCCAAGATCTTTTTAGTAATTCTTCTTACTATCTGCCATACAGTTCTTTTGATGTTAGTGTAGAGAATTTGGCATTTGATCAGTTGATAATTCCCTTAATGATTTTTCCCTTCATTCTCAACACTTTTCCGCTTGATATTATAGTGCTATTGTAGGGAGAAATGCTGTGTTGGTCACTTATGGGAGGTTAAGGGTTCATTTTCCCTCTTCCCCCGCTATAATCCTTAGTTGATGCAAAAAGTCTAAAGATAAAGAAAACCACAAAAAGGTCAAGAGTTGCTAATTATTGAAAAGATCATTCACTTGGTAAGATTTCAGTTTCTAAATTTCTACATTATTTATATTCCCTTTTTAGCAGAATAAAACAACATTTGAGATTCCAGTTAAAGATACTGTTCAGCTCTTGGCTCAGAACAGTGGAGGAGACATTCGCACAGCTATCAATGGTCTCCAGTTCTCCTCTTCAAAAGGTGAGATTGCTGGGATCAATGATGAGGTTTCCAGAGATTTTCCCTGTGTCACATTAAGAATTTTAGTAATTGCAGTAGATCATTTTGAATTTTTTAATTTTCTAATTACAGATCACATTTCCTTTTGCACGGAAAGTTACCATAAAACATGATAATCTTCAAATTTTTTCCAAGTTATAACCTTTGATCTGAAATTCAACTGTCACAGATAAATCACGCACCACCCAAAAGGGGTCTAATGTGACAAAGAAAGATGACAGAAAACCAAACAAGTCAAAATTAAAGAAAACAAGTAGTTCACTGCCAAACAAGATGAACACTTCAGAATCAGTTCAGCTATCCTCTAAATGTCTTCTCTATGGAAAAGAGACAAGAAATAACCTTGAATCAGAAGCAGTCACTGCTATTGGTGGAAGAGACTCAGCTTTGTTCCTCTTCAGAGCTCTAGGGAAAATACTGTATTGTAAAAGTGAGTTATTTATGTTGCATTAAAATTTTCTGCCTGTTGGTAGATGCAAAGGGGAGTACCTGAAAAGCAGTGCATAAAAAACTGTGATATTCATAATAAACATGTTTCATGTTATGTTTTAGAAATGATAGTAATTTTGGTTCCTGAAGGTAGTGTGTAAAAAGACTCTAAACATTGATTTTTTTTTTGTAAAGGAGATCCAACACTTTCCGACTCAGACTTGCTTCCATCTCACCTGTCACATCATGCCAGAAACCAGCTTTTGTTCTGTCCAGAGGTAGTATGAAAATTATTTTCAAATATTTATTTTATGTTGTTGTCGTGTTGGATTTTCAGAGCTTATATTGTTAATAAGCACTCTATCCCTTAAAAAATTCAGAACTTAAAAACTAATTATAATAACAGTAAATCATAAAGTCCTCATGAGAAGGGTAATATCTTTTTTTAGTAAGGAGGAATATATAAATACCCTCAGAATAGATTTATGAGCAAGCTTTTTTTTTCAAAATGTGTATCACCTAATATGAATAACCCCAAAAGACAAATGTCAACAATTATTTTCGATATTCTTATCCAGGGTAATAAGTGGCCTGTTTCCTTTTTTATGCAGGAAGTGTTGGAGAAAACACATCTCTCAAGTGAATTTTTTAATCTCTACCTTCATCAGAATTATTTGGAATTCTCTGCTAATATTGATGATGTGGTAGGTAAAGAATGTCCCATTGAATATTTCTAGTACTTAAATCATTTACAGCTCTCTTCTTTAATAACAGTTTAAGTAACATGTACAGGTATAGCATTATATACAGTTGTTGCTTAATACCTCAGAACTCCATTCAACCCATTTAATGTAACAACACAGTGTTTATATATAAATTTGGGCTTAAAATTGATCGAAATTATTTGTAAAAGAAGTCATTTTGATTTGTATTGTCCACCTACCATTGCAACATACTTTCATATAATTTTGATCTTTTTTCTGTCTATGATTCTTAGGTGAATATTAGTGAACATTTCAGTGAAGCAGACTACATGACTAAAGAATGGATGGTAAAGATCTCTCATTTTATTTTTCATCTGTTGATACCCAACGTGATTGAAAAAAAAATTACTTGATTACACGATTCATGGACCATAGGAGTAGCTTCCTTCAAGTTGCAGAGGGCCATTGCAATTGTTTATCTGGATAATAAACTTTGTTCACAAAGGGGCTGTCGTGTCAAACAAATGCTAAAAAGTCCTCGTAATAATATCACAGTTTCAGTCCTCCATGAAGGAGTACAGCTCATGTCTGGCAGCAAGAGGGTTGATATTTAACAGCAGATCAGCAGGGACATCATCAAGTTCTAGTGGGTCAGGGAGAGGATGGAGACCACTTCATAAACCACAGTTGTTTGAGGTCAATAAGAAGGTAAATTATTTCAGGATAAAAGTGGAGGTTCAAATTGCTTCTTTATGTGAGTTAACAGGGAAATAAAAATATTGATGAAAACATACTAGCAATAGCATAGTTATGCCCCTTCCCCCTTCCATAATTTATACATTTAATTTAAACTTGTGACAATACAGTCACTTAAAAAAGTATGTTGTACAAAATCCATTGAAAACTATAAAATGTTGCATACTTTAAACACACCCTCCTCTAATATGGGTTTAAATGACCCTCTCACAGAACTAAGATTGAGATGTTTATTTTTAATTGGTACTGATGATGATGATGGTAGTGTGATACTGAATTACTTTCAGATGCGGGATGGTGTTAACACTGCACAAGATCTCTTCAGAGGTGAGACTTGTGCTGTCATCACTAAATCATTTTGCTGTGGCCAAAGGGGACTTGTCAACCAACAAGTAGGCAATATTGTTAATGAAGGGGAGGGAAGTAGTAGGGTTGAGATCTAGAATCTTGCTAACCCCAAATAAAGAAGTGTTATTTTGGTTGACAGCGATAATTTTGTTGACTTCCTAAGATTACCACTGTCCATCATTAGTTCTGCAAACAGAGGTCCTTCCATACTTGGCCATCACTGATGTTCCCCTGCGGACACCTGGTTTGTTACAATATGAACTATTTTGTTTATTTATCATTTTTATGAATTTGACTATGTCTTTATTTATTATTCTTCTTCCTCCTCCTTGTGACAAACCTAAAACCTCATCAGAATTCTGGGATGGTTAAGGTTCCATTCACTCTCAGTTAACTGAATTGTTAATCTTTCTTGTGTTTAGGACAAATTGCCTTCTTGCAAGCTATCAGCAATTTCAGAAAATCTAAGCATCCATTCAGGTAATGTCCAATAATGAACTACGTAGAAGCAAGCAGATAAATTTCATACTGATTGTGGTTCAGATGCCAACTTTTCACTTTCAAAAACAATATATTTTTTCGGTTTTTTTATTTGTAGGGGTGGCACAGATATGCTTGATGAAAAAGACTGTGGTATGAATAGTGATAATGATGACGAAGTCCATGTTAGTTCCCAACCAAATGGGAATGGCACCCAGGGAGCTAATAAGTGCCTGGCCATGGGTGAAGAGTGTGATTCACAAGGAACCTCTGAGATGCCTCGAGATGATGATGATGTTATAGAAGATTTTGATGATGAAGACTTTTAAAGGGTTTAAAAGAGCTTCTGACACCTTCCACTCATGCAGGGTGGTTCATCTGAGTGTGATGCAGTGCCCCCCTTAAGGTTGTCATCATTTGTACAAAAGCTATAGCCATGATTATGGTAGACCCAATCTTTACAAGGGTTAGTTTGAAGTAAAGTTTGTCTAATTTCACACAACTTGTGGTCTAAATGGTAGTAATATTAAATTACCAGAAGTAAGACCTGGATCTAAAAGGAGAACATTGTAAATTGTGTACAAAAACATAAAAACAGATTATCTGTAGTTTGTTTTGTCAAATACATCCAAGTTTAGAAGCTATTCATTGAAAGATTACAACTGCCATTTGGTTCATAGTGCAGCACTGACTTCCTCAACTTGCTGCCCTCAGGCTCAACTTATAGTGTTTTATAATGTCCAAAGGAAGAAAGAGAAGCATTAATTTGAAAGTTATACAGATGGCAGAAGAAAGCAAAAGATCTGTAAATAAACATCAAATTATTACCTAATTTAACAAAACATTTTCCTTTGAGTTATTAGTCGTATTATGTATTTACATGAAGAAAAAGTGCTTCACATAAGATGAAACTTTAAAAATATATATATTAAAAGTGAATGACGATTAATGGTTGGATTCAAAGGCTCCAAAATCAATGATTATGGGCTTTTCTGCATTGTATGCTCTTGTTTTGATACTCACAGCTATGTCATGGAGTAACAAGCTTGAGATTTAAACTTTTCACTGTCCAGAAATTTATCAGACTCATTTGTAAATAATTGCAATAATTATTGTTGTGTAGGAGTCTGTACATTTCCTGTCTAAGACAGGTAAACTTTATCACCAGACTCTATTTGTTTCAAGCAGTTTTAAAATCTGCTGTAGTATCTGTGGTGAATGTTTCTTGAGGGCAATACCCAAAAGAACTGGTTTGCTGGCATGCTCAGTTATAAGGGCTCCGATCTGTTTAGCATAAACATGCCAGATTTCCTGCAATGTAATAACATGTTAAAAAATAAATACAAACATAAGTCAATGAATGAAGTGATATTAACCTTCTGTCAGTAACAGTCCATCCTCTCAAAAACCTGTTGTAATCATGAATAATTTTCCACTCATTGACAGTATTTAGAGTGAATCTCTTCATACACCTTAAAAGACTACAAAGGTAAGGGCTAACGCTCAAAAGTTTAGCTTTTTTACCCTTTACGGTGGCTAATTTACGTTTTCAACTCAGTTGTTAACACTAAATTACCCATTATATTTATTAGCTTATTAATTAATTTAGTGGGCATGAAAATGTTACTTTTTTGCAGTCTTTTCTTGTTCCTTTTTTTTCCTTCAGGATTAACAGCTTTAAGGCCTGGTCTGGAGAACAGACATACTCATAAAGAAAACTAGCCTGCAGTGCAGGCATCTTATAAGGGTGAATTAATGTTAAGAAGCTTGCAATCATTTATTCAACCAGCCATGTTTGATTTGGAGATAAAGGTAATGAGGGGAGGGGGGGGGGGCAGGAAAGGTGAAAATCTTCACTTCCCCAATCTTACCCCTGGTGCAATTTTCTTTCTCTCCACAGCCTTCTTTTGTCATTTAATTAAAAGAAGGGGGCCATAATTTTCCCTAACAAAATACTGAGCACTTGATTACCTTTGCCTGCTTACGCCTGCTCTGCAGGCTTAAAGAAAACCTGCTAAGATTATGAAGTCTTACACATTTCCCTGCATGATAGCTCAGTGAATTTGGTACTGGTCACCAGTAAATTTACTGTGTTCTGTAGTTGATAATTTCCTAAATTCTTGCCATCTACTTACTTAGCAATGAGTTCATATCCCATGGAGAAGATGCATTTGATCACCTCTGAGATTGATGGAGTTTACGCAGAACTAGACAACAGTATAGAACTTGAACAAACCTCATCACTGCCCATGAGTATTCTTGTGTTGAATGTCTGTGCCTCTCTTTTGGATGAGCTCTCTGTTGGAGACATCCTATTTACACTAACCTGCAAGGGTGTTCAATGCACAGATGATTTTTGAAGGAACTTAGTTTATGCAAATTAACATACTCAAAGCTTTAAGTTCTCAATGACAAAAGGATTACGAGGAGCCTATTGGGAACCTGATGCAACTTCACATCCAAAGAAGCCCATCAGACCGTTTGAAATGATTAACAACACCAGCAAATATGTTCGAACAACCTCCTGTCAACCCTTTTAATAACTCCCATGGGCAACCAAAACAAAATTTCACCTGAAAATATCAATACAAAACCTAGCAGACAAGTGATGAAAATACAGGAAAACATCAACTAGGGGTTTATTAGTTGATCCAAAACAAAATTCTCCAACCATACATGATAAAAATTTAAGCAAGACAATAAGGAAGATTACAAATGAGATCTTAGGAGTGAAAACGTGTTATGGATAATGTCACAATACATATCAGCCAAAGATCACATGAAGCTCAAAATTGTTTTTGATACGATGGTTGAAATTATTCTAATTTACGCTCAGAGATCTTGGTGTAAATCATCACTCAATCATCCAATCATCACCGAAACAGCTATCAAAGAAAAAATGTAACAAAAACTTAGGACACCAACACTCACCAACGTTCCAATCTTCTCAAACTGTGAAACGATCAAAAAGATTCTGTCCTGATAAGCAGAACAAAACACTTCTGTGTGGGTTCCTTCGATAATTGCCGCAGTCTAGAAAGTAAGATAATTATCAAAAAACCACGCTGCAGAACTTGTGATTCACGAAAAAGGTACTATTACCTGACGGGTTTTCACAGCCTGTGCAGCCATTTTGAAATCTACTAAAGTATGGGGAAAATGTAAGGTTTGAGGAGGAGTGGGAAGCCTAAGAGATCAAGCGTCACGCTTTCCAGGTTGCTGCGTGACTGCTCACTTGTGTGAGACCTCGATAGTCGGCAGCCACTTGTAAAATTTCGCTAAGGAAATATCTGTGGCGGAAAACCACTATGATTTTCGTGTTACAGGTGATTTTAATTCTAATTATTGTTGATAACAATTGAAAATAATTTTTTCCAAGCGAATTTTTCTGATGCGACATGCTCGCTGATGATCAAATGCACAATACCTCGATGTCATGTGTACGTTAACTGGAATATTTGCTGTATGTTACTGTTGTCTAAATTGAAATCAAACTTTTTTAATAGGTTTGTCTTCGTTCTTATGAGCTTCAGTGTCATATCTCTGTCGCATGTTACCGTAGATTTTGATAATTATACTAAGAGGAGTAATATCATCTCGATTACATTCGAATGACAACAAATATTGTCTACCTTCGGCCTCGCTGCGGTTGTTGCGTTCCATTCACTTACGTAACTCAATTAATTTCAGTAATCCCTGCATTGAACTTGAAGCCGGAACCAAGTTAACGTATTCTGAATCAAGAATAATTATTCGTTTGCCCCAGTAACTGATAATAAGCCGATGTTGACGTAAGTACCTTAGCAAAGGCGCCTTTTTAAGTACTTAGTTTCCTATGTGCGTAGAGGACTCAAAATTTTTTAAAGGGTGGATCCTCAGTCTACCGTTAAGTTCTCTCTCTACTTTAAACTATTCTGAAAATCTTTATCGATTCATCCGTGATAGAACACTGAGTCAATAAAACATCAAGCTGTGCGACAACCTTTGTAATATGAGATAAGGTTAGTTTGACGTTAGGACGCGGGCATTTTCATAGGTGAAATATGTTATTGTTTCGGGATTTTATTCCCGATATTTCACCTTAAGAGAAATGGAAGAATGGAAAAACGGTGGAAAACATGTTTTAATTAAGATTCTTTGGTACAGGTAAACAATCATCCGTTCCAAATGTTAACATTAAGAACAAAAATTAAGGGCGACCCCCTCGGCCAACATATTTTATATTCGTTATATTGATGACTTAAGGGCTTACGTCTTCTTAACCAAACGATTTTAAAAGACGTTGGAAAATGAAGTCAACATTTCATTTTTTTTTTCCTGTGTTTTTTGTTTTGTTTTTTTGTTTTTTGCTATTAATACTGAATTTAAAAAAAATCGGCACTTCGGATGCATTTTGGTTTTCAATTTTCATCGTTGGGTGAAAATCTGATTCGAATTTTCACTGTGGTAGTATGTGTTTTGTAGGTATGTATTTCGAGAAATGGCTTTTTTTCGCTTATTATGCTTAACTCATACATCCCACTCTCTGGACGCCATCCACTAAATGTTCTGGATTTAACTTTGTATTGCTTGGCATTAAAATAGTGGATTTCTCCAGAAAATGCTGTCACCCTTGAAATTGCAAAGGAAAGTGGGACTGACTTGAAAGAAATGAGGTTTAAGTTAAGATGATCATTATTAAGACGGTAAAACTGGAAGAATTCCAGTTTGGAATCTCTATTATTTGCACTTTGCAAACCATTAGCTCAACCTATTTATTGTAACATTTGCAAATAAACATTGCATGTCAAATACAATTATAATGTATTCCCACCACAGAGTCAAGTTATGAATTTAATCACCGTGAATGAATTTCAATTATATTAACAGGCAAGTCAATAATTTTGATTCTTTTTTTGCGCTGATCAAAATGCATTAGATTGGAAAACACAATTTTACAAAGGCACACACTCAACATTGTAGCTAAGATAATGTGTTTTCTTCATTTATGTTCCAAATCTAAGCAACAAGATTTAACAACCTCTTGTCTCCAGCATCTAATCAATTTCATTATTACCTTATGTCCTTGGGTAGGTCTAAATCACCTTCTTAGTGTACCTGAAAAAAGTAAAGGTAAAAAAAGCATTGTTTAAAAAAACTGTGATGTTTGCAAAAACTTTTTCTTTTAATCTATTTCAGGTCACAGCTCAGCTGCTGCTCCTCAGTGTCTCAACTGTGTTGGGATTTTCTAAAGGTCCTCCATTGAGTACCTGTGAGAGTAAGTTCCCTCACCACAAACATGCCCCGGCACAACAAGGACTGCCTCCCTATAACATCAATGTATCCACACTCTTGTACAGCCCCGGAGACAACCTGACAGTGACCATCTCAGGATCACAGCCTTTTACAGGATTCATTTTGAATGCACAGGGGACTAAAGGTTCAATTCCTTGGCCAGTAGGAACATTTACTCAAATTCCAAATTGTATGTATTCTCTAAACTGCTTCTTTTACTTCTTGCGTATAATTCAAGACAGTTCATGGGAACAAGACATCCAAGAAAGTAACTTTTTCTTTTTTACCATGAACTTAAGATGAAAATAAGGGGTTTCTAAGTTTTCTTCTACCATGGAAGATTGTTAATTGTTTACAACACTGAAACTTGAATGCCCCAAAATTCCCAGTACAACCCTTGTATAGGACTCCCCCCCCCCCCCATTGGAGAATTCTGCTGACACCCCTAGGACATCAAATTAGACCCAAGTACTTTCTCCTTAACTATTCTTGCAAACAAACAAAGAAAGGAAACAGGAGTCCCTGGCTGACAAAGGATACAACATTTCTGGATGATCTTTGGTGAAAGAATGGTGGTCATACCTTTTCTTTTTTTTTGGAAGCGTTAATGGACAAGCAGACATGTTTTTTTTCCTCTTGTAGATACAGCTTATTTTTACTGTTCTGGAGGTAATCCAAAGGTAAGGTACTGCATATTTATTTCAAATTCTTTTATAGTCAATAAACGTTATAGATGTCTTGTTGTTGGTTTCTCTTTTTTGCTTATATTTAGAACACAGTTGGTCATAACAATCCTAAGCCAGCTAAGAATTTGAATTCACTTCAGTTCACTTGGATGGCTCCTGAAAAGAGCGCAGGGAACATCAGCTTCATGTTAGTAACATATATGTTTGTTTTAAATGTCATAATATTAAGCTTAACATGTTGAAATGGGGGGGTTGGGGGTGGGGTGGGGAATTGGGGGTGGTTGTGAAATGTAATATGTTGGTCAATTTGACGTTTCCACCTCCCTCCACCTGGGAGTTTATCAAAAACCCACCCTAAGGCCAAAATTGAGTTCAAATGTCCTTTCCCAAGTGCTAGATTTGATGGTCAATTATTTGGTGAAACCTAAAACTTAGACCCTGTAGACCTCCTCCTCCTTTCCTCCTCCATCTGCTTGTGAAAGTGAACTCTTTTTCTTTAAGCACCTCCATATTAAAAGATAAAATGTGTGTTCCCCTGGAAAGACTTGATACTTTTGGTTCAAATTCCCCACCCCACCCAGGCAAGGTTCAAATTTTCCACCCCACTGTCCAGGCATGAAGGACAATCAAATGTATGTGGGTTGCCCAAATGGAAATGTTGAAGCTTTGAATTGATTGTTGCATTATTGTAAGCGTTTTGTTACACTAAGCCCCTTGTGCAAGGCACTCCACAGTTTAACTGTGTAGACAGAGTTCCTTCAGGAAATATGTTTAAATATGAGGTCCCTGCCTTTTGCAGACTTTCACATGTTATTTATTTTCTATATATAGCGCAACCATCGTTCAGAACTATTCCACTTTCTGGGAAAAAGTTACTTCACCTGTTGTTCACGGTCCGCCAGTGGAGAATGTCACTAGAGGGACTTCAACAGAGAGCTTTCAGGTGAGGCTATCAAAAAATGGGCCCAGCAAATGTATGGTTTTCTATCATGAAGCCTTATTTCCATGACCCTTTGTTCTGGAACCATTTTACATTGTAGATTGACAAAAAGGGATGTGGAGAGACCAAAGGGTGTTACTCCTTACCATCAAACTGCGCTGGAAGTGGAGACTGTACCTATCTTTTCACTTACAATGTTTCTGGAAGAAATGTTATCATAGACATGAGTGCTAAAGAGCGCTGGGTGGCAGTTGCTTTTAATGAAAATAAGCTAATGGTAAGAGGAAACACCATAGAAAATTCAGCTTATTTGCGTGTTTTCATGATCTTTTATGTTCATACATTTTCTCAGGCAACAAATTTTGTCTTTTTTTGTTGTTCTCCTTCTTAAGGATAAGATGGACTCCATAATGTGCACTACCATGGCAACTAATTTGGCAGAATTTCGTCATTTCTATTCTATTGGTCACAGTGTTGTCCGACAGGACCTGGTGAGGAATATCTGGCTATTTCTTTATAGCATGACAGTGTCATCCTCATAATTAGTAGAACATATTGGGTGATAAGATCCTTCATAAGATAATTTCTCTCTCAGACTGGTAACTCTGACGTCACCTTTGACAAGATAGTTTATGAGGATGGTGGGATAAAGTGCAGGTTGGTAAAAAAGGCTGCTGACAAGTCTTAGTAACAAACAGAGCAATTTTCATTGCTTTGTCTTTCTTTACTTTGCTCTCTGATTGGTTTAGAAAACTTGTGCCATCCTCTTAACCCATCAAATGCTCATGAGATCCCACTGTTCCTTACCCTTTGACTGATGAACGTCTTTGGCTACTGTCATGGAAATATGTTGGAAACAACCTTAGTGTTGATGCTGAAAAAAGAAAAAATTGTAATAAAGGGATGGATTCTCAAAGATTTTTCAAATGAGTTTTACTTTTTATTTCTCTCTTCAAGTTAACAATTTCTCTTCTGTCTCTCTACCTCAGGGTCACTCGTAAACTTACCTCAAATGCAGTCTACTTTAGAGATCTAACCAAGAAATGGTATCTGCTCTTCTCCTGGGGTAAAACAAGTACGTACCATCACTCTTACAATAGAGTTCTCTATTTGACATCTCAGCAACCTCTTCAAGGAAATAATTTTGTGGGAATGATTTGAAAAGAAAGGCAATTGAGGGAAAAACAGATGAAGGAGGGGGGGGGGGGGGCAAAGGAGGGAGAGTGGAGGAAGAAGTCACTCTTTTCCTTGTCACTTCTTCCCAGACCCTCACCACCCACTTTGAGAGTGGTTGTGAACTCTGTTAATATCTGTGTCTTCAATGCTTTCTGGGATCTACTCTAAAAATATTTATTTATCTTTCAGGGAAATGTGCAATATACCTTTATTTACAGTTTCTTATAATATCTTCTTCCATCCAGAACGTGTAGAGAATCAAGTTTTACTTACTGCTTGAATTATTAACCATTTTGTTGCTGTAATGTATGAAAGCATTGTAGTTTTGGTTGAATTTGAAAAGCCAGTCGATATGAATCAATAAAATTATTGGGAATGCCAAACCCTACTCACTTATTAAGAAAATTAAATTAATGAAAAAGAAGCTATTTACCTGTGCGACTTCATTGCTGATTCAAGTATTACTTTCATATGTTTGCGCACAGTATATCATTTAAACTAAAGCATTTGTATAAGGATCAATGTCAATAACCCAACAACAGTCAACTGATGACAAGTTAGAGTTAATGTTGGTTGAGGGAAGGGGTTGATGCACAGTTGCTAACATTGATCCTTGTATAATCAGGTTTGTCTGGCAGTGCACAGTATCACCGTGCCAATCAATCTGTCACAGCTGATATGGTGGACCTTGGTGTCAATGCAGTTCTTAAAGATGAAAAAAGTCAGGCTGAAGCTACAGTAAGATGTTCAATCATTAAGTTCACATTTGACCCTTTTCTCCTTTCTTTAATACTTTTTATCTTTGTTGGAATAAAGAGGAAAATTGAAGAACCGTATGTAAATGACTTAACTCACAAGTAAACCATGAGTGTCATTCATAAATGTTTTGCTCTCATGTTCTTGTTACTAAAGATAACCAAAGATGGGTGCAGGAAGACAAAGAGCTGCTATTCTGAGCCTGCAAACTGCAAGTCTAGCAAAGACTGTGATTATCTTGTGACCATGAAACCCACGGGGGACCAGGGAGAGTCAGGCGAAGTGGAATTTGAGCTTAGCGCTAAGAAACAATGGGTGGCCATTGGTTTTAACAATGAAAAGAACAAGATGGTGAGAAAAAAATTATTGTAGTTATTGAAATGTTAAGCTTGTGATTTAAGGTAACATTATTGTTTCTTTTTCTAGCCACAGTGCTTTGTCAGATTTATACGTCATGTTAAGACGTCACAATATGTTGGCAAAATTTCATATGCTAAGTATCCAAGGCAGCCATTGATTGACTTCTGGGAATACACAGTGATTGTGATTGGCAAAAAAACTCAACTAATCAGAAGGAAGTATGACCCCAGTCATAACTTGATTAAACAAGTGATCTGCAGTTCAGGCTGCATACTACCCAGTGAAGGTTCCTGTTTAATTTCTACCTTTCCTCTTACTTACTTCGGTAATCTCTGTAACCCTTTAACTCCCATGAGTGACCAAGACAGAACTCCTCCCTACCATATCAATACAATATGAAACAGAAAAGTGTTGAGGATCAAGAAAAATTTCAATTATTAGTTAATCCAATAACAAATTTTCAGAACTAACATCATAAGAATTGTATGTCAGAGAATTACTAAATGAGATCTTGGGAGTTAAAGGGCTAACTGGTCCTAACCCCCACGACAATCACTGCAGAATATCATTCTGTCATGCAATGAAAAAGAGCCATTTCTGTTCTGGTGATAATAATCAAATTGTTGACAGCACTGTTTGTTATTTACTTGTTTTCAGGATGGCACCGATGCCTTAATCTGCGCTGAAGTCAATGATAAAGTCACTGTAGAACATTATATGGCCGACCAAGGGTATGGTAGACCTACAAAGACCACCCCTGTAAGTACCTGGCATCCTCGACTGTCCAGTGGTATTTTTACCAGGTTACCAGTTTAACAAATAGATTCCAAGTTGAACATCAGTGACATACTCAGCTGCGCCTCATGTGCCACTTTTTTGTTCTTACCACATTTTGACGTCATCTGTGATCTATTACTGAACAGACACATGGCAACTTGGAATCTATTTGTTTTATATAATAAAGAATTAAAATATACAGAAAAAAGTTTTAATGATGACATCATTTATACGTCTGTCCTCTAATAGATCATAAGTGAGAACCAATCAGAATATGTGCATAACTGAGTTTACTATATAATTAGATATAGCTTGTATGAATCACCACATGAAATAATGAGTATAGAGTTGAAAATGCACTGATTAACTGAATTTTAGCGAGTTTCGATTAAGTGTGTGATGATTGACATATTTTTGTATTTCAGACTCCCACTTCTATTATTGCAACTCTTGCTGAATCAAAAGGTGGAGTTGTTGCCTGTCGGTAAGTCTCATTCCATCTGCAAGAGTATCACAAGTGGATCAAACCTTCAAGTTTCCCTTAACGTTCATGGACACCAATTTTTGTCCTTGAGCATAAAGAGGCACTGAGAATGTCAATTATGGCTCAAAATGACAACACAATGAACCCGTCAAGGTTAGAATCTGGACTTCTTGATCCTGAGCCATTGGAGTCTCTTCCCTAAACTGAGACCAGGAAACCTTGAATCCAGAGTGTCAGGGGTGGGGTAGGGTTATTTTGTCACTTGTGCGCAGTTCCATTTTCCTCTAACTTTTTAATGATATGAAAACACCAGAGGAAGAAATACTGCAAGAAATTGGGTAGAAATTCTTCCCTTTCTAGAAAAGAGAGATAAAACACGGTTGTCATTATTTATAATAGCTTTAAAAGGAAGAAGAAAGATGACAAGATGGTGGATCTTACAAAGACATGGCATCTTGTGTATGCAAGTGGCCCTATGAGTAAGTGATGTTTTTTAATGGTAAATATGTATTCATTATTTGACAGTGTGAACAGTTTTTGGATCAATGTCAGTATCTGAGCAACTGCGCACTTACTCCTCCCCTAACTCAAGATAAAGCCTAACTTCTTATCAGTTGACTGCAGTTGGGTTGGTGGGGGGGGGGGTTAGATGTGCAGTTTCTCAGATACTGATATTGATGCTTTTCTTAATAAACAGGTGGAGACAAGATAGGCATACACTCCACAACTCCAAAAACCAGCCCTCAGAAAGTGGACGTCAGTGCAATCGGAGAGCTTGTTGCAGCAGAGGAGAGCATTACATTGGTACAGGTTCATGGTAAGAGAGCTGATATTGTGGTCAAAACAAAGTTCATCCAAAGAAACCATTTTTGGGAAAAATTCACAATAGTCTAATTAATCTAAGAGTTTTTTTAAACCTGATAAATCTCAAACAATCGAGAACCAATTTCATGGTGCTATACATTACATGCAACATGTCAATTATTTACAAAAGATATTTGGAAAATTCCTAACATGGTAAAGCAAAAGTCTAATATGACTAGCTTGAATAATTTGAGAACCAATGACTTAACTGCAAACTTCAACGTTATCAGACGGTTCCTACACTAGTGTCTGATCTTAGAAACTAATGTCTGAATCTAGACACAAGTGTCCGATTTTAGACACTAGTGTCCAATTTTGGACTTAAGTGTCCAATTTTGACACAAATGTCCGATCTTAGACACTGTTGTCTGATTTTAGACAATAGTGTCTGATTTTAGACACAAGTGTTCAATTTTAGACACTAGTATCCGATTTTAGACACTAGTGTCCGATTTTAAACACTTGTGTCTGATTTTAGATGCTATTGTCCGATTTTAGACACTAGTGTTCAATTTTAGACACTAGTGTCCAATTTTATACATCAGTATCCCATTTTAGACACCACTGTCCAATTTTAAACAATAGTGTGCAAAATGAGAAAGTATTTTCAGTCTTGACTTTCTATTTCTCACAGGCTGTTTAATGGTTATTGCGTGGATCGGCTTTGCATCGATTGGAATGTTCATTGCTCGTCACATGAAGGTGTTGTTTGGCCAGAGGGTTCTGCTTGGTACCAAAATGTGGTTTACGGTAAGACTTTTATTCTTTCAAACACAGTTTTATCAAAACACTTGTCGATAATTTCATTTATGGGAGGAGCACTGTATTTCACTTTTTATTCCAAGTATCGTGTTGATTTGTTAGTTGGGGATATAACAGCTCGGAGTTAGTTTCTCATTTGCTTATGATAATGAAAGATAAACCTACAGAAAGTTTTTACAGGTTCACTGGAAGAGTGAAATATTTTGGATAAATGTCAGTATCTAAGCAACTACGCACCTACCCCTCCCCAAACTCAACATGAGCCATAACTTGTTATAAATTGACTGTTGTTGGGTCAGTGGAAGGTGTAGGTGCGTATAGCCGCTCAGATACTGACATTGATCCACATTTTGATTGTCATTTCTCAGCTTCACCGATTGTTAATGGTCTTGACAGTTGTGCTAACTATCCTTGGAGTTATCATCATCTTTGTTCATGCTGGTCGCTGGACCAAGGTAGGACTAAATCTTCATATCCTGTATCTTCTCCATAATGGTTAGCTGGGGACATTAGGGAACCCACGCACTTCTCGCAAAGTGAAATTTCCTTTAAAAAATATTGTTAACTGCCTTAAGCAGTCTGGCCACAGTCCTCTAAAAACTGATGTAAATGATATATGCGCATTAGGGCATATTCATATGCATTATTATTATTATCTCTTTGACCTGCGTGACACCTCAGCCAATCACAACCACTTAACCAGTGACAACATCAATTTACATCATATCCCGGTGCAAAGCACAAGTCAAGAGTTTTCTAGAGGTGGATTGTTGACAGAACAAGAGGCTAGGCTTGTATTAGGCCTATCGATTGGCTACATGGATAGATAGTTCCCAGCCTTCTTTTTTCCTTTTACTCACAGGAAGCTGGTGCTCATCCAATCACTGGTATATTTGTACTGGTGCTTGCTGTTATTCAACCAATTATGGCAGTATTCAGACCCCACCCTGGAGAAGAAAAGTATGTTTGGAGAATATTTTTTTCTCTCTTTTCTCTTATGTATCCTCAGTGTTCATGTTCCTTATTGTTGGTGTTGCTTTTCTTTAGACGCTACATCTTCAACTGGGCTCATCGTGGTGTGGGGCTGTCCGCACTAATCCTGGCTGGTAAGGAGTCTTTTGAATCAATATCGCTTTAGAATGATCACTGGCTTAGCTCTTTCGCTCCTTGAGCTGAAAAACTGGTTACTCCTTGTTACACTAACAATACACTGTGACACCAGATTCCCTTGATTAGTTTATATAGAAAATGGAAACTAGCCCAGTAGATGGGAGAATCGCAAAGCAGATCTTAGAAGTTAAAGGAAGATGATACTGTGTGGAAAATGTTTGCAACTTTCTTTGAAACATCACACAAAGTCATACACTTTAGAGATCACTGAACTGTCAAACAAATTAGAGGCTGATATTATCTGCAATTCCCACTGATGGTTTTGGAAAATTTCTTTAGATACTAACCACTAATTTTTATAATACATCTTAAACTTCTCTTTGTTAAACTTCACAGTGGTGACTGTGTTCTTTGGTCTTCGCCTTCCTGATTCAAGGCTAGGTGACTCCGCCCTGTACCCCATGGTCGCCTACTGTGTGGCTTTGACTCTTGTGGTTGCTTACGACATCTATGATACTTTGTCAACGCCACAGGGCGAAGCATTTTTCAGTGTCGTTCCATCGGGAGGGAAAGAAGGTGATTACTTGTGGAGTTAGGAAACTGAGTTTTAATCAGAACTGATCATCCAGCTGACTTGTTAATTTATTGGGAGAACTCTGTTATTAATCAGAACTGTCTGGCAAGATCAGTCAGTGTCTAGATTTTATACACTATTTTAAGGAAATGTTTCAAAGTTAGATGAAAGCATACAAAAAAGGTCATATTCTTCTGTAAACTTACCATTCTTTTGGCCATTTTTGATTGATTCTAATCTCCCTCACGTGACTGAATGACTATCGACTGTTATCATCACACTAAAGATACGAAACAGTGCCCATGTAACACAAATGTAAACTCTCGAAATGCACACTAATGGTTAATGGAGTTCAGTCATATTCAATACTTTTGGTCTGTCAATTCCATATATGCTAGTCACATGACTCTTGTTGTATCTTTTTGTTTATTTTAATGACAGCTGAAGATGTTGAATTGCAGCCCCCTGACATTCCGGTATAAAAAATTCATTTCAGTATATCTTGTTCAGTTGTGTCTTTTGTTGTACTTAATTCTGGTCCTGAGGAAGAAACAAGTAAAGTTTGTTGAAGGCGATTTAACAAATTTAAACGCTTTCATACCCTAACCTGTTAACTCCATGTATGACCAAGACAGAATGTCTTCTTACAATTACTAGTGATGAGAACATAGAAAAATATTTATATGGGGATTATTAATTGATCTAATACCAAATTCTCCAAACAAACACCATAAGAATTGTATGACAGACAGTGAGGAGAAATACTAATGAGATTTTGGGAGTGAAAGGTTAAATGACGTCAGTGCATTATGATCAGCGATATAGGTGACGTAAAATGCGTTCTTTAGGAACTCCTGCTGAAGTAGAAATTCTTAATTTCCTTCTCTTCCAGTTGTCCAAGCTTTGTGTGCAAATAGGGTATTACTCTCTGTGGATGTTTTCTTTCGGTTCTCACCTGTTGTTACTTTTTCTTCCTTTTGCAGACTGTAAATGAACGCAAATTTCTGTTTGCCTTTACGGTTCTTGTTTCAGTTGGTGTTGTGATTGCACTTTTGGTGCTGATTGCAATCGCTGACAGGGAATCTCACGAACATGATCACGACAGCTAAATTAAAAGTCAAGGAGTGAGTTTATAAGGGTGTGCTATTATTTCAATATGCGAAACAATCAATCCCTAGGTTGAAAGCGTGGAGACTTGTAGAAAGAATCTATCTGAATTTTCTTCCTGAAATCATTAAACTGAAATTTTTCATTTTCTTCTTGTACAGTCCTTTAAATCTCATCCATTGTTTATCATCTGTATTTCTTTTATTTATTCTTTTGTATTTGATGTTTGTCCAAATCTGCATTCAATAAAATGAAAGAGGAAGTTACCTTTAAGGTCTCAGGGTACATATAACTCCCTCCCCTTCCCTCCCGTTCCTTCTTTGCTGGAAGTGCAAGATCCCTGTCTCTTTCCCACTACTTGTCTAGAAAAAAGGTGATAATTTATGATAATCTTACATCCTGGTTTATCCTCAAATGCCATTGGGTCACTAGTGTCGAACTGACCCTGTCCCCACCCCTCCAGAGAATCCTGCTTATACTCTTTTTAGGTGTTCTTCTACTTAAAGTTGTTTTCATAGTTCCTTTAAATCACCTCTTTCTCTCTTTGCAGGTTGACGCAACAAAATTCCTCAAGCAGAGGAATGATCAACCTATGAACTGAAGTGGTACCAAAACTATCGTATAAGAACTAGTTGATAGTTGATAGTGAACATTTTTGGTAGCCCATTTATCTTTTTAATAAGGTTACATCTGTATACTGTCTCATTTATTTTCTGTGAACATCACTTTTTCATCAGGATGTAGCTTTCTTTTTTTTTTAGGTGAAATGTTTATAAGAGCAAACAGTTATTAATGGATGAGGTGGTAGAGGTCATACGTTTATGAAGAAATATATAGACTAGTAAAAAGTGTTCAGAAGATTTTCCTCTAGGTAATAGTATGCATAATGCTGATATATTTGAATGATTTAAACTCTAGCAAATATTTAGACATTTTAACGATGATTTATCGTAAATAAAACAGTCATATGTTTGAGAAAGGGTTTCCTATAGAGGTCTTGGCTCAGTTCAAAGCCCTATTTGCAATTGTTTTACACCATGTTTTTACAATCTCTCCAAAGAAGTCTCTGGCTGACACACTCTTGCTCATTGAGAGCTTGACTGTTTCAAGTCAACTATGTGATTTATAATGGTAATAGGACCGAGTGGAGTCCAATTCGGTCTGTAATCATACAAGTGATTAACAAAATCGGACGACTTGTCAATCATGAGAATTATAACAGACAGAATTGGAAGACAAAAATTGTGTTACCAATTAATCATAACCTTCACAATTTCCAAAAACAACAAATACATTTAGGACAAATATCTGTGGTAGAGACAAAGTCTAAGTAAAAAATTCCTCAACTTTGGAAATTCCCCAATTTTTTCAGGATAAGTGGTTGTTGCTGTAGTTATTGTGATCAATTCTATGATTGGTAGATTTGGCTGAAAGGACTGAGCATGATTCGAAATTTCAACTGCCTGATTATAGCCAACTGTCTGATTACATTGTGTAATTACAACTGCAGAATGATTCGTGAAAAATAAAGCAGCTAAAGCACCAATCACATTTGAGTAAATTGTAATGGTTATGATCAAGGGGAGAACTGAAGGGTGTGATACCTGGAAATGCCTTGATATTCACCCTTGCAGTGTAGCTTGGTGAAATTTCATGATACTATAGCAACAGTGACGAGACTAGTGCAGTCTGCACCACATGACTAATGATTGAGAAACCCCTCCTTGGTTAAAACAACTTATAAAAATTTAGACAACTTCCTGTACAATCAAAGGAGCATTACCACATGAAGCACAGTAAGTATTTACAATTAAAGAAAAACTGTGAAAATATCAGTAAATCCCAACACTCAAGGGATAAACTTGCAAGAAAGTGGGTAAAAAAAACATTGGGTAATGAGAAAAAACCTGTATACAAATACATCCCAGACTATTTATAGGCTTGGTATAACATAAAGAAAGAAAGCAATCACCAAAAAAAAAAAAAGGAAGAAAAGCTTTAAAATGAAATTTAAAAAAACAAAACAAAAAAACAGCAAGTTCCCTGGGACAGGATCTGCACCTAGTCTGCGACCACAGTTTCATGGTACAATGCTCAACCCACAGAGCTGCAGGAAAATTGCCATGAAATTGAGAGCAAATTTAAGTCAATTTGTATCGAGTCAACAATATAATGTTAGGATCAAGTGTGCAAACATTCTGAGGGAAGAAGTGTTTTGACTCTAAGATGACATCAGAACTAAAACTCTGCTGTTTGCCAGTGACATAATTTTCAAATTCAGGGGCACTCTCCTCCTTTAACTCCCACGAGTCACCCAGACAGAATTTCTCCTTACAATATAAATACAATAGCAAGCAGATAAGTGATAAGAACAAAGAAAAATATCAATTTGGGGATGGGTAGTTGATCCAATACTACCGGTAAATTCTCTGAACTAATATTATAAGAATAATTATTATTGTATGATTGACAGTAAAGAGAATTACAAATTTGATCTGGGAGTTAAAGGGTAAATGATTTTTCTCCTTCATTCTCAACACTTCTGCTTCATATTATGGTGATATTGTAGAGAGAAATGCTGTGTTGGTCACTTATGGGAGGTTAAGGGTTCATTTTCCCTCCTCCCCTGCTATAATCCTTAGTTGATGTAAAAAGTCTAAAGGTGAGAAAACCACAAAAAGGTCAAGAGTTGCTAATTATTGAAAAGATCATTCACTTGGTAAGATTTCAGTTTCTAAATTTCTACATTATTTATATTCCCTTTTTGGCAGAATAAAAAACATTTGAGATTCCAGTTAAAGATAATGTTCAGCTCTTTGCTCAGAACAGTGGAGGAGACATTCACACAGCCATCAATGGTCTCCAGTTCTCCTCTTCAAAAGGTGAGATCGCTGGGATCAATGATGAGGTTTCCAGAGATTTTTCCTGCATCACATTAAGAATTTTAGTTATTGCAGTAGATCATTTTGAAGTTTTTTAATTTTCTAATTACAGATCACATTTCCTTTTGCACAGAAGGTTAACATAAAGGTAATCCGGGTAATAGGGAGGTGACAATTTTAAATTCTTCTGGGTTGAATTGAAAAAATTTCTCACCTACCTGCGACCTCTCAAATGAATTTTATTGTATCAAAAATGTCCAATAATGTAAATTTTACAGTTTTCCATAATGATTGTGGTTCAGATGCCAACTTTTCCATTTCAAAAAAAATAAAGTTTTTCAGGTTTTTTATTTGTAGGGGTGGCACAGATATGCTTGATGAAAAAGACTGTGGTATGAATAGTGATAATGATGATGAAATCCTTGTTAGTTCCCAACCAAATGGGAATAGCACCCAGGGAGCTAATAAGTGCCTGGCCATGGGTGAAGAGTGTGATTCACAAGGAACCTCTGAGATGCCTCGAGATGATGATGATGTCATAGAAGATTTTGATGATGAAGACTAAGGGGTGAACAGAGCTTCTGACACCTTCCATCTGGGAATGGCAGTCATGCAGGGTGGTTCATCTGAGTGTGATGCAGTGCCCCCCTCAAGGTTGTCATCATTTGTACAAAAGCTACAGCCATTACTCTGGTAGACCCACACTTTACAAGGGTTGGTTTGAAGAAAAGTTTGTCTAATTTCACAAAACTTGTGGTCTAAATAGTGGTAATGTTAAATAACCAAAGACCTGGATTGTAAATTGTGTACAAAACAGTAAAAACATATTATCTGTAGTTTGTTTTGTCAAATACATCCAAGTTTAGAAGCTATTCATTGAAAGATTACAACTGACATTTGGTTCATAGTGCAGCACTGACTTCCTCAACTTGCTGCCATCAGGCTCAACTGATAGTGTTTTATAATGTTCACAGGAAGAAAGAGAAGCACTAGTTTGAATAGTTATACAGATGGGAGGAAAAAGCAAAAGATCTGTAAATATACATCAAATTATCAACTGATTTAACAAAACATTTTTGGTTATTAGTTGTATTATGTATTTTCATGAAGAAAAAGTGCTTCACATAAGATGAAACTTAAAAAAAAACCAAATATTAAAAGGGAATGACAGTTGATAATGGTTGGATTCAAAGGCTCCAAGATCGATGATTATGGGCTTCTCTGCATTGTATGCTCTTGTTTTGATACTCACAGCTATGTCATGGAGTAAGAAGCTTGAAATTTGAACTTTTCACTGTCCATAGGTTTATCAGACTCATTTGTAAACGATTGCAATAATGATTGTTGTGTAGGAATCTGTACATTTTTTGTTTAAGACAGGTATTCTTTATCACCAGACTCTATTTGTTTCAAGCAGTTTTAAAATCTGCTGTAGTATCTGTGGTGAATGTTTCTTGAGGGCAATACCCAAAAGAACTGGTTTGCTGGCATGCTTATTTATAAGGGCTCCAATCTGTTTAGCATAAACATGCCAGATTTCCTGCAATGTAATAACATGTTCAAAAATAAATACAAACGTAAGTCAATGAATGAAGTGATATTAACCTTCTGTCAGTAACAGTCCATCCTATCAAAAACCTGTTGTAATCATGAATAATTTTCCACTCATTGACAACATTTAGAGTGAATCTCTTCATACACCTTAAAATACTACACAAGGTAGACCACTGCATTTACTAGCCTTTTAATTTAGTGGGCATGAAAATGTTACTTTTTGCACAGTCTTTTCTTGTTCCTTTTTTCCCCTCCAGTATTAACAGCTTTTAAGGCCTGGTCTGGAAAATAGACATACTCATAAAGAAAACTAGCTTGCAGTGCAGGCATCTTATAAGGGTGAATTAACGTTAGGAAGCTTGCAATCATTTATTCCACCAGCCATGTTTGATTTGGAGATAAAGGTGATGAGGGGAGGGGGGGCAGGAAAGGTGAAAATCTTCACTCCCCCAATCTTACCCCTCTCCTTATTTTAGACTGTTGCCCACCCCCTTGGTACAATATTCTTTCTCTCCACAGCCTTCTGCTATAATTAAATTAAAAGAAGGGGGCCATAATTTTCCCTAACAAAATTACCTCTGCTCTACAGGCTAAAAGAAAACGTGCTAAGTTTATGAAGTCTTAAACATTTCCCTGTATGATAGCTCAGTGAATTTGGTACTCGTTACCAGTAAATTTACTGTGTTCTGTAATTGAAAATTTCCTAAATTTTTACCATCTACTTACTTAGCAATGAGTTCATATCCCACAGAGAAGATGCATTTGACCACCTCTGAGATTGATGGAGTTTCTGCAGAACTAGACAACAGTATAGAACTTGAACAAACCTTGTCACTACCCATGAGTATTCTTGTGTTGAATGTCTGTGCCTCTCTTTTGGATGAGCTCTCTGTTGGAGACATCCTATTTACACTAACCTGCAAGGATGTTCATTGAACAGATGATTTTTAAAGAAACTAGGTTTATGCAAATTAACAAACTCAAAGCTTTAGGTTCTCAATGACAAAAGGATTATGAGGAGCTTAAAGGGAACCTGCTGCAACTTCACATCCAAAGAAGCCCATCAGACCGTTTGAAATGATTAACAACACCAGCAAATATCCTCGAACAACTTCCTGTCAACCCTTTAACTCCCATTGGGCAACCAAAACATAATTTCTCCTCACAATATCAATACAAAACCTAGCAGACAAGTGATGGGAATACAGGAAAATATCAACTAGGGGTTTATTAGTTGATCCAAAACAAAATTCTCCAACGATATAAAAAATTAAGCAAGACAATAAGGAAGATTACTAATGAGATCTTAGGAGTGAAAACGTTTTATGGATAATGTAACAATACATATCAGCTAAAGATCACATGAAGCTCAAAATTGTTTTTAATACAATGGTTGAAATGATTCTAATTTACGCTCCGAAATCTTGGTGTAAATCATCACTCAATCATCCAATCATCAGAAACAGCTATCAAAGAAAAAAAGTAACAAAAACTTAAGACACCAACACTCACCAACGTTCCAATTTTCTCAAACTGTGAAACGATCAAAAAGATTCTGTCCTGATAAGCAGAACAAAACACTTCTGTGTGGGTTCCTTCGATAATTGCCGCAGTCTAGAAAGCAAGATAATTATCAAAAAACCACGCTGCAGAACTTGTGATTCACGAAAAAGGCACTTTTACCTGACGGGTTTTCACAGTCTGACCGGCCATTTTAAAATCTACGAATGTATGGGGAAAATGCAAGATTTGAGGAGGGGTGGGAAGCCTAAGATATTCAAGCGTCACGCTTTCCAGGTTGCTGCGTGACTGCCCACTTGTGTGAGACCATTGGTAATCGGCAGCCACTTGTAAAATTTCTCTCAAGGAAATATCTGAGGCGGAAAACCACTATGATTTTCGAGTTACAGGTGATTTTAATTCTAATTATTGTAGATAATAATTGAAAATTATTTTTTCCAAGCGAATTTTTCTGATGCGACATGCTCGATGTCATGTGTAAGTTAACTGGAATATTTGCTGTATGTTACCGTCATCTAAGTTGAAATCAAACTTTTTTAATAGGTTTGTCTTCGTTCTTATGGGCTTTAGTGTCATATCTCTGTCGCATGTTGCCGTAGATTTTGATGATTATACTCAGAGGAGCAATGCTATCTCGATCACATCCGAATGACAACAAACATTCTACCTTCGACCTCGCTGCAGCTGTTGCATTCTATACACTTACGTAACTCAATTACTTTCAGTAATCCCCGCACTAAACTTGAAGCCGAAACAAAGTTAACGTATTCTGAATCAACAATAACTTTATTGCGCCTTGGTAAAGGCGTCTTTTTTAGTTTTTGGATTTATCGGTGATAGAACCTTGAGTCACTAAAACATCTAGCTGGGCGGCAACTCAGTTCAGAAGTTTATGCAATATGAGATAGGTTTAGTTTGACATCAAAACGCGGGCATTTTCATAGGTGAGATATGTCAGTGTTTCGGGATTTAATTGCTGATATTTCGCCTTATGAAAAATGGAAAGAGGGAAAAACATTGGAAAACATCTTTTAATAAAGATTTCTTAGCGCAGGTAATCAATCATCCGTTCCAATTGTTTACATTAAGAACCAATGGTATTGTCAATGTTGTTGTAACAAAGAATAGAGGCCAACATATTTTATATTCGTTATATCGATGGCTTAAGGGCTTCTGTCTACTTTACCAAACGTTTTTCAAAGGCGTTGGAAGATGAAGTCAACAGTTCATTTTTGTTTTTTTTTTTTTGTTTTTTTTTTCACTTTAAATACTGAATTTTAAAAAATCGGCACTTCAGATGCATATTGGTTTCCGATTTTTATCGTTGGGTGAAAACCTGATGCGAATTTTCAATGTGGTAGTATGTGTTTTGTAGGTATGTATTCTGAGAAATGTATCTTTTTTTTAGTTATCATGCTGAACTCATACATCTCACTTTCTGGAGGTCATCCACTAAATGGTTCTGGATTTAAATTTTAATTTCTTGGCATTAAAAAAGGATGTCATGTCTACAAAGATGTACACCATGAGGTTACTGTTTAAACAAAACACTGATTATGTTATGTTCCTAGCAACACTTTATAAATACATCATAATTGCTTTAACTCTTTTTTTAACTTTTTTGGTGCTGATTTAAATGCATTATATCAGAAAAGACAATCTTACAGAGACACATGCTAAACCATATAGCTAAGATAGTGTATTTTCTTCATTTTTGTTCCAAATCTAAGTAACAAGATTTTTAACATGAATATTATTTCAAGATCCTTAGGAACTTCTTTTCTCCAATGTCAAATCAATTTCATAATTACCTAACGTCATTGGGTAGGTCTAAATCTTCAAACCCACCTGCATTTCAGCGTACTTGTAAGGGTAAAGGTAAAAAAGCAATGTTCAAATAAACCATGATGTTCGCAAAAACTTTTTCTTTTTATCTATTTCAGGTCGCAGCTCAGCTGTTGCTCCTCAGTGTCTCAACCGTGTTTGGATTCTCTAAAGGTCCTCCATTGAGTGCCTGCGAGAATAAGTTCCCTCACCACAAAAGGGCTGTGGCACAACAAGGACTGCCTCCTTATAACATCTCTGTGTCCTCACTTTTGTATAACCCTGGAGACAACCTGACAGTGATCATCTCAGGATCACAGCCTTTTAAGGGATTCATTTTAAATGCACAGGGGACTGAAAGCTCGATTCCTCGGCCAGTAGGAACATTTACTCAAATTCCAAGTTGTATGTATTCTCTAAACTTCTTCTTCTACTTCTCGCACATAATTCAAGACAGTTTATGAGAATGAGACATCTGAGAAAGTAACTTTTTCTTTGTCTTCTATGAATTTAAGGTGAAAATAAGGGGTTCCTAGGTCTTTCTCAACCAGGGAAGAAATTGTTTATAACGTCGAAACTTGAATGCCAAAAAAATCCCAGTAAAACGCTTATATAGGACTTCTCCTTCTTCTGCTGACATCCCTGGGACATCAAATTGGACACAAGTACTATCTCTTTAACTGTTCTTGCAAACAAACAAAAAAAGGAAACAGGAGTCCTGGCTGATGAAGGATAGAACATTTCTGGCCAATCTTTGGTGAAAGAATGGCAATTATACCTTTTCTTTTTTTTGGAAGCATTGGTGGACAAGCGGACATATTTTTATTTTTCTTGCAGATACAGCTTCTCTTGACTGTTCTGGAGATGAATCAAAGGTAAGGTATTGCATACTTATTTCAAATTCTTTTTAAGATAATAAGCACTATAGGTGTCTTGGCAGAGGAAACTATTGTTTTTTTTTCTGCTCATATTTAGGACACAGTTGGTCATAAAAATCCTAACCCAGCTAAGAACTTGAATTCACTTCAGTTCACTTGGATGGCTCCTGAAAAGAGTGCAGGGAACATCAGCTTCATGTCAGTAACATATACGTTTTTTTGAAGGTCATAATATGTAGCTTAAACTTGTTAACATGAGGGGTGGGAAGGGGGGTTGGCTGTGGAATGTAATGTGTCAGTCTATTTGAACTCAAGCATTTGAACTTTTGAAAATTGGTTTAACAAAAACCCATTCTTAAGGGCCAAAATTGAGTTTAATGTCCTTCCCAAGTGTCAGATTTGATGGTCAATTATTTGGTGAAACCTAAAACCTGGACCTTGTAGACCTTTCCTCCTCAGGGCCATCTGCTTGCAAAAGTCAACTCTTTTCCTTTAAGTACCTCCATATTAAAAGATACAACTGGAAAGACTTGATACTAAATACTTCTGGTTCAAATTCCCCACCCCACAGGCTGGGCACGAAGGACAATCAAATGTTTGTGGAATGCACGAGGGGGGATGTTGAAGCTTTGAATTGATTGTTGCATTATTGTAAGTGTTTTGTTGGAAGTTGAAATGTACTGAACCCTTTGTGCAAGGCACTTTATAGTTATAATTGCATAGACAGAGTTCCTACAGGAAATATTTGAGATATGCAGCAGCCAATGTTTAAATATGCAGTCCCTGCCTTTTGTAGATTTTCATGTGTTATTTATTTTCTATATACAGTGCAACCATTGTTCAGAGCTATTCCACTTTCTGGGAAAAAGTTTCTTCTCCTGTGGTTCATGGTCCACCAGCAGAGGATGTCACTAGTGGGACTTCAACAGAGAGCTTTCAGGTGAGCCCAATGATCAAAAAATGGGCCCAGCTAATATAGGGAGGGGAAGAACCTTAGGAATGAGCTTGCAGAGTGTCATTCACAAGGGTTTTACTCTCGTGTTCTAGTCACAAAAGATAACCAAAGATGGATGCGGGAAGACAAAGAGCTGCTATTCTGAGCCTGCAAATTGCAAGTCCAGCAAAGACTGTGAATATCTTGCGACCATAAAACCAGAGGGGGACCAGTGTGAGTCAGTGGAATTTGAGCTTAGCACCAAGAAACAATGGGGGGCCATTGGTTTTAACAGTGAAAAGAACAAGATGGTGAGAAAAATAAATTGTAGTTATTGAAATTTTAAACTCATGTGTCATGGTAACATTATTGTTTCTTATTCTAACCACAGTGCTTTGTCAGATTTATATGTCATGTTAAACTCATGAGTCAAGGTAACATTATTGTTTCTTATTCTAACCACAGTGCTTTGTCAGATTTATATGTCACGTTAAACTCATGAGTCAAGGTAACATTATTGTTTCTTCTTCTAACCACAGTGCTTTGTCAGATTTATATGTCACATTATGATGTCACAATATGTTGGCACAATTGAATTTGCTAAGTATCCAAGGCAGCTATTGACTGACCACTGGGATTAGTCTGGTTTTGCTACACAGTGCTCTGTGATTGGCAAAAAACTCAACCAATCAGAAGGAAGTATGACCTTAGTCATGACTTGATTAAACAAGTGATCTGCAGTTCAGGCTGCATACTACCCAGTGAAGGTTCCTGTTTAATTTCTACCTTTCCTCTTACTTACTTCGGTAATCTCTGTAACCCTCTAACTCCCATGAGTGACCAAGACAGAACTCCTCCCTACCATATCAATACAATATGAAACAGAAAAGTGTTGAGGATCAAGAAAAATTTCAATTATTAGTTAATCCAATAACAAATTTTCAGAACTAACATCATAAGAATAGTATGTCAGAGAATTACTAATGAGATCTTGGGAGTTAAAGGGTTAACTGGTCCTAACCCCCACGACAATCACTGTGGAACATCATTCTGTCACGCAACGAAAAAGAGCCATTTCTGTTCTGGTGGTAATGATCAAATCGTTGACAGCACTGCTTGTTATTTGCTTGTTTTTAGGATGGCACCGATGCCTTAATATGCGCTGAAGTCAAGAATAATGTCACTGTAAAACATTATATGGCCGACCAAGGGTACGGTAGACCTACCAATAAAGGGGTAAGTTTCTAAAGAAACTGTGGTGCTGCGTCGGTGGGAGAGTATAGCAGGTAATTTAGTGTTAACAACTGGGTTGAAAACGTAAATTAGCCACCGTAAAGGGTAAAAAAGCTGACGTTTCGAGCGTTAGCCCTTCGTTAGCGAAGGGCTAACCCTCGAAACGTCAGCTTTTTTACCCTTTACGGTGGCTAATTTACGTTTTCAACCCAATTGTTAGCACTAAATTACCTACTACGGTAGACCTACGAAGACCACCCCTGTAAGTACCTGGCATCCTCAACTGTCCAGCGGTATTTTTACCAGGTTACCAGTTTAGATATAGCTTGTATGAATCACAACATGAAATAACGAGTATAGAGATGAAAACGCGCAGATAAACTGAGTTTTTGCGAGTTTCGACTAAGTGTGTGATAATTGACGTATTTTTGTATTCCAGACACCCGCCTCTATTATTGTAACTCTTGCTGAATCAAAAGATGGAGTTGTTGCCTGTCGGTAAGCCCCATACCATCTGCGAGAGTATCACAAGTGGATCAAACCTACAAGTTTTCCTTAACTTTCATGGACTCCTATTTTTGTCCTTGAGCTTAAAGAGGCACTGAGAATGTAAATTATGGCTCAAAATCACAACATGATGAACCAGTCAAGGTTCGAATCTGGACATCTTGATCCTAAGCCATTGGAGTCTCCTCCCTAAACCGAGGCCAGGAAGCCTCGGATCCAGAGTGTCAGGGGTGGGGTAGAGTTATTTTGTCGTTTGTGCTTAGTTCCGTTTTCCTCTTACTTTTTAATGATATGAAAACACCAGAGGAAGAAATACTTCAAGAAATTAGGTAGAAATTCTTCCCTTTCTAGAAATGAGAGATAATAAAACACGGTTGTCGTTATTTAAAATAGCTTTAAAAGGAAGAAGAAAGATGACAAGATGGTGGATCTTACGAAGACATGGCATCTTGTGTATGCAAGCGGCCCTATGAGTAAGTGATTTTTTTTTAATGGTAAATATGTATTCATTGTTTGACAGTGTGAACGTTTTTTAGATCAATGTCAGTGTCTGAGCAACTGCGCACCTACTCCTCCCCAAACTCAAGATAAAGCCTAACTTCTTATCGGTTGACTGCAGTTGGGTTGGGGGGGGGGTGGATGTGCAGTTTCTCAGATACTGATATTGATGCTTTTCTTAATAAACAGGCGGAGACGAGATAGGAATACACTCCACAACTCCAAAAACCAGCCCTCAGAAAGTGGACGTCTGTGCAAAGGGAGAGCTTGTTGCAGCAGAGAAGAGCATTACATTGGTACAGGTTCATGGTAAGAGAGCTGATACTGTGGTTAAAACGAAGTTCATTCAAAGAAACTATTTTTGGGAAAAATTCACAATAGTCTAATTAATCTAATATTTATTTTAAACCTGATAAATCTCGAACAATCGACGACCGATTTCATGGTGCTATACATTACGCGCAACACGTCAATTATTAACAAAAGATATTTGGAAAATTCCTAACACGGTAAAACAAAAGTCTAATATGTCTAGCTTTAATCATTTTGAGAACCCATGACTTAACCGCAAACTTCAACGTTATCAGATGATTCCTACACTAGTGTCTGATTTTAGACACTAATGTCCGATTCTAGACACAAGTGTCCGATTTTAGACACTAGTGTCGATCTTAGACACTAGTGTCTGATTTTGGACTTTAGTGTCCAATTCTGACTCTAATGTCCGATCTTAGACAACATAGTCCAATTTTAGACACTAGTGTTCAATTTTAGACGCTGGTGTCCGATTTTAGACAACATAGTCCAATTTTAGACACTAGTGTTCAATTTTAGACACTGTTGTCCGATTTTAGACAACATAGTCCAATTTTAGACACTAGTGTTCAATTTTAGACGCTGGTGTCCGATTTTAGACGTTAGTATCTCATTTTAGACACTACCGTCCAATTTTAAACAATAGTGTGCAAGATGAGAAAGTATTTACAGTCTTGACCCTCTATTTCTCACAGGCTGTTTAATGGTTATCGCGTGGATTGGCTTTGCGTCGATTGGAATGTTCATTGCTCGTCACATGAAGGTGTTGTTTGGCCAGAGGGTTCTGCTTGGCACCAAAATGTGGTTTACGGTAAGACTTTTATTCTTTCAAACACAGTTTTATCAAAACACTTGTCGGTAATTACGTTTACGGGAGGAGCACCGTACTTCACTTTTTATTCTAAGTATCGTGTTGATTTGTTAGTTGGGGATATAACAGCTCAGAGTTAGTTTCTCATTCGCTGATGATAATGAAAGATAAACCTACAGAAATTTTTTACGGGTTTGCTGGAAGAGTGAAATATTTTGGATAAATTCCAGTATCTAAGCAACTACGCACCTACCTCTCCCCAAACCCAACATGAACCCTAACTTGTTATAAATTGACTGTTGTTATGTTAGGGGAGGGGTAGGTCCGTTGTCGCTCAGATACTGACATTGGTCCATATTTTGATTGTTATCTCTCAGCTTCACCGATTGTTAATGGTCTTGACAGTTGTGCTTACTATTCTTGGAGTTATCCTCATCTTTGTTCATGCTGGTCGCTGGACCAAGGTAGGACTAAATCTTCGTATCCTGTATCTTCTCTATATTGGTTAGCTGGGGACATTAGAGAACCCACGCACTTCCCGCAAAGTGAAATTTCCTTTAAAAAATGTTGTTAACTGCCTTAAGCAGTCTAGCCACAGTCCTCTAAAAACTGATGTAAATGATATATGTGCATTAGAAAATATTCATATGGAGAATCCGCTATATAAATGCATCATTATCATTGTCTTCCTAATCTGCGTGACGCCTCAGCCAATCACAACCAGTTAACCAGTGACAACGTCAATTTACGTCATATCCCCGGTGCAAAGCGCTAGTCTAGAGTTTTCTAGAGGTGGATTGTTGATTGAACAAGAGGCTAGGCTTGTACTAGGCCTATCGATTGGCTACATGGATAGATAGTTCCCAGCCCTCTTTTTTCTTTTACTCACAGGAAGCTGGCGCTCATCCAATCACTGGTATATTTGTACTGGTGCTCGCTGTTATTCAACCAATTATGGCAGTATTCAGACCCCACCCCGGAGAAGAAAAGTATGTTTGGAGAATATTTTTTCCCTCCTTTCTCTTATGTATCCTCAGTGTTCATGTTCCTTATTGTTGGTGTTGCTTTTCTTTAGACGCTACATCTTCAACTGGGCTCATCGTGGTGTGGGGCTGTCCGCACTAATCCTGGCTGGTAAGGAGTCTTTTGAATCAATATCGCTTTGGAATGATCACTGGCTCAGCTCTTTCGGTCCTTGAGCTGAAAAACTGGTTACTCCTTGTTACACTAACAATACACTGTGACACCAGATTCCCTTGATTAGTTTATATAGAAAATGGAAAATAACTCAGTAGATGGGAGAATCGCAAAGCAGATCTCAGGAGTTAAAGAAAGATGATACTGTGCGGGAAACGTTTGCGACTTTCTTTTAAACTTCATACAAAGTCACGCACTTTAGAGATCACTGAACTGTCAAACAGATTAGTGGCTGAAATTATCTCCAATTTACACTGATGGTTTTCAGCAATTTCTTTAGATACTAACCCCTTATTTTTATTTATATAATACGTCTTAAACTTTTCTTTGTTAAACTTCACAGTGGTGACTGTGTTCTTTGGTCTTCGCCTTCCTCACTCAAGGCTAGGTGACCCCGCCTTGTACCCCATGGTCGCCTATTGTGTGGCTTTGATTCTTGTGGTTGCTTACGACATTTACGATACTTTGACGACGTCGCGTGGCGGAGCATCTTTCAACGTCGGTCCGTCGGGAGGGAAAGAAGGTGATTACTTGTGTAGTAAGGAAGCTAAGTATCAATCAGAACTGCCCGTCAAGATCAGTCAGTGTCTAGATTTTATACACTATTTTAAGGAATTCTTTCAAAGTGAGATTAAAGCGTTCAAAAATGGTCATATTCTTCAGTAAACTTACTATTCTTTTGGCCATTTTCGATTGATTCTAATCTCCCTCGTGTGAGCTAGTTACGTGACTCTTGTTGTATTTTTATGTCTTTTTGAATGACAGATGGTAATGTTGAATTGCAGCCCCCTGGCGTTCCGGTATGAAAATTCGTTTCATTATATCTTGTCTTGTTGTATCTTTTGCTATGCTTAATTCTGGTCCCGAGGAAGTTTAACGAATTTAAACGCTTTCATGCCTTAACCCTTAAACTACATGTGTGCTAAAACAGCATGTCTCCTTACAATTACAAGTGATGTTAACAAAGAAAAATACTTATTTGGGGATTATTTATTGATCCAATATCAAATTCTCCAAACAAACACCATAAGAATTGTATGACAGACAGTGAGGACAAATACTAATGAGATTTTGGGAGTGAAAGGTTAAATGAAGCCAGTGCATTATGATCAGCGATATAGGTGACGTAAAATGCGTTCTTTGTGAACTCCTGCTGAAGGAAAAATTCTTAATTTCCTTCTCTTCCAGTCGTCCAAGCTTTGTGTGCAAATAGGGTAATACTCTCTGTGGATGTTTTCTTTCGGTTCTCACCTGTTGCTGCTTTTTTTCCTTTTTGCAGGCTGTAAATAAACGCAAGTTTCTGTTCGCCTTTACGGTTCTTGTTTCAGTTGGTGTTGTGATTGCACTTTTGGTGCTGATTGCAATCGCTGACGGAGAATCTCACGAACATGATCACGACAGCTAAATTAAAAGTCAAGGAGTGAGTTTATAAGGGTGTGCTATTATTTCAACATGCGGACCAATCAATCCCTAAGTTGAAAGTGCGGAGACTTGTAGAAAGAATCTATCTGAATTTTCTTCCTGAAAACATTCAACTAAAACTTTTCATTTTCTTCTTGTACAGTCCTTTAAATCTCATCCATCGTTTATCATCTGTATTTCTTTTATTTATTCTTTTATATGTGATGTTTGCCCAAATCTGCATTCAATTAAATTGAAAAGGAAGTTACCTTTAAGGTCTCAGGGTACATATGACTCCCTCCCCTTCCCTCCCATTCCTTCTTTGCCAAAAGTGCAAGATCCCCGCCCCTTTCCCTCAACTTATTTAGAAAAAAGGTGATAATTTATGATAATCTTACATCCTGGTTTACCCTCAAATGCCATTGGGTCGCTAGTGTCGAACTGACCCTGTCCCCACCCCTCCAGAGAATCCTGCTTATACTCTTTTTAGGTGTTCTTCTACTTAAAGTTGTTTTTATAGTTCCTCTAAGGCAGCTCTTTCTCTCTTTGCAGGTCAATGCAACAAAATTCCTCAAGCGGAGGGTGCAGATATTACAGTTGACGGCATAATGATCAACTTATGAACTGAAGTGGTACCACATCAGTCGTATAAGAACTAGTTGATAGTGAACTTTTTGTCAGCCTATTTCTTTTTAATAAGGTTATATCTGTACACTGTCTTATTTATTTTCTGCGAATATCACTTTTTTATCAGGATGTAGCTGTATTTTTTTTTAGGTGAAATGTTAATAAGAGTAAAAAGTTATTAACAGATGAGGTGGTAGAGGTCATACGTTTATGAAGAGATATATAGACTAGTAAAAAGTGTTCGGAAGATGTTTCCTTTAGGTAATAGTAAGCATAACGCTGATATATTTGAATGATTTAAACTCTAGCAAATATTTAGACATTTTAACGATGATTTATCGTAAATAAAACAGTCGTATGTTTGAGAAAGGGTTTCCTATAGAGGTCTTGGCTCATTTCAAAGCCCTATTTCCAATTGTTTTACACCATGTTTTTACAATCTCTCCAGAGAAGTCTCTGGCTGACACACTCTTACTCATTGAGAGCTTGACTGTTTCAAGTCAACTATGTGATTTATAATGGTAATAGGACCGAGTGGAGTCCAATTCGGTCCGTAATCACACGAGTGATTAACGATTTGTCAATTACGAGTATTATAACAGACAGAATTGGAAGACAAAAATCCTGTTACCAATTAATCATAACCTTTACAATTTCCGAAAACAACAATAACTTTAGGACAAATATCTGTGGTAGAGACAAAGTCTAAGTGAAAAATTCAACTTTGGAAATTTCACCATTTTTTTAGGATAAGTGGTTGTTGCTGTGGTTGTGATCAATTCTGTGATTGGTGGATTTGGCTGAAAGGACTGAGCATGATTCGAAATTTCAACTGCTCGATTACAGCCAACTGTCTGATTACATTGTCCAATTAAAACTGTGCAGAATGATTCGTGAAGAATAAAGCAGCTAAAGCACCAATCACATTTGAGTAAATTGTAATTGTTATGATTAAGGGGAGAACTGAAGGGTGTGATATCTGGGAACGACTTGATATTCGCCCTTGTGTAGCCCGGTGAAGTTTCTTGTTACTGTAGCGACAGTTACGAGACTTCAGTGCAGTCTGCACCACGTGACTGATGATTGATAAACCTTTTGTGGTTAAAACAACTTATAAAAATTTAGACAACTTCCTGTACGACCAAAGGAGCATTGCCAAATAACGTACAGTATTTACAATTAAAGAAAAACTGCGAAAATATCAGTAAATCCCGACACTCGAGAGATAAACTTGCCTGAAAGTGGGTGAAAAAAACGTTGGCTAATGAGAAAAAACCGGTATACAAATACATCCCAGACTATTTATAGGCTTGGTATAACATAGAGAATGGAAACAATCACCGAAAAAAAAGGGAAAAAAAACTCTAAAATGAAATTAAAAAAAAAAAAAACAGCAAGTTCTCCAGGACGGGATCTGCGCCCTATCTGGTACCGCGGTTTCGCGGTCCAATGCTCAACCCACAGAGCTGTGGGGAACTTGCCATGAAACAGAGAGCAAATTTAAGTCAAAATGTAACGAGTCGACAACGTAATGTTAGGATCAAGTGTGCAAACATTCTGAGGGAAGAAGTGTTTTGACTCTAAGATGACATCAGAACTAAAACTCTGCTATTTGCCAGTTATATAATGTTCAAATTCAGGGGCGCTCTCATCCTAAATTTAAAGGTGTGGAAAAAGGGTAAAATTGATACTAACTGGATAAAAAAAGCGTCGGCTAATATAATGTACCAAAATGAAAATAGCAGTTTAAAGACACGTCCCAGACTACATATAAGCTTGGTATAAAAATCGAGAACGAAATAGTGAAATTAACATTGACAAGGCCTAGACCAGAGGCACACGTTAACTCTTTCACTTCCAAGATCTCATAAGTTATTCTCCTTACAGTATGCCATACAGTTCTTATGATGTTAGTATGGAGAATTTGGCATGGGGTCAACAAATAACCCCATTAATTATTTTTTTCTTGATTTTCATCACATGTGCTTAATGTTGCATTGCTATTGTAAGGAGAAGTCCTGTCTTGGTCACTCGTGAGAGTTTAAGATTCATCATAAAATCGTCTTACAATTCCGTGAGCTTTATTTTATTCAGTGTTTTGTAACAATCTTAACAAAGATGATCAACTTGATTGGTTTAATAAGCGTGACTGTGCATTAACCTGTTTTCCCGGTCTCGAATATCATTAAACCCCATTGTTTCAAGAAGCACCGGTCGTTGTGATCAGGACTTGTCGCGCGCTCGAATCAGTGCTGCACATCAAGAAGCAAAGGAACCGCTCGGAAAGAATTTTGCAAAAAACGCGCAACATGTTTGACAAAGTGGTAAGCGATTATCCAAAACTGAAATGATCTTAATCATTGACTCGATCGTGAACAAAGCAGGACAGAACCGAAGTGCCCATATTTGAAATAGAAACAAGAAGAAAAGAAACGACATAATAATAATTGTAATAACACGGATGATCTAAGGAGTCAAACGCAGGTTGCAGTTTTCCCTGAGTTTGGTAGGGGAACCACGACACTTACATTAAGGCTCATAAGCCTGTGAGACCATCATCTGTTGTTATTCACAAGGGGGAGTTCAGTGACGCGTAAACTTCAGAACAACAGATATATGAAAATTTTTTTGCATCGTAGTTGAAACATTTACGTGATTTCTAGACTCACAAACATTATTATAGTAGAGTTAGCTATTTGGTTCGTGAGGGAACCACTATCTTGCTATCTTGAACAGCACTGTGACCGTAAGTGCTCTGTGTGCAATCATGCTTAAGATTCTTTCATGACTTTGCAAAACTCATTACCTAACGAAGGGCTAACGCTCGAAACGCTAGCTTTAAAACTCTTTACGGCGGCCAAGTCACGTTATCAACTCAGTTGATAACACTTCATTACCCTGTTATACTCTCTCACCAACCCAGCATCACAGTTTATTAAGAAACCTACCCCTTCGTTAAAAAATAATGCTAGTTTGCTTCGCACTATGCATGTCCTACTAATGATGGATTGTTAGGATAGGCAAATTCCCCGTAAAATACTCGCTGATTTTCTCGTTTGGCTCAATTTGGAATAAGCGTTGTACTTAAATTACCAGAATAAACCTATGTAAGCTGACTCTGAACACGCCTCTATCGGAAAATAGAGAGGATTGAAGGGCTCTTTCAAATTTCCGTTTAGTTTTGTCATAGAATGTTGCAACTTCTCAAAATGTTGTTTCAAAATTTTTTTAGGTGAAAACGGTCGTTTTTCGCACCTTCGATTGTAATGACAGTGCAAAAGTTTGCTGTGCATGAAAAGTCAGTGCAATGTCGAGACTTACTTTTTCATTTTACGTAATAACAATTGACCTGCTTACTCATGTGTATCTGTCGTTTGAAGTTGTTTTCCAGACTCCTGGCAGTGTTCACGTCTCAACTGATGACTTGCATTGGGTACCCAACACATGTGCCAATCACAGTTTGCGAAAGCCTTTTTGCGTACCATTTTACTCAGCCACCCCCGGCCTTACCCACTCCCCCTCAACCGCCCAACACAAATCCATACAGAATCCACGTGAGTAATGATAGCTATACACGAGATGGTCAGCTGACTGTAACGGTAAATGGTACCAAGGGTTTTAAGGTGAGCCTAGGGTTTTTATTGAGGTCATCATGGTGAAAAATAGTTTCATTTTCTCTGAGTTTTTTCTTACCGACCCATATCATTCTCCCTTTTGTTAGCAACGTTAAGTCCTCTGTGTCATAAAGTCTTGTCATAACGTCTCTTTTTCTCTATCTCTGTGGAAGGGGTTCATACTTCAGGCGCGTGCTGCAGGGGATTCAAGACCTGCTGGTACCTTTCAGGGGAACCTGTCCCCGAACCAAACCTATATGTGGTGTTCCGGTGGAGAGCCACAGGTAACCAGCTTTTGATTTCATCTTTGCTCCCCTTCTCAGTGACCGTTATCTTGGACTCTTCTGTTTGCTCTCTCTTTACTTTCTGTATCCACAATCACAATGATGAGCAATTCGATTATCCTGAATATCCCTCACTTTTCATTTATTTCTCTTTTGTTAACAGAACACAGTGACACACCAACGTTCCAGACCACCACAGATTACCGCCTTTTATACGCTTGAATTTACCTGGAAAGCACCAGCAGAGAGCGTTGGAAATATCACATTTTGGTTAGCAACAATTTCAGTATATTTATACTGGCGTAGGCTAGAAGACGGATCCAAGTCATTTTACTACTGTCGATGAACACCGTTTTGTTTACAAAAAGGGGGGCATCATCTCTGATTACATACATTCAATTTTTCAATCTTAAGCGAAAGAAACTCCTTTAAACCTTATTTTCTTCGATTCAGGGGCACCTTCGTCGAAAATTACACCAGTTTTTGGGTTGGTGTTCAGTCTGTGACTGTCAGTGGCCCTGCATTGGACCCACAACAGCCACCAGTGATACAGCCTGGCTTTGAGGTAACACTGAGTGTTGGTTGTATCTGACTCTTCTCCAAAATAAGTCGCATGAGAAATCTGTACCAGACAATAATTCCGTATTTTGACATCTCACAAGCGGGAAAGACAGAAAAATGTGACTTAGAACAATAACTAGCTTGTATAACTGGCGGCTCTGTCAGGGTGCATTTGACGATGGCTCGCGAAGTCGCCCCAAGCCTTCCGCGGCTTAATCGCCCTTTCCCTTTGCGTAAATAAAACGGGCTGTTATTTGTTTTTGTTGAAGGATATGGATTATATAACAACGAATAACGCTGACTTGAAATTTACTTTATATGTTATTCGTGCCATGTTATCTATTTATAAGGGGAATAATTTTCGTCATGATAAATTCTCACTTTCGGTTCCCATGTTGGAGCGGTATACTTGTTGCATTTTCTATCCTGTTGAAGATCATTCCACAATCATTTGTTATTGTGTTCTTTAGATAACGAAAAATGGTTGCGGCAGCCAAAAAGGTTGTTATTCTGAGCCCACAGACTGCACAGATAGTTCAAACTGCGAATTCTTGGTCACCTATGAAACAAAAGGAGAAAATGTTACATTTGAGATGAGTGGAAAACATGGCTACGTTTCTATCGGATTCAATTCCAAGCAGAAAATGGTACGGTGAAATTATAGTATACAGTTAACAGTAGTTTGCATGTCAGGTGAAGCTTGAGCATTTTCAAGTTTTCTAACAGTTCTCTGATACACATCAACATAAACGAAAGTTTTCGAGTATGTTGAACTCACACCATAAGTATAATTTTCATGTTAGTGTGAGATAACAGACATAAATGTTTTTAACAACTTGGCAGTTTCCATATTGACCTTTAGCTTACTGCGTCTCATGCTTATGCTTCATGCTAGCCAAACTGAAGTTTCCTTATGGTCATTTTCGTTTCAGGACCAAACGGACTCCATTACTTGTTCAACTTCATCCAATAACGCTGTAGAAATTAGACACTATCACTTAGATTACAATCAGCCAATCAGGACTGACTTGGTAAGGATCGACATATGTATTCCCATACTGACATCGCTCGTTAAGTACTTCGGTTTCACTTAGAACTGATTATCATTATTGTTATCGTTAGGAAAACTCTACGGACATAATTCGCGATATGGGAGTGTACGAAAATGGAACAGTTACTTGCAAGTAAGTAATTACGGTCTCAGGAATCGCTGTATATGTCATGCTTGTACATCAAAATGCATTCCTAATGAGGAGTAGTAAAACCAAAACCAAAGTAATCACAACGGCCAGTTAGTACAAAATAATTTCTTCAAAGAAACAATTGACGGGCGCACTTCTTCGAGTTATTTTTAACAAAGTGACAATGTACTTACATATCTATTGGTAGGTTTGTTCGCAAAATTTCACCCACTGATCCAAGGATGAAAAATTTAACCAAGAGCTGGTTTTTTGTATTTGCTTGGGGTAAAGTCAGTAAGTATCCTTAATCACATTTTCTTTTATCATCTAAACGAAGATTATATTCGTTTACGTTCTGCTGAAAAAGTTGCTTTCTCTAGTAGATAATGAGCCTGGCCAACCGAGGGCAATTTTGCACAAACCTAAACAATGCACTTTTTAAAAGACAGTGTCGTTTGGAAAGAATACATTTTTTTTTGCTTAATTTTTGTGAATTTTGCATTTTTTCACTTTAAACTCATACCCGTTTTGTGTTTGTTTGTTTGACTGTTTGTTTGTTTGTTTGTTTTTTTAGGTAACACAGGAGCTCTTTCGTATCATAGAGAAAATGCGACATTTTCCCTAGAACTGGTGAATGTTACCCAACCTGCCGTGCTGAAAAACGGGCGTAAAACAGCACCAGCACCCACCCCCGAAGGTGAACTTGAGGTAAGTATGAAACAGAAGGCAAATTTGTAGACTGACATAATTCTTCGCTTTTTCTTCGCTGACCAGTTCTTTAAAGAGTCAAGAAATGGTGTCAAATCGCTATTAGCCCCAGATTTCACGAACTATCAGCTGTTTCGGCCAAATTGTCTGCCCGCGCTGACGGTATTCCTACGTTTTACTTTCTCTTTCAGTTTTTAACTTCTCAATGTGGCCAAACAAAGAGTTGTTACTCGGAGCCCACAGACTGTACATCTAGCAGCACCTGTGACTATCTTGTCACATTCGAACCTTGCGAAGACAAGAATGACGTCAAATTTGAGTTAAGTGCGAAGACTGGTTGGGTCGCCATCGGATTCAACAAAGAGAGCAAAATGGTAAATTAGAACGCCTTTGCGTAGATGAAAGCTTCATCGACAGTGGCAATTGCCTTTGTGAAATCATTACCCATTCCTTTACATTTGCTTCAGGACGGTACAGATACTATTATCTGCTCTCGCTTAAATGATGACACTGTAGCCACGGAGCACTATAGCCTGACTGGCCATGACAACCCAGTTCAAACCAAACCGGTGAGAAAGATTTGTGCGTTTAGACCAGGGTTTAAAATATATATGTATGGTCAGGTTTCGAATGAGACTGAACGTGGCCATATGTGTGTGCATGTGTTTTTGTTTTTGTTTTTTTTTTTCGAATCCTGTACACTTTACTTAAAATGGAAAGAGAGAAGGAAAGCCCATCTTGCGAGTTCAATTCCAACTTTGTTTTATCTTAAGTCTGTTTTTCGTCCATCTCTAGTCTTAAAACCTTTTTACTTATTACATTTTGTGCGCAAGCTGTGTAACTAAACCTTTTGGTTTAAACCAGACTCCTGCAGGCCTTATGGTGATCTCTGGTGCGTATGAAGACGGAGTCATTAAGTGTAGGTGGGTACTGTCATTGGTTAGTTGTGAAAATGTAATCGAAAAAAACTTAAAACGTATAATCCTTTGACATTCTTTTCAGAAAGTTATGAAAATGTCTGAATCTTTGGTAGCATTTAAGTTGAAAACTTACTTTAAAACACTTTCTTTTTAATGTTTTCTCAGATTTTCTCGAAATAAAACAGCAAATGGCATGTTAGGATTGGACCAAGAAGTGTTCTTAATTTACGCTCGTGGTGATGTGAATGGTACGTTGGGAAATATTTCTCATCAGCGATTCAATCAGCGTAAGACCTACCTGGTGTATTCTCACTGCCGTTTATCATAACTGTATTTTCTTATTTATTATCTTCAGGTGGTATACTTATCCGGCACACTCACAGGTCACCCAGCACAAGTAAAGTCGATGTTTGTAAACTGAACACCGCGCTCGAGAGTAAGACTACGGACAACAAGCTACTGAAAGCTCACGGTAACTAGAGTTTGATATTTAGCTGTGAAAGGTTATACAAAAATAGGATGATTCCTTTTTGTCTCTGCTTACTTCTTATCGTTCGTCAGGTGTTTCATAGGACTCGGAAATTTTATATCCCAACAAGTAGAGGCGAGGGGGGGGGGGATTTCTCTCATCTCAAATGACAGTTATTAACTTCCCAATGTAGGCTCAATGAGTACTTTTAATACTTTAGGGGAGTCTGCGTACTAAGCTCTTACTAATGTTTTACTCTTTATTGATATTTAGGCTCGCTAATGGTGGTGGCCTGGGTTGGGTTTGCAACTCTGGCTATGTTTGCCGCGCGTTATATGAAGGACGCCTGGGGAAAACTATTTGGACTTAAGAAGTGGTTCCAGGTAATCTTGCCAACTTTTCATCGAGGCAACAGTAAGGAAATATACACTGAAATGACCACCATCCCACTTTGCTGAGTTTGTCAGAAATTTTGCGTACGGTGATAGTTTTGTGAAGGGCCGCATAATGGGGATGGTTTAGTTGCATATATAGTAGAATGATGTAGTTCAAAAGTTAAATTTTTCGTTCCCTCTTGACTGAGCAAACCCCCCAAGCGGAATGTTAACACATAAATAACTAGCGATCATTTAGTGGACAGTCTCTTAGACAGCTTGATTTTATTTCTGTCTTTGGGTAATTCACCTGTTTCTTTTAGGTTCACAGGGCACTGACTGTAAGCTGTTTGATTTTCACTCTAGTCGGTTTTGTGCTGGTTTTTGCTCACGTCGAAGGCTGGTCTGAAGTAAGGAAAAAACTGTCACTGTTGGTTTAACGTAGTGCTTTAATCTGTATGTGACATCTTTAGGTTCATTTACTCATGCTAAGTAGGCATCAAAGTTCTATACTCTAATTAAGTTTCTGAACCTATGCCTGTAGTAGTTAGCAGGCAATAACCTTTTTGCTAAAAGTCAGTTCTCTTTCATTTTGTTACGCCTTCCAGTTGGGAGAAACAAAAGACTGAGATATTTCTTTTGTACTTTAGGGCTAGGTAATATCTCTATCAACCCTTAACTGATTTTATCGTGTATTAATCATCAGGCAGATGTGGCACACTCTGTACTAGGGGTCATTATCACTCTTCTTGTCTGTGCACAGCCCATTATGGCGCTCATGAGGCCTAAACCAGCAACTGAGAAGTAAGGAAATATATCGTGCTGTAAACTCAATTTAGTTTAAGAACAATTTCGAAAAAATTGGTCGCCAAAGTGTGACGGTGGACTTATTACATTTTTCTGTTCTTGCGCACAGTCGATGGATTTTCAACTGGTGCCATCGTAGTGTTGGCATCTCTGCATTTATTCTTGCGGGTGAGTTTTGATAGAAAATAAGTCATTTTCTTAACCTTTGTTATCAGTAGGCACTAATAATTATACTGACATTCTTATTTATGTCGGTTTTTAGTGGCCAACATATTCCTCGGCCTTCGCCTGCCTCATTTAAACGCTGAAGTCGGAGTTTATCTCATGACCTTTTTCTGCGTCGGCCTGGTAGCAGTTGTTGCACTTGAGAGCTACATTAGGTGCCAAAAGAGTAAGAAAGGTAAGATCCTACGGCGCGTACGATGGGTCGTCCTTGTCACTTACCAATGATTTGTATACAATTGCGCAAGACGAACGTCGAAAGCTATGATAGGTCTCGTCTCCTGCGTTGGTACCGCTTCTCTCGTCATAACCTTTTTTTTTCACTTTTGCAGGACTACTTTACATGACCTTTGGATTCCTCGTTGTCCTAACCAGTACTGTTTGTTTTGCCCTGCTTCTTTTCATTACCATGGCAACTTGAAACCTAAAACCTCAGGACTTCTGTTGACCCTTTTGTTCGACTCGGAAATGCTTCTGTCATTCATACCTATTACCAAAGCAACTTTAAGAATTAACAAGTGAATCCCACGACACGACGACTTTATCCAGCGTGTGTTACTTAGTAGAGATTCTCGTTTTAAACTCGTCTTCTTTTCTGATATTTTATACGCAAAATCTTCAATCAATCCATCGCAACATAATGGAACTGTACGTTACTTAACCTCGAAGGTTTCATTCATGTATGTTATAGCCTATTCTTGGCGCTCAACTGGTAAACAAGGCAGTTATAATTTCTGCGGGGCAAACTGTAAGAGACTGCTTCCAACCATTATCCTGATCACGATCTGTTCCAGACCTCCCTCGTTTATTCGCTCTTCGCTTTTTATCACGCCCCTTTACCAACTAATTGCCAGGAACAGGTTAACCGTTAGTTTATAGATGGAGGAATCAGATAATTTTATATTCTCGGGATATATTATTCTTCAACCAACAACAACCTGTCGTAATAGAGGTTTTGGCTCTTCAGCGCAGTCAAGTACATATACAATGAATGAAATATTTCATCGTTGATCTCACGATGTTGTTGCTTCGGATTTCTACCTTTCATTGGTCAGTTATGGGGAAAAAAGAAATTAAAAGGGTCTATCTCGTCAAGACTGACAAAGCGTGTCATGATTTTGGTGGAATCAAGCGAATACAGGTATTGTTTCTGCTTTTAGACGGGACATCGGTACATCGCTGTTACTTGACCCCCCCCCCCCCCCTCCTCCGACTAAATCGATGTTAACGAAGCATTTCAAGAGAACAGAGGCGAATTCAACTACTTTTAGGTGCGTTCTCTGAGATCACTATTTCAAAAATCTTACGGGTTTCTTTCAAGTCTTTTCTGAAATCCCTCGTCTGATTTACATCTTGGAAGGGTCGCGTACCGTATATTTTTCTAAACCTACCTCGCCTTTCTGAGATATTATTGATCTCTTGCGTAACTCCGATGTAAATTGCTTTTATTTTGTGTATCTTATCGGGATTTTCACTGATAGATTTTTTTCCCGCCAAAAGCCCGTCTGCTGCTCCCTTAAACGCGGATCGCCACTGCCATATTTGGGAATCATGAAATCTGACCAAGGTACTTATTGTGATTTCAATATCTAGGCGTAGAAGGTGAAAATTTTGCTGCGACAAACAACACTGAGAAAATAGCGAGAATCTTAGTTAGATTTTTGATCGCAAGCAGATGAACATCGACAAGAGAGAAAATTGCCTACAGGAGAAACTGTTCGTGTTCTTATATGGAGTGTTTGGTGAACACATCAATACACGTTTTCGCAAATGGGAAGGTAAACAGATTTTTTTTTAATAATTCAACTGCAGCAAAAATTTCGCTAAAATTACAGATTGGATGGTTGGTCCCTTCTCCATGTTCCGATTTAGGCAGAATTCGCTGAATTGTATATATTCGCTCTGAGAAACGGAAAACGTTCGCGAGTTTTTCGCGTATCGCTCTGTGAGCAAATAACAAACAATTGCTAAAAAAAATCCCATATTTTACTTCGATTATGTCGCATATTTTTAACGTTGTCCAAATGAAATTATCTAAACACTGAGCAAATACATAAGATAAAAGTTTTTGACATGGTCTAAACAAATAATTTTGTCTACATTTCCTCCATCATTCGACCAGAGAACTGTAAACACTACTTGTTATGAAGTGTTTTCTTTCAGCTTTGAGGGAAGATTAGTTAATGGATCATACTGTTCTAAGTCAAACGGTTAAAAGACAATGACACAATTCAAAGCCGAATGCTGAACTTTTTGTCCCGAGAGCTCAGTGATTTACAGAGAAACTGAACAAATTACACCTGTCTATTCTTATTTCGGCATTCGTGCTGAACACCTTCACGTCATAGTAAGCAACTGAGCGTTTCTTTCAACAGAACTAAACTAAAAACGAAATAAATCTAAATTATTTGTGAGAAAGGGTATTTTTCACGATGCTCCTACAGAAAATCTACAAAAAGCGATGTTCAGATAAATTTGAACCACTGACTAAAATGAAGGAACCCATTTTAAAGACAAAGGAATCCATCACATTTTTTCACACTGTAGCTGCAAAAAAAATTGATTAGAGAGCGAGAGAATATCAACTAGTTGGTTTTTTTTGTTAGAAAGTGAGTGCTGATATTTACCGGGTATTTACACTGCCTTTTAAATCAAAGTTTTACACGAATTTTTATTTTTGTGCGCCGTCAGTTTCGAGCGTTTCCAACAGCCAGAACTTGATCACAAATGCATTAAAGATGTTGATATTTCACAAAGAGGAAATAATATCACATGTATCAAAATCGACACAGTGAATAGTTTCCTTCGCAGCAGTTGTTTGGTCATCACGTAACGCGCTGCGAAGAATACTACGGAAAATATTGCTCTCTGCGATTTTATTAATTACCTTTTTTGCCGCACCCTCTGCTAAATACTGTGGGCGCTCTCCCGGTTATTTCATTGGTGCATTCTCAGTTACATTTGTACATTGTACGGACATCATCTCTCTTGTTTTCAAATTCTTTCCACCAACCTTAATTCCTTTCCGCGTAATTTTTCTTTGGGTAGGAACATTTGTGTAGGTTTCTTCGTTGATATTTAATTCTCAGTTTCAGTTTTGCAAGTACAACATCTCATAAGTTTCAATTATAGCCGTTGTGCCCAGGTACCTTCTCACTCCCTCCAGCTTCTGTTTAAAAATATTTTTGCTTTTGTGACAGGTTTTTACAACCTTTTGTTGTTAACTGCTAAGAGAGTGAGGTCGGGATGTTTCTCAGTTGACACGGACGAACTGGGAAACACTAAAACAGAGCACAGTGGTACTATACTAACAGGTATCGCCTGTAACATTTACTGCTTTTACAACTCTATTGCATGCGCGTTGAGTAATTAGGTTCCTGTGGCTGGAAACAAACGAAAACGAAAAAAGTGGAAACAACTTTTTACCTACAATTTCTTATGACCGTTTTGATTCAATTTTATTAATCCATATATTTTGATTTTAAAGAGAATATCTGATTTTAAGAGGAACTTCCAAAATTGTACATTATATACATGGGCAGTGAAAACCCACTTACAAGAAGTTTGGCGGGACCTGGAAATATTTTCTCTTTTACTCTTAATTCATGCATGGTTTCCACTAAAGGCTGTGCACTTCATTATCCTAGCTAAACCAACTACATTCTTTTCCAGTGAAGCCAGGACCACTGTGCTTCAAATGCTTATTCGTGAAAATGGCGCACTTCGTTCTTTTCGGTTACCACTTGGTCAGCCGCGCATATCATGATTCTTCGGCATTTAAACTGTTTTGTTCACATTGTGTATTTCATTTAGTTTAAAACTGACTGTTTGTTGACTGTGTTCTCATCCGCTTTATTATACTGGCTTTGAATGAAGACCCTCGGCGGTCACGCTCAGCTGCTGTCTTCCTTCTCCATATTACCACCATTGTCACGCAAATCGCCACAACAATGACTGGAATCACTATCCACGGAACGATCGATGCCGCGTCTACTTCTGCAGAGGTAAGAAAACAGGTGAATCACCTTACAGTGTAGCTGTAAGTTAAAAGTTACTCTTCTACAGTTGATTCCGATTATGGCAAAAATTAGTTTAACTTTTTGCCGAGTTTTTCTTCAATTTCCGCCTCTAAGTACAGTTTGTTCCTTTACAAAATATGATTTTTGTCTATAACTGAGAGTATTTCAGCAAAGTTTATAAGACGGGATATAAATTTCTGAAAGAAAAATCGTCGAAAGATTACTGGTAATTACCTTTTATTTTTGTTACAAACTCCGCACGAAAGCCAAAATCATACGAAATATCACTGGTAATTACCTTTCTCTTTTGTTACAAACTCCGCACGAAAGCCGCGGTTATTTTGCGACTCTGTTACAATCATCCTCACGGTTAAGTCGGAATCAGATGTCAAAAGGCCTTGAGGTTTTTTGGAACCACAGAAGACCTCCTGACCGACTTGTAGTTTGCTCTTTCCATCGCAAGACATTTCAAAATCTTGTACGTCCATTTCTAGAATATGACCATCCGGAACGACAAGACGCCAGGTACAAGTAATTATGGGATAGGAATTTGGATACCCTGGGCTTACCAGAGAACCTCTGCTACCTTTCAATGTAATGAAATTTTCTTTGTTTGAATCAGTTCGACAACGGCTTGTATGACCTGACAAAAATAAGGAAAAAACCTCAGTAAGTCATATATTCCCTGTACGTTTCAATTCAGGTTGGATATAGATTACGAGCAGTCCCTCCTTTACGGCGAAGTCCGGCGCGCGAGTCGAAAAAAATCATTGGAAAAACCGTAGGGAGCTCTTGTAGTGACTCCATGCATGAGTGAGGCGCTCGAAAAGTAGGGACTACGCACTAGGCCCAAGAGTTTGAATTCTGCATCGCGCTCACAACGCAAAAAGATGATTGGCTATCAGCCGGAAATCTGTCAACAAGCTTTTCGAGCGCCTCACTCATGCAACTCTCGCGGCCCATCGACATTACTCAAGAGCTCTCCGAGCTAGCTTCAATTTTTTTTACTGATTTTTTTGGACTCGCGCGACGGACTTCGCCGAATTGGAAGGACTGCTTGTAGTCTAGGTTGGAAATGGAACTAATTTCATATTAACAAGGTCCGAATATTCTTTATGTAAATGTTTTGTGAAGCTCTTTGTTGTCCGATATCTAAGACATATATATTTTCTTTGTTGGCAAAGTTTTCAATATGGAGACGTCTTGTTTCAATTTTGTTGATTTTAGCCGTGATAACAGAAAACCTCCTTGTGATGACCGCTCTTTTTGCTACATACTATAAAAACATATCTGGTTATATACTCTTATGTATATCGTTCACAAACACAACTTGATATGGTCGTAATTATGATAATAATGATGATGATGATGAAAAGTAACACTAACAGGGAAGTGAGGTTAAATTTCAAAAGTAAAATTCTGCACTTCAAGAACGAATCCACAAATGCATGCACCAAGGCATACTTGCGATATGTGCGCTCACCGCACTTCATGCCTGAACTAATTGTTGACCAATTGAAAAACCACCAAGAAGTAACAGCCACAAGAGGTATCAGCAGCTAACCATCTATGTGAATTACTATGATACACAAAGGCAAATCTCTCTGTTTCTTAAGTATTTGGAAAGGCTAAAATTTTATTTACCTTGCGGAGTAACTTGGTAAGTTCCATAAAAGCCGGTGGCCGAGTTGGGATCCACTGGCTTATCACTACTGTAATCCTTTCCATTTGAATAGTTAGAAGTGAAAAAAATTTGGAGTTCATTTCGTGTTGAGTATATCACTTGCGGTTGGACATCTTTGCAAAAGTGACCCCAAAAAGAAGTAACACTGCCAAAGTCGGTGGTGAAGTAATCATCGACTCGCATTAGCTCTTCTCGATGACCCTCTTCTTCACATTCTCCTTTAATATTCAGCGAGGTGAAAGAAAGCTTAACACAGTAGCCATCGGGTGCCTTCAGTCGCCAAAAACACGAGCTGACAGAAGGTAATTGGAGAGGGTAATCTGGTGACGATAAACGCCCCACTGAATTTTGGGTCAGATTAAGTTGAATGATTCTGTTGTTGGGGGTACATACACCTAAAACAAAAAGAGTTTCATTTGATTTCCCCTTGGGATTTCGAATGAGTGACGCTTGATGAGTTAGGCCGTTAACGATTCAGCTGTAAGCAGTGCTTACAACTGAAAGAAAAAAAAAAAATTTCAAACACGTCTAAACAGGCTGCTCCCCTTAGCAATAGGAAACGATTCTGCAGTTAGCAGTGTAATCTTAACATGTGCACCCAGAAACGAGGGGTTCTATAAAAAAAAAAAAGCTGTGCTACGCTTATCCTAAAAACCACTAAAAAATCACGTTTCCACGCTTTTTTTTGCCAGATGTGGCAAAAAAATGCGTGGAAACGTAGTCCTGATCTAAAGCAGAAGCGCGATACCACTAGGAAAGGGTAAACTAACCTGGTTGCACCACTAATCATAAAGAAAAATCAGTGATTGTAAAGACATTTTACAAGGAGTTGGAATACCAAAATTACAACAAATACAAAAAGAAAGTGGTCAAACCAAAGACTGACAGACCTAGAATGGCTTAATTTTCCAGCGAAACACTTAAATAATCCGAAACTTCCATAATGCTAGGCGAACTTCTTCTACGTGCCATCAGAATATTAATTCTTGTCTAATTCGTTCCCATGTCACTCCAACGTCAGAAATTACCTAAGTGGGGACTTTTGTGACGATTTTGCTGTAAGGCAGGCAGATGCCGTGTCATTAGGCACAGATCAACTTCAAATTCTAGCCCCCTTCGTTATGTCAGTGTGTGAGATAGAAAGCTATGCCTAAAGATATGTCTAAGTTCAACCTACCTCCGGAAATTGCTTCAAACTTAGCGGAGAACTTAGCGGAGAACCCCCGTAAAGGTTTCTTCCCGTCTGATATGAACGTTACGACGATCCTTGGTCCGACTGAATATATTGTAGAAGGTTTATTATTTCCACAGAACTTTCCATAGGGTGGGTCATTATCATTGTAGCTATCTCGCACATCCACGTAATCAACTCCATCGCAAGTATCCTGCCCTGCGATTTCCCCCAGGTGGAACACGCTGAAGTTAAGCTTGATACGGTGACCGCTGGGTACTGTTATAGTCCAGCGGCATTTCGTATCGATGTTGTGAGACAATGTATTAAGAGGGCTTTGAATGGTGCCATTTGTGCCGCTCCTCATTATGTTATTGTTTGCATCGGGGTCATGTTCTTGGCTACACTCCGCTTACATCGTAAGTTGAAGAGATAAACAGGAAATACAGTTAAGCGTCTAAAAAATAAATTTCAATCTAATCCGCCTCTCTCTCACAAAAAATTGGTATAGATTAAGATCAACATTGTTTAGGGTTGCAATTTCCAATTCAGTTCCTTATCCTAAGTCTGTACCAAAAAAGAGCAAATTGTTACAGCCAAGTTCAAATTAACAATTGGGCGTCGTCTCGTTGTTGGTGGAAAAATTAAGTGACTCTAAGAACCAACAAACACATTGTGTGCTTTAATTGGCTGTGTGTTGACTAACAACAAAAACATACTGAAGTAGAAATGTGACTCATAGAAGAACTCCTTAGTGGCTACATCATGCCACGGGAAAGGTTTAAAATTCTTATCCATCGTGCTAGTCAGAGATATATGTAAAAAAACTCAACTGATTATGCGCAGGCTGCATCAGAATTATATGAAATGTTTGCAAACAAAATCACCTCCCTTAGTGGTTTCTTATTATTTTTCTTACCTGGTGACACCAGCATTAATGAGGCATAAAATCCTTGATGTGTCTGCCCAGGCTCAATTGATGCAGTGTATGTTACCGTGAGAGTGTTCAAGTTGTACGTAGAGAAGACGTCATTAGGTATTTTTCCGCAATATCGACCTAGGACTTTGTGAACATCGTCTCGCACTTCGGCTATTTCTACAGACGCCTTAAAACAGTTCGAACTGTTTGTTATGTTGAAGGAACTGAAGTGAACTTTAATCTGGTATCCTAAGGGAACGAACGCTTTCCACGAACAATAAACCGACGAGGTTAAAAAAGATGCTGTAGGACTTGAAATGTTCACCGATGAGTTTGTGCTTGACAACCACACTGATCTATTAGACATGGTAGGAGTGCAATCTTTGCCAATTGTCATACAGATACAAAATAAAGCAAAATTTCAGTAAAGGTGTCTGAATAATGATTGAAAATATATCGTAAAACAAATAAAAAAAGAACAAAAACCTTTTTCATGAGACTATGAAGACTTGACCGAGCATCAAAGGAGGCTTTTAAATTTATCAACGTAAGAGTTCAGTAAAATACAAATATTGTCTCACTATTGACAATCTTTTCCTCTTCCGGTCGCGACATTAATTCTGCAGCAAACCAGGCTATGACTTTGCGATAACGAAATGTCTTTTTGAGACACAAACACATAAAACGTCTTCTCGGATAGGACGTAAAACCGTAATCCATAGGACGTAAAACAGTAGGCCCCGTCTCCTGCAGGGTTGGGGTAGGAGACGTTAATTTCCCACGCACGAGATTACTGTGAGGTGGATGTCCTCCCCTGGGGTGGGATGGGTGGAAGATGTAACTTGTAAGGCGCATCTGAATATATTCATATAGATATTTGCGCCGAATAAGTATTTATTAAATTAAATTAAATTAAAACGAGGAGCTTTTAACGCAGCTTTTGCTCTCATCCTCAAACTAAAGAGAATTCACTCTTGGAAAATATCCAAGGTTTCTTCTTCTATTTGTCTGGTCTCCATGGAGGTATAGAGATATATTTTTGCTTTCTCTTACTTTGTACAGCTGCTCGAGCACATCACTCAGTTACGACTTGAGGATGTGTACGTTTCGATTTAGCTTTGCGAATTCTGAAGTCAAACTTTAGCTCACCTAAAACGCCACCATAGGTCCGTTTCCATTGGATAAGAACTGCAATTTATGATTAAAAAAACAAACAAACAAGAGTACCCGATCAGCGAATAGGGCTTCAGTTAGGTCGACTTTCTATACTTAAGTGAGGGAAGCTTGACTTTGGGCAAATTGATAGTTTACGAGTAAATGAGCAGCCAGCAAAAAACAAAAAGGTGATTGGGTGAAATAGAACCTAAGACACAAATTAAATGTAAACTGAGAAGGATGATAACTTGAGGACTTACCCAACAGGTACATGACCAGTGCTAATGTGTCATAAATAAATTTAATCATATATGTATGGGTCTGGCGGTCTATTAGAGGATAGTAATGTTTAAAAGTGGAGGTGGGAAATCAGATGATTTTTGCGGCAATGCAATATATTTTGATAAGTTTTCACTATATCAAGAATAGAACTTTCACATGTCAGAAACTATGATTAGCATATTGTAATAAGTATACGTCTGAGAGATGGGAGACACCTTTCATCTGTCAACCGACATGTCTTCATTTTTCCTTTGTTTGGTGGTAAACGTAAAGCCATCACTACAATAGTTCATGGACTGTTCATACAATCTGGTACCTTATTGCGCTTTTTTGCAATAACAGAAAAAGGAACGGATATTAATCTGTGGCTAGGACACAATATATTTTCTTCTATATCTAAATAAAACTTAACTTTCAAATGCAGTTAATAACGTAGATTTTTCAAGAATTAAATAAAAAATAACAGAAAATGAAACAATACAGCGCCTTTTTGTTTCTGTGGGGAAGCTTCACGAGGAAAATAAGTGAGCATCACTGTACAATTTTACATAAATGTTTCAAAACTTCGTGAGAGGAGAAGAATATGAAAGCGATTTAGAAATAAAACGTTCTCTTGAATCTAAAAGATTATCCATTTACTTTTCGAATGACCACATGATAAAATAATTACAAAGAAGACGGCTTAATGAAGTACTTCTATTCGACAGCTGGAATGACCGATGCCTCTATAATTTGTTTTTTACCAGTTTTCTTTGAATCTAGCAATGCCCATATCTTTTTATCAAAAAATTATGTTTGTACTACGTTTATGAAAAAAAGGCCAACCAGCATAACAGTAATGCAACAGAATTCCCCAGTCAAACAACATGGTCTTTCCTAGGAAGTTTTTCAGTTGACAAGCAGGAATTTTCGTCGAACAGTTGGCGACTAGCAATCAAATAAATCTAACTTCGTTGATCTACTTGGAGCAGCAATACATAATGTTTCAATATTTTATTTCAAATCTACTTCTGTTTCCTGCAGATGTCAAACTGCTGATGCTTTTGAATTATTGAATTTACGTCATAAAATACTCAGTCAAGCATGAATTCATAGGGAATGGCACCCGACTAAACATAACAAGTTCATCTGTGTTTACCAAATGCATGAACTAATTTTTAAACCATAGCCGTGTTATCTTAGGCCTTCTAAATCGTGAATGGTTGCAACTGCATGGTTTAAGCTGACCAAAGGCCAAAAATAGACAATCGACCGACAGATGATTTCGAACCTCCTAGGCTCATGATTTAGGTTGATATGTCATGAATAATATTATGATGAAGTTATAGCATGTGTACTTGAATCCTCTTACAATTTTAAGCAATAACAACAATTCGGTCATGAAGTTCCCTTATTCTTATTCCTGTCCTCCGATGTGGAGGACGCGAATTCGAGAAGCCATCGCGTGATGCTTTGCTAACTTTTGTTTGAATACAAGTCTAACCGTTTGCAATCATTATTCAGTGTCTTACGTCTCTAAGAAGTCATATTTACATAAGCTTCACCAGTAAAAATTCCTTCGTTACTATCGTCAACATACTACCTTCTAAACTCACCTGTATAAACCATCATTGCTACCCATTTCGACATCATCCTGCAGTAGTAGCTAAGCAAAGTCTGAGTGCAAATGGATTTTCTCATTAAATCGAAGAGAGGCTTAGTAATCATTAACATTTTATTTATAGAAGCCAGTCACGTCATCCCCTTGACATACGTCATTACTAGCAAGCCAATAGACAACCTTTCAGTACCCGTCGCACTCTAGTAGAGTATTCATATTCTCTAAAAAAAAATTAACCTCAAAAGCATTTACTGGGATCAGGAAAATAGTGACTTGGTCGAATCTGTCTGTCACGCTATGCTAGGCACTTAAAATATTTCTTCACGCGCAAACGACCACATATAGCTCACACCTAGATTTTATTCTTTTTGCTTCTTTGAAACTGTGGAAATGTCATCTTTGACACGACTTACATGTATATATGAACACATGCACGTACTCTTGAAGGGTTTGATGATGCTATTGCGAAAGCAGAAGGGGGATAAGAAACATAAATACGGACTTTATCAAAACCCAATTATTTCCTTAATTTCTGGGACGAAAAATGTAATCCATGTCACGGACCACAAACAAAGAGACATAAATAAATAAATGAATAAATAAATAAATGAATAAATAAAATAAACCGCGAGGACACCGATAACTTATGAAACTGTACTTAGAAAACGCCATCAAAGCTATTTAAAGACAATTTTTAATCTCTCGTTGGTGGAGCGTTGCCTCTCCGAGGTAAAAATCAATGTAGTCATCAGTTAGTTGCTATCTTTGTTTCTCAATGGTATAAAGCATTATACTAAAGCGCATTCTCTGTTCTAAGAGGTAAAATTTAGGCAATCGTTATTTTTAATAGGGGCTGGTTTGATCTGATCATATGGGGCAAAAGAACCACATGTACGCTACTGATAACTTTTAAGCCTATGTGTGTTCAAGAACACTGTGGTGAATAACGTATCTGACAGAGAACAAAAGAAATACCAGTTCTATTCATGAAACGAGGTTAAACATGGACGTACACAGTACTTAATTTTACCAAAACCATTTTCGCTAGCCAGTTGAAGGAAGAAAACTGGCTGCCGACAAAATTTTCTGAGTTCCGCCAACCTGTTAGCGGCCGAACGAAAGAGAGGACAAGCGACAAACAGCGCATGCGGGATGCAGTTTTTACTTTGTCTGATACCCGCCGTTTTTTCGCGCGCCCGCCTTTTCGCTCGTTTGCACTTAGCACAACCTTTAGTATCATTGGCTCCTTCAATAACCTCAAAGTGCAGACGAGATAATATCTATAGAGTGTAAAATGTACGATTTTTTCAGCAGCGCGAAAATTTGCAGAAACGGCGGTCATTCCATCAACTGTGGTTAACGTATTTACATTAGTAACTTGTAGGAGCTCAGCTATTAAAGTCGAGCTCGTCAGCTTCGTTGTTATTTCTGACTGATTTTTGTCTGTAATTCAGCATGGCCATCTCCTCGCGGTTTGTTTCCTTCAACTGTTTTTTCCTTCGTCGATATATCTGCGCCATTTTTAAGAGTATTAGAACAATTATAAATATTCCGAAGCAGATAAAACAAGTGGTGATTATAGCTATAACTGTTCCGTTTTTAGTATCTGCAAGGGAAAAAAAACGATGGTGTTAAAGAAAAACTTGAGCGCAAGGTATTGAGATTAGTTTAACTAGGCGTGAAGTTAAGAAGTCTCTTCCTGAGAGAATGTTTGGTCGATCTAATCTTGTCTTAATTTGGAAACTTAAAGAATAGCTGAAAACGCCCACACCTCTTGTCGTGAGGGGAGTTTTAACCAAAAGAAAAAGTGCAATGATCAAGGCATTATCACAATCGTTAAGGAGGTCAGTGGGAAGTTTTTACACTTCTCTATAGGAAGAAACGAAAACTTTGAAGTTTTCTACATTAGGGACCATGAAACCAACTAATCACGACAAGCTTTCAGTTTGAGGAAAGTCAAATTTCCTTGATCCTTAGGGTTTCATCTTTATTTAGAAGGAAACAAATTGTCATGTGTTTCTTCATCAGGGCTATGATTTTTAACCCCAACGGAAAGTGTACTATCAATAGTAGGTCAGGCCATCAATTGTTGATGGCGACAATCTGACTGTTATACTGTTAGTCTTTGCCAAGCGATAAGGTCATGGTATTACTTCTCCGTACTTCGTTACATCTGAGTTTCTACTCTTATTGATGTGAACCTCAGTATATTTTGGGAGACTAGGTTCAGTTACCTTTAGTAGCTGCCTCTTTCAGTACCCGTATCTGACAGATAGTGATATTGTACTGCTTTACATCGTCTGATGTGGTTACTTGACACGTATATATTCCAAAGTCAGCAAGTGAAGAAACCGTCACATTTAGAACTCCATCTCCACTGCTATTAAGAATAGATTGCCCCTTTGTCCATTTGTAATTGGTCGGTTCGTCAACGGAAGCGTGACAAAACAAAGTTATTTTATCACCTATTTTCGAAGCTACACATTCTTGTTTCATGGAACCAATCCAAATTCTGTACGGATCATCTAGGCAACAAAACGTAAAACAATTACGTTGAGGCTAAATAATGTAAAAGAAGAAGCACTAAAACGGAAATTAATTGAGAAAATTTTATTGTTCGTTGGGATGTGACACTTTCATACAAATACACTGTTCGCCGGCTTGCTTGTTTCATTGAGAATGTCAATTCAGGGCCTTGTAAGAAAAGGGCAGGAGTATTTTTGTATTCTTTGTTATCAGAAAAAAAAAAAAGTAAATGATAGGAATTTTAAGTATCTTTTGCAATAAAAATTATGTGTCTAAATTTGAATAGTGTTACTCACTCTAAAACTCGGCAGGGGACCACACCCTCCCACGTCGTATGCATTCGGTGTCGACCTCAGAGTACGTTCCTGCCTTTCTGTTCTAACTACGGTGGTGCATGACAGCAGAGTTTATGACGTCTCTAACCATTTATATTTTTTATTAGCTTCATCAGTTGTTAACTGCTTTAGGATGAAACATCACTGGTCAAGAACACACCAATTCAGTGATGAGACAAGCTGTTTCAGGCTTTTAAATAATCCAATTTCCCGCACGAGGTATGGGGAATCAATCTCTTATAAACATTGGTTTAATATAGTTGTTCAATCAGCGAGTTCACGAGGATATGTTTAGGTTACAATTAAGTTGTTGTCGAGTGTTAGCCCTCTTGATATAATAAGAAAAGTATATTACCGTTTGATTTTATCCTCATTGCTTCACTTGATGCACTCGGTGTGCTTTTCCAACTCTTGTAAAGCGCCAACACCCTGAAACGATAATCCTGATCTTTCTTGAGAGCAATAACAGTTGCTGTGTTATTACTAACAGTACATCCTGTATCAGTTAATTTTTCCACACATTCCACCGCTTTCCATGTAGTTTCTCCACAGCATTTTGCTTCCACTGAGTAGTTTGTGAACTCAGTGGGAGTTGGCTTCCAAACTAATGTGATAGATCTATCGGAGCTTGAGACAAATCGTGGTACACTCGGATCACCTCAAGAAGGGAAAAATTAAATCCATGATACACATACTCGAAGTGCAAATAATGATGACATAAAGTGTCCACCTGTAATCAAATCTGATTCGATTTGGGAGGCGGGAGATTGCGATATTTGACCATTAGTTACTGATGTTGAGTATTTTTCGATATGTGTGAGTACCAAATTACGAAGAGTTGAGGTTGTATTGAATGGAATAGGACTACTTGGAGGGTTTTTTCCCCTCACTTTCTCAACTGAAAGTCAAACGAAACCTTACCTAATTCCTTCGTAGCCATTGACTCCGATACCTGACTATACACCAGATAAGGAGAAACAAGTCGTAGGTAGTATATGTGCCCGGGGCTCAGACCAGTAAGAGTTATTATGGCCTTGGGTACCTTGACAACGCACGATCCAACTACATTGCTTCGTCGGCGGCATTTAGTATCATACCATTTGTCAGTTGTGTTCGACCATATTTGTATTGTGTACGTTATATCTGTCACGTCAGGTATGCTGCACTTTATTGTAAGAGAGTCCAGTGTGCTTGAAACATACTGTGGTATTGCCAACGAGATGCCTGCAAGATACAAATTCGCTGTTGTAGTTTAGTGACAAGAATACATGAGAACAGACGAGAGTCTGTTTGTGTAGGTTACATTTTCGGCACCTTTCGACACTTCACTGTAATCAATTATGATAACTGCGCAAATTGTTTTCCACATTCCTTGATTTATGACAAAAAGGAAAAAAAATCAAGATGCTGATTAGAATTGTATATTACAGCATCAATACTCTCAGGTATTGGGTCAAACTTGTCGAACACTTTAAGATCAGCTGCAATCAAGTAGTTCTAAATACTCGACGCTCAGCCAATCAGAAAAAGCGTGACGTGGTCAAGAAAATGGAGACCTCTCTTATCACATAAAATAATTATTTGACCTAAAAATACTGACAACTTACCAACAGCAGCAACAAAACTCACCCCAGCTTCTATCAGAACACGTTGCTCCAGCAGCAAGACCTTCATTGCAAGTGCGTTTTCCCCAGCCAGAGTTAACACAATGAAAAAGAGAACTCTCATTTCCAACGCATTGTACGTCAGTTAGCCACAATGTATTATTGCTCTGCTTGAAAGTGATATTTTGGTAATATGCTAAGGCTTCATTGTAGCCCAACAGTCGGCAAAGAACATTAGCATCCACCAAGTCCCACAGTTCGCCACACACTGAACCCCAGGCGCCGGAACGACGTACTTCAACTCGGCCATCTCTTGCAGTCCGTCCTTGGACCAAACGCACTACAATAAACACGATTACGCGATCATTAAAGTGTTCAGTCATTGGGTTTTTTTTTGTTTTTTGTTTTTTCTCCGAACAATATTTTGTCGCTCCCATTTCCTGATCTTGCTATATTGTCTTAAAATTAAAAAAAAAGAGCTTACATTCATTGCCCTGCCCTGGATTGGACAGGGGATTATGACTCCTCATGTTGATTATAGAAGTTCAGGCTTTCAGGAAGAAAGAAGTTCTGTTGATTATAGAAGTTCAGGCTTTCAGGAAACGTAGCCCTTGTCGGGTTACGTTTCTTGAGATACCTCAAGTTAGCCTCTTTATTTAATTTTGTTTGCTTTGTTTCTCGAGTACAATGTTAAAAAAAATGCTCTGTTATCTCAGTTTTATTAATCGGTACAAATCGTTTATCTACCTTAACAAAATTATAACAATGTGTCTTTTATGGTGGTGATTTTTCATCACGCATAACAATGACTACAGGCGATATTTCAATTTTGTGCATAATTATGTGCTGGTTGCCTTTAATGACTGTTTCTAATTTTGTTACAAAATTCATTACCGACAAAAAAAGGATTTTAACAGTTCTTACATGTAGAAGCATGTGTTATTGCGTCACCTGCGTCTTTTGCCCACGTCTTCACGGAGAGCACTCCTATCAAAACATCCAGCCGGTTAATAATGTGTAAGGTCAGGAGCCCATTACTGGGCTCATAGTAAGGTACATTATTCAGATTTCATCAAGCTGACATCATCTCATAAAGGTTACTATATCGACAACAATACATATGGTTTACGTATATTTCAGCGGTTATTCGCCGTTACGTTCTATTGGTTAATCAAAGACTGATTTCTTGCTCTTTCTCTATTTATTACGTCACGACGGAGGGTTTTGGCAGTCAGAAGATCAGTTTCCGGGTTATGTTTATCTTCCAACCGAAAAAATAGCATGTAATAACAGTCTGTCAATCTAATTAGTCTGATAAATATGTAAGGAAGATTGCAAGAAAAACAAAGTGGCGACAGAGACTCACAAACTCGCACAAAATTTAAGCAGAGTAAGCGTAAAAGGAACTGATTGCCTTACTTCACCCTTTTACCTTCGATTCCTCCGTACACATTTTGAAACGGGTTTCCGCAAGAAAGATAATGACATAGCCGTAAACTTAATTATTTTCGTACATTGTCCTGTGTTCAACAATTACCCCACATTAATTACTTTCTAATAGCTCTTTGTGCACGCACGGTGTAACTTGGAGTCACTAACCGTTCAAATCGTCAAGGCTTCTACACGTCAGCATGCACAAAATGCTTGAACAGAATATTTCTTTCTGTTGAAGATAGTGCAAATAATGAAGAGGTTTGAAAACTCTTCGTTGCCAAGGGAAAGCAGGGTTACTCGATTCACAGTCATAATTCCTTCGTTTTAAGTGCCAGATATATGTGAGGCATATTTATATTTCTACAAAATCAAGTAACATTTTCGCTGCTGCTAAATAAAAAAAGGGTTAAAGGCTCGGTTGGACATTTTCATTTAAGATCTTTTGTATAATTGGAAGGTTAAACATCCTGTAAATGCTGTTTGTAAACACCTAAACCACGCGATAGAACAAGGTTTGTTACACCTGAATAGAGTTCACGTAATATATTCGTGTTGATTGTGTTTCTGATTTGAGTCGATTAACATACCTGCCAACAGAATAAGCCGGGTTGCCCTTGTTCCCTGCATTGTTTTGAAAGTTCGTACTGTTTACAAGGTACGTCTGTGTTCACTTCTGCTTGGTACTGCTGGTATTATTACTGTAATCTTATGAATTTTCATGTGATACGAAATGACGCGTATGACGTAGCATGAAGGTTCTACGATTTAATTAACGTGGATTCTACTCAGGACAATGGCCGCCCGGATTAACAGTAGTTATACGCGCTCTGTTGATTTGAGAAAGTTCATCTGTGATAAATGAAAACAGCTGCAGATTCTGTCATGCATACGATTATGTCTGTTTTCGACATGATTTAGAGCTCCCCCGGCTTAAAGAGGAAATAAGAAACAAAACCACACTGAGGCCAAATTGTATCCTATGACACGAGAGAGACGTAAATGACTTTACACGTAAATTAATACAGAATTCGAAGACAGCTTCATATGCCAATATTTCCGCTGCAATATCATGTGTTGTCTCTTGGTTTGCATGTATGTTTGTCCAATCGAACTTATACACCGAATTTTAGCTTCGGAAATACCTAGAAAGCAAAGATATGATCAACTAGAATAGATTGAAGGAAAATTTATGATTAGTTGTGTGAACATGGAGTATGTTTCGTGACAAACTGCCGACGTTAGAACTTGCCAAAGACCTGCAAAATCAATTGAGGTCAGGGTCAAAGCGAGCATATCTATATGTGGCCTAGCCTAAATTTATCACTTTGGCCAGTCGTGTGCCAATTTTGTACAAAATTTATTTCGTTTACATCACCGAAATTCAAATTAGTTTATCGTTCAGTGTATTCGTACACTATCAGTCACTGTCTCTAAAGATTGTGTATTTGAAACTCAGCGCGTGAAAATGCTTTAAAAAAGGTAATTACGGAACGTTCGAGAAACAATTTTTTTATTTTATCTATCTTACTTCATGGCGATGTCTATCATCTTCACAGGCTTAAGCCAACTCACAAACCCTAACCAAAAATGAGGCAGTTGAGTTCCATAGCATTTTGTCTTTATTGCTTTTTTGATAAGGGTATCTATAAAAAAAAAACTTATCTGTCCACTCCGGCAGTTGTTTAGACGCATTTCAACGTCATCGAATATCTCCCTTAGATCAGAACAAGTCGTCCAACTGAAGTGTAGTGCTGATCGCATCTGTCTCATACTGCGGGGGATCAAGGGAAAGAAAAAGGAAATGAAGAAAAATTATTTAGCAGAGAGTAGGGTGCCCCGGAAAAGATCGCGAAAAGTTATATATCAAAAGAAATTTAATTATTTTATTTATTTATTAATTAACCCATTCATTTATTTTAACTTCATATTATTAGTGCATTGTATGCTCGGTGTTGGTGTTACTTTTTGCAAAGGATAATGCATGAAAATTCCTGTTTAATTAGATTGCTCAGGAGATAATTAACAAAGAGGTTTACTGATCCTAGTTTCTCACAATAAAAGCATAAATTGGAAGCTAGAAGACCTCAGAAACTTTTAAAATCCTATTCCTTTTCAATTATCAGCTCCCCTTGTGCTACTCATATTTGTTATACATGCACGGTTGCCTGTCAGTCCTCAAATCAGCGGCCACCTTCGAGCAATTTTCACAATTTCTGGGGCTCGGTACTCAGGTGAAGCTGGGAAAAAGTAAAGAATTAGAAGAAAATTAATAATCGTGTCGTTGTGTCGTTTTCAAAGAATATTTAAAAGAAAAATACAGTTGAGTCGATCGTTATTTGTAGAGCGGAGTTAATCTGACTCGTAGAACTACTATTACTAAATTTATTCACTGAAATTACGCACGAGTTGGCTCGTTTTGAGAGGAAACGTTACTTTCGGCTCAGATTGCCAGAGGAAAGCAGTGGAAAGTCTATCGTATGTTGAAATGGTGCTCAGCGTTACAAAATGTTACATCTAATCATAGCAATATCTTCTTAGCCAATCCCAATATCCTCCTGTAGGTTATGGAAAATATACGTGCATATAATATCGCACGACAAACCTGTCATAAATGGGGTTGACCATTAGGATATCGTCAGAGGCAGCAGATTCATAAAGCGGGTTTTCATTTTCGTATTCCATACAAGGTACTTCATCACAATTTTGTTGCTCTTTAACCTCACTGTACAAGTCATCTCCTGAAAACTCCGTCATTCTGTTTCTGATATGATAATAAGCAAATTACTATGATGTAATTCAGGGGATCTCCCGTTTACTGCGGCGCAGCATCGCCTTCAGCTGTAAGTTTGTACTTGCACAACACGCCGAGTAGGATCTCATGTATACGTTTGTAGAGGCTCCTAGTCTGAAAAGAGGATGCAATGCTTAACTCTTCTTTAAAACAATTTCATCTTCTCTAACTGTCTGTCTTGAATGTAGCTGATTCATGATTTTAGTAAATAACTTAATTGGAGAATGAAATCACCTAAAATTGAAGCATGAACACTTCGTGAATTATCACGTATTTTGAAGACGTAGTGGCATCGCAAAAAATAGACAGTCAAAGACTGTATGTGGCTACTGATATAGCACAACTTTTTTAGCATTGAAAAGAACTCGAGGTCGTCTAATGATACTACAAGGCAGTCTTGCAGAAGATTTGTCACACATGCAAAACAGAAAACCTGCTGCATTCCACATTTTTATGAGTACTCTGTTCCACGAGAGAAAGATGATTCAAGAATATATTATTCAATTGATACTCAACCAATAATTGCATGGTAACAAATAATAATATTAACAATAACAATAATTATAACAATAGTTAAATTATAATAATTTAAAGGAGCTAGCTCGAAAACCTTATGGTTCCTTATCTTCTGGGCTCCAACAATGATTGCCCATGCTTCTTTTAATTTCGTCTGTTATTAATGAATGATCTCTTATTTTATTGCCATTTAATTTTTTTAGACTTTTAGACAAAAAGTCATCAGCGTTTTAGATATTCCGTCATTCCGCGTCTCAAGATATTCCGACATTTCGCTATCCACCGTTCCCGTTCCATTACTCTGTTGAATGACTCAAGGTAAAAGTAGCACGGAGAAACATCGGGTCAAAATTGGGTCAAGATCGGAATTCCACTGTTGCACTCACTCGCTCACTAGCTAATCATCTCTACGACACATGGGGCTTCGCCTCCTTTTGGAGGCAGTAGCCATTAAAATGTAGTATAGAAAAGCATAGGAAGTCAATCAAAATTCAAAATAGTAAATCTACACCTGTTCAGCAAGTTTGGATGCCCTCAGAGAAAAACGGAAAAAACATCATTAAGGGACTGGTCATCATTTACATTATTTATCATGGGGGGAGGGGGGGGGAGGTAGGGCTGGAGGATCTTGGTTATGTCAGTCAATTTTCTATAATCCTTCCCCTTTTTGCTCTGTTGGCGACGACTGATCCCCCACCTTTCCCCTTAAAATCATGTGATCCTCCAGAAATCCTCCCTCCCCCAGGTGATGAATAATGACTAGTCTCTCACTCCGACTTAAAACTAACCTTTCATAGATGGGGTTAACCACAGCAGCGTCGGGTGATTTTGCAGGCTCATACGAAGGGTTTTCATTTTCTTTTCCACAACAGAGTTGCCCACTATCATCGACGTCGTGTTGGTTTTTAACTTCGGCGTACAATTCAATTCCGTCTAAACCATTAATTTCATTTGTGTTTGCAGTAACCAAGGTGCTGCAAAGTAAACCAATGAGTTATTAACATCGTGCATTTTAACAAATTCATAATCGTCATCGAATGTATCACTTGGAAAATGATGATGATGATGATGATGATGATGATGACGACGATATCAATCAATGCGGGTTTTGGTTTTGGTTTTCTTAGTATGGAATGTCATACGTTGATAGTTATCATATAGTGAAACAGACCAGATTTTAGAAATCGTTCATCAGTTGATTCATTCTGTTTGAAAAAGGCTAAAAATTATTACACTGCACTACTTATTCCAGATAGTTTCGCAAAAGATTATTGCACTCATGTTGAAAGATGACTACCCTTCTATAGAGCTAAGGTTTCAAGAGAGGTAATCAACATTTTACCGTAATAGAGTAAATATATCTCATTTGACGTTTTGGTGTATAGCATCGCTGAGTATTTTCACGAGTTATGCCGTATTTTGGCGAGCCCGTACAGCGAGTCAAAATGCAAACAAAGAATATGAAATATCTAGCGATACTACACACCCAAACGTCTAGTAATTTATTACTATCCAACTGCTTTTCTTTTCTGCCAAGTATTCCTGTTCGTTTCTCATTGGGCGGGGAAAGCAAAGCGGATAGAGAAGCGTAGCGCGCAGCCGACTGGTTAAACAGGTTTTTTTTATAGTACAAAATAACAAACTGTCTAAATAATCGTACAATGTCGCAGGATGTTTGTACTCTATTCGCGCGTTATTTGTACTCTACTTTGTGTAGTTGGATAATAAGGTGATTTATCATTGAAATGTTTTGAAATCAGTAGTTCGTTGCTTTTTATCAAATACAGCCCAGTGAAAACTATAATCATGAATCGTAGGAAACGTTAATTTAACAAGCACCCAATGACCTTACAAATTAAGTGGTTGAATGTTCAGTGCAAATGTATATGTGATTCTCACCTATCATAATTCGGATTTTCAGTTGACACGGCTGATGCTTTCCTTGACCTTAAAATTGAACAAACGGTTCTGTTAGTTTTACATGAGTTATGATATCCCTTACCAGACATTCTATAGTGAGCAAGGCCATTACGAAGTTCACGCATCCAGCATGCACTGCTAGGATCAGCTATGTTGATAGCGTCTTGTTTGTAAATAGAATTAGAAAGATGATAAAAATTTGAGCGCGGTAAAGAAATAGAGAAATTTGTTTTTCGTCTTGTCATAAGCATGGGACAAAGAAAACGACAGTCTCTGTGGCTCAGTGGTAGAGCATCGCAGCGCGGAATCCGAAGGTCTGATGTTTGATTTAGTCCTTGTAGGGACTCAATATAATTTCTTTGTCTCACACTCGTGACAAGACGAAAAACATTCTTCTGAGGGTTTTGTGAAGCCAACGATTTCCAACACACGAAGAACGTCATCTAATCGGATCTGCTTCGATATTTCAGAAATCAAGGAAAAGCCAAAATAAAATTTCTAGTGGTATGACATGCTTTTCAACGTGAATACTTACCGTGTGATATAAAAGAGGACAGCTGAACCCATACAAACAAGCAAGACGGCCAACACCACGGGAATGACCACGGCTACTACATTCACACCTGTACAAGGTAGATCAGTATAACTATATAGGACTGTAGAATTAGCTACACAAAAAGCTGTGTCCTGGCGGAACCTCTCCTTTGAAACAGTTTATTTGTTTGTTTTTTTTTGGTTTATTATAACAGCTACTATAAGACCTAGTATGGTCACCTATATACTCGTTGATTGCAGGTTAATTGTGGGTTACAGATGAATAAAACACAAACTCTAAACAGCCTGATCCCTGGATCCTTTCAGACCTCTCCTTCTGCCGTAACATAAATAGTAGTTAACCTGTGAAGATAAATTCGTCACCTTTTAGTATTTACCTCGTCTTTGTGGTTGCTTCTCTCCGCTTTCAACTCCACCCTTTTTCGATAATTTATCAGATGTAGGTTTCGGCTCTCCGTCAGATGTTGTGTTTTTCGTGTGGAAAACGTGTGTTATCTCTGTTGTCTGGGTAGCTATGAGAGAAATCGTAATTCGGCATTGCAAAATAGTCTTTTCAATACATCTCCGATCTAATGTTAACATAGCATGTTTATTAACCATGGAGAAGAACGTATTCCTTCAGTCTTATTTAGAGAAAATAGTGCAAGAAACTTACATCATGTGATACAAAAGGTTCACGGAATTAGGGAATACTTACTTGGAAAACTAACACCGTAGTAAGAAACATTGAATCCAGCGTACGAGCCTTTGCTATCTGATCTGAACATTACAAATAGATTATTAGACGAGGAAAATATTCCTTCCTCTGGGGGTGGATGAGCTCCGTAAAACACCCCCAATATCTTCCCTGTAGCATTCTCTCCATCATACACATATAATTCGTCTGTGTCACTCTCGTACTGCAAACTAAAGTTTGTGAATGTCATACGGATTCGTTGTGTTTGGTTGATTGTGATTCTCCAGGAGCAGTACTGTCCATCTGGATATGTTCTTGGGTAGTTTGGAGAATGGAAAGTACCATATATAGATGTAAGAGTTTCGTTGCATCCTGAAATAGGATTAAATGGATTTAACAAAAATTGATGTGGGAGTTAAGTGTGTGACATTAGAGACGTATACATTAGAGACGTGTACATTGAGAGACGGTAAAATGACATTTCCAGTTCAAAAATTGTACCATGCGATCATCAGTATGCTGTTACCACTAGGAAGTTTCTACGGTGAAGAATAACCTATAGTTCTGACTGGGTAAGACGGCAAAATTATCTTTAATCCCTCTGCTCATGATTTCTTAGTCATGACCAATTCAAATGCAATTATGATAGCTGAAAGATGTTTGCATGAGTGTGATTGCTCACCACGGTAATAACAGTAGTAAATGGTTGGGTTCTTTGTTCCAGCATTGTAAGGGTACGCCCCATAGCTTTTATCCTCGTTGTTCCTGTCTTCAGTATGATAACGTATCCGCTCCACACTGGCAACCGCCCATTTGACCATCTGACATTTTTTTGACCCATAAGCTAGCAGGAAGAATGGATCTTTAGCGGGGATGATAATGGGATCAGTTTTGTTTCCACTCGTCGCACAGCAGAAGTAAATCTTGGTGTCCTTTCCATATTTGCCAGTAGGAAGTATGCCACTTTTATCATTGTTATTATTGTCGTTTTCGTCATCCCAGTAGACTTGACCTGACTCTAGACCTAGTGGACAAATTTTCTTTTTTTGGTAGATACAGTACTGCCCTGCAGAGAAAAAAACATTCAGATAAGTTACGTTGAAGATACTACGGAAAAATCTAATGCAACACGTTAATTTTCCTCCTCTCATCACTGACTCGTTCGTGATAGAAATAAGCGCAATTGCTTAAGAGACGTCGACTTTGTATAACATACATTATCGGCTTCATAAGATGTGATACAGGAACAGAAGTAAAGGCTTTAGTGTCGTCGAGCAGTAACTAAAAAAATCGCAATCTACTTATTTTCCTTGCTTTTTTGAATTGTACGTTAATGGAAAAAACAAATAGGTGGATATTGTAACACTTGGTAGAGCTTTAAGGTAAAACAAATTTTAGGAGACCCATTTTTGCGTACACATATTTAGGGCAGTAACTTACTCATGGGTTTCTCTATTTTTGGTCAGATGATAGTCACTTTCTTACCTGATGGCCAGTGTGGCCTGTTGCTATCGTCAGCTGTTGAAGTTTTCATGCAGAAAGATCTTGCAATTCCTGCTTCTCGAACCTCTCCATCAAGGTGAAATTGCGGTGATTTTGAGTTTGCCGAATTAGTATCCTCTGTGTCTTGATATCTCCATCCCTTCTCCCAGCGAAACCCTCCTGCTCTAGGACACTCAGCTACAGGTTTTGGTATCCCGTATCGGCCAGATGGCCAACGAACAGGTTCTATTTAACAGGAATATAAATTGTTCGCTGAGCCGACGATTGTAATCGACTAGACTTAGTTTTAGCTTGAAACCGCGTTTTACATCCGTTGTTTCGATTTGGTACTCAAATTTTTCCTAAACTGTTTTCTTGTGACTAAGCACTGACAAGTCGCTCTATCAATTCGTCAATCTTTGTCAACTTGCTGTTTTATTGGAGAGCATTCAAAATTAAAAGATTGTTTCCTTCCGAAACCAATGAAACAAAGCGTGATGTTCTGTCAATTTGGAATTCAGAAACCCGATTTAGGAGATAGGATGCTTATTTGTTCCCGATATTTACTCGCTGCTTACTTATAAGGTCTCCAGGTGATAACTGATTTAATGGTTTCCTGACGAGCATTCCAAGTTTGAGAAACGAGGATATTGATTCTCAAACGCTACAGACCAGATTCAGTGGCTGCGTTCACAGTTCTCGCATGTTATCACAGGACGACATGTTTGAACCCATCATAAACATATTACAACATACCTTTTCAAATCTCCCTAAAAAAGACTTACCTGAAACCTTTAGGCTATGGGAAGATATTATTAAACTTAGAATTCGCCAATACAGCATTTCCAAGGCTCTAAAGTTTAGAGAATATATCAAAAGAAAGGAAGCTTTATATTTTCATTTTGTTTTGACCTTAAACGATCAACGGTCACGCAAGCTTGGATTAAAATCAGAATGTCGGTTATGTAAGAATATATTTCAGTTCATTTCATAACCTATCATTCGTATTTGGTAACAATGGGAAATTAAGCTAAGGTCACTGGGCTCGGTCACCTAGTAAAAGAATACGAATAGCCATCACGAGGCTTGATCGTTTCCGGTTCAAATTATGTTGTTATCAGGGTGCTCGTTTTTTGATGTCAAGAATTCGCCTTTTCTGCTTCGTCTTCTTTTAATTTTTCGTACCCTTGTTTGTAGTCGAGAGGCACAAGCATTGTGAAGTAATAGTCACTGATTAGTAGTAAATTAACAAGTAGTTTGGGTCGAGATGGCTTTGAATTAGACCAATAACTCAAACAGGAGAGACAAAACATGGCAACAATACAAAATGTCGGCTACTTGCAACCAGACTTGTCCGTATCTATATATTTTACTAACTTCGTCTTTAATAATACAAAACCACTTTCAATACAACACTTAAACTACTTAGAATGATTTCTTGTACATAGTTTTTACAGTGGAACCTCAATTTAACAAAGTGCCTAGGGACTGGGGAAATTGGTTCGTAATATCGAGGGTTCGTTATATGGAAAACCTCGATTTAACTTGTAAAACTCCTTGAAGAAGTCGACGACAGTTAGAAAAAACGCGTTGGAGAATAAAGAAGGTTTACAACTACTGTTCGCAGAGTGCTGCTCACTACTTTAGTTTTTTTAAAAAAATTAAAAATTTTCACGTGTTGACATTTGTTCGTTATATCCGGGTATGTTATACGTTTGGGCCTCTGGATTGTGTTCGTTATACCGAGGAATTCATTATATAGAGGTTCGTTAAATCGAGGTTTTACTGTAATATTAGCTAAGTGACACAACGAGTCTATGTACAAGGTAAATGGGTCAAGGAAGTGGGGGCTGGGGTGAATTTTCTAATATTTACTATTCATCTGACGTACAATTCATGCAACGGCAGGATTGCACATTAAAACTCCATATGAAGTGTTTGTATTCACTTGTCTTGAAACATATTTAAGTTTGTTAAGGCGCTAATGCAGATTGACATTTCTATATTTTCTAAATAAAAGATTGAATCATCCTTCCCCTATCAAAAATTCTTTGATCCACCCCTGGTGTACGTTTTTGAAAGCCTACCATTGGCTGGTGTTGTGTGCTTTACGTAGTCGTTGTCCGTTTGTACCATGAATTCGTCGCTGATTTGATCCTAAGCAGATTAGTTGTACTTCGGTAATTAGTTGTACTCTACATTACACAAAACATTTTTCGTTCCTTCTTTTTTCGTGAAATTATTAGCTCCCATTTTGAACTTTTAAATCAGAGAGGGGTAGGAAAGAGAAAAGAATTTCCGTACAACATACAAAATCAAACATGACGGCTTAGCGTCGGGGCTAATGTTAGGAACTCGAGCTCTTGACCTAATTCGACTAAATCGATTGCAGACTAAATCTCTCTTGTAAATAATGCTCGAGGTCGTACACTATGTTTAGGAGTAGTCAACCGGAGTTCGTTTGAAGAAAGTTTTGTACCAACTACAAAACTGCTCGCTACTTTGAGTGGAATAGATGAAAGAGGCAGCCAACAGGGTGCGTTCTCATCATTTCTTATTTTCCTTCGGTTTGAGCTGAAAAAGAACAAAAGAAAAGACTATGATTGAATTTGTCAGGAAACAACCTTAAATTATTCTTATAAAACTTCCAGAGTTTAACGACAAAGCTGCCTCTATTTAACGAATCCATAACATTTTACTTGCTACTCATTCAAATAACAGTATTTCCGTTGTCCTTTGATCCAGTGAAACAGAAATTTAAAGTTTATAAATCGATAAAAACTTAAATTGAAAATAAGTACTGATGGCCTAAGGTCGATCTGATGCGATAAATGGAAAGGTTTGTACATTAATCAAGAGAATGAACTCTAATCTCCCTCAGTATCAGAGCTTAATGAAGGGAAACTTAATTGAAGATAAAGATCGAAGATGACAAACCCTCATTATGAGGGTTGTTGTCTACAATCTAAAGGGCACCTGTTAGTAAAAATGACATTTACATTACATTTTCGCCTTACCTTATGAGCCAGGCGATCGATCCGTTGGTTAAACAGAATACTGTAACCTCTTGCGGTAAAACACCACTCCTGCAAGCACGAACGCTAAAAGGGCGATCATCACCAAGGGAACGACCACAAATACCACATTCACACCTACCAAAAGTTGATTGGTCACATATACAGGTGAATCAAATGCAAACACTTGGTTTTCAATTTTTTTTTCACCAATCATATTGTGAAATGATGTAAAAGAAACTTAAACATGTAAAATGCCCTTCTGTATGGGGCCAATATGGAGCAAATGTTGGATATTTAAAGACAAAAAAGTAATAGGATCCATTGGAAATTGCGAAAATATGTTAAGTGGTTATGTGAGTGTTTTATTGGTATAAATCATGCATCCTGAGTCCAAAGATGATGCTATGATCACCATACTACTATCGTGGATGTCTTAATTTGTCAGTGAATGCATATTACAGTCGAAACTGTATTAAGCGGTGACCCCTAGAGCTTTAGTCAGGTTGCACTGAGTAGGGGTATGGTATGGGGTATGGTATAAAAAGCCATTTCATGCCATAAGTGACCACTTAATGTATTAAAACTCGCTCACAGATGCTACTAGCGTTGATTTCTGGAGATAAACGTGGATTAAACACACTTGAAAGCTTTTTCTTAGTTTTATATAAGAGGTTCCGCTTTAAGTGACCGTTCAGTACGGGTGGAAGACAATAGAAACGGGCCGTTGGGACTCACTCTAAAGTGAGCGCGACCGCTAAATAGAGGTGACCATTTAATGGAGGTGAAAATTACAGTATTTAAGGGGTAAATATCCCGGGAACTGACCGCTCAATATAGTGCCGGGTAATACAGAAGAAGAACCACAGTCATCTTGTTACCTTTGTTTTCAGGTTCGCCCTTTTCTCTACTGTTCGGGTCATCAGCTGGAGATGAAGGAATCTCACTTAGTGTCGTCCTGTCTGGTGATCCTGTTGACGCTTTTTGGAAATAAAGGTTTTAGTAATCCGTTAAATGACTTGCATTATTTAATTTAATCGTTCGCCTTATAATTTTGGCAAATATATCTTTTAATTGCATGATATCTGCACATTCCCCAGAAATGAATTTGAACCCTTGAACTCTGTTTCATTGCTTTACTAAATCTTAACTAAACATAATTTTTGGAGAAAAGATGAAAAGACATCAAACAATACTTACCTGAAATATTGACACCAAAGTAAGACGCTTTAAAGCCGGTGTAAGAGTTATTTTTGTCTGACTTGAAAATTATAAACATGTGCTTAGATGAAGAGTACATTCCTTTTTCTGGGGGAGGGTGACCTCCATAAAAGACTCCTAGCACCTCCCCCTTTGAATCTTTTCCATCATAAACGTATAATTCGTCTGTGTTAATCTTGTTTTGCAGTCTAAATTCAGTAAAAATCAATAAGATCTGTTTTGTTAGGTTAACTGTGATCGTCCACGAGCAGTATTGACCATTCGGGTACTTTCCTGGATAGTTCGGTGAATGGAAAGTGCCATTGGCTGAAGCTAGAGTTTTATTACAACCTGAGGACAGATATACACATATGTCATGTATATATGGTTTAATATACACATAATTTCACAGGATAATTTGGTTTCATCAACTAACTTGATAATGTAAATTATACACCGTAGAGAGTTTCAAAAGCTGACTTTGCGAGCGTTAGCCCTTGGTCAGAGCGAAAGACGACCGAATTATCTTATTATACTCCCCACCGACGCAACACCAGTTTCTTAAACGTACCCCTTTATCCACACAATTTTATGTGTATATACAAATTTAACTTCACCTGGTGTTATACATGTACACAATAAAGTTGAATGAGAGTTGCATTTTTGTTGATGATGATGATGATGACGGAGAAATGATGATGGTCGTAACGAAGCATCTATACTAGTTTATATAATAAGCTCAGTTATGCACGCATTCTGATTGTTTCTTACTTATGATCTATAGGAGGACAGATGTATAGATGACGTCATCACTAAAACTTTTTTTAATTTTTTATGATATAAAACAAATAGATTCCAATTTGCCGTGCGTCTGTTCAGTAATAGATCACAGAGGATGTCAAAATGTGATAAGAATATCAGGGACACACTCGGTTGCACCTCGTGTGCCACTTTTTTCTTCTTATCACATTTTGACGTCATCTGTGATCTATTACTGAACAGACACACAGCAACTTGGAATCTATTTGTTAATTTGAACGTTAGTTTATTAGATCCTTTTGTGTCACGTATCGTAATATCACTCTTGCCACCTAATAGCTGGGCAGAGTAAAAAAATGAAGCCGAAGAGGCCACTACAGGTTGTTGAGACGTTAGGTGAGAGACGCCTTCAGCAACTGCTGAGACCTTTTTTTCACATCCAAGATGGATTTTTTTACCTACTTCAACAAATGGAATTTTAATCGTGTCAGCTTACGAACATGCATAAGCCAACATGTATCTGTGTATGATCTCTTCAAAATATAAAAAGTAGAGGTAACTTTTTACTCACCAGTGTAGTAACAGTAATACATTTTGGGATGCTTTTTACCGGCATCATAAGGGAATTCGCCGTTTCTTCCATCGTGGTTGTTTTTGTTTTGAGTATCATAATAAATCCACTCTACACTGGCTATCGCCCATTTGACCATCTGACATTTGCCTGAGTTGTAAGCCAGCAGGAAAAATGGAGATTCGGAGGGAAGGAGAATAGAAGTATCTTTTTCCCCGTCACTTTTGCAGCAAAACTCGATTCTCGTGTTCTCGTTGTACGTACCATCAGGAAGCGTTCCATTATGTTTATTTTTATTTTGTTTACTGTCGTCATCATCCCAGTAGACATAGCCTTTTCTAAAGTTTGCAGGGCAGGGTCCCCTTTTGTAGATACAATATTGTCCTGCAGGGATTGATCGGCATGAATGACAACTGAATATTGGTTTCATGTTTGTAGACCAAGGTCATGTCATAGACTACGTACATTAACAGTCATGTACAAGTGTCCCTTTTTTGATAGCTTTCTTATTCAGTGCTGGCCGTCGCGAGCACGTCTGATTGTGTTTCAGGTTTTTAATTTCTAGTGTTCGTTGGGGTCCTACAAACACGATACACGTCAACAAATTAGATCATCCTTCCGGAAATACTTTCTTTTGTAGGCGAACATCCAATAATAGTGGTAATTTTCCCTGGAAGACTGACCATGTATGATATACAACACATTCAAAACTTAGCAAAAATAAAGGGACTATTTCATGATTAAGACCTCCGCTTCTTAAATAACATATTTTCAACGGTCTCGTTGTCTGGGGCTAACCCTAACCCTAACCCTAACCCCCCAAACTTCACGACTCTTAGTTATTACCTTGTGGCCACTTCGGTCTGTTATGGTCGTCAATTATGGATGTTTTTATACAGAATGATCTTTGGACTTTGGTCTCATCTACTTCGGCGTCGAGGTGGAAGTCAAGGGATCTGGCATTTTTTGATGATGCACCATTTGTGTCCTGAGACCTCCATCCTTTCTTCCACTGAAAGCCAGTAGTCCTAGGACAGCCAGACACAGGTTTTGGTATTCCATATGATCCAGCAGGCCACCTAACAGATTCTGAAGGTAAACCAATTATTAATAAGAAATTTGAATAAATCGATTTGAGATACCTCCTTGAAATGCAGGTTAAGACTTTCCAATTTTCCACCCCATATTTTTTTTCGAATTCTTTAACATCTGACGTCCGCTTCTTCCGCTTCTTCAAATGTTTTGACCCTTTGATCACTTGAGTGGTCAACGGAGTATTATGAATAACGTTACATCATAACTCATCGAATAACATTATTTCACGTAACATAAAAAGAGGCACAGCGAATGCTTAAACGTTTTACCTATCTTAGCATTTCGTATTGGCTGTGTCAGGATAAAAAAAAGATACAGTTTCATGGCTACGCTGATACTGTAATCCTAATGAAAGTATGCAATACCTACACTCAAATTACACCGTCGTATTTATCTATTCCGGAATGGTGACTATGTCAGCCGAATGTTACCTTCTCTAGTGGATAACTAAGGAAGGAATTTGCATTTAACGCCTTTACATTAAACCTGTCAGGTAAAGGGAGAAAACAAAATTCTTGAAGCATTAACTGTTAATCGTTTAACAAGTGTGTCTAAGCACCTCTCTAAGCGACATTTTCATTGTATGCTCATATATTTATGTCTCTCAGCGGAATCTCTCGCACATAACTCACCTGACAAACGTAAAGTACTGGCAAAGACTATCAGTCTTAAAATTGTCCTCCGTAGCATTTTAATGTCGCTAAGATCTTTGAAATATCTCCAATGTGTTGAAGCATATGATCTTTACTCTATTTCGAATCCTCATAAAGCGTGACTTGATACGGAAATACCGGTCAAGATATAAGTATGCAAACGTTTATCACTCAATGGTTGTCACGCAAATATTTATATCACGTCGAACTCGCGGCTTACGACTGCGTAACGGTCAATGGATCTGACTCGTTTCTTTATATTCAAGTTCTTCATCTGCGATTCATGCTATTATTCTTTTTAGCCCTCCTTGCTAGTTTTTTCCTATTCGAAGCCCAGTCGTGTGGTTTTTTATTTATGTTCTAGGGGATATTGTTTGATTTAAACATCAAATTTTCAAACCTGAATAAGTAAGACATGTATGGTAGACATTGCAGAGAATTAATATTTACATCTTGGGAGTGAAAGGGTTAATCAAACCGACCCAGAAGTATTCTTTTATATCATCTGATTGGGCGAATTATACATGTTATAATTAAGATAATTATCAGAGTTTCACTAGAGGCATATACTTTAGTTTATGAGTTGATAGTTGCAGGGTAATTTAAAATGTTTTCCTCTTCGACAGAGAAAAAGCAACATGTCAAATAGTACCCCCTTCCCCACGAAATTGAAAAGGATAATCGCTCAGGTCGTGGAAGTAATTAGGACGATCAAAGGTGATCACTGCGTAGAAGTAACTTTTTTATTAAGCTGCTATGTAGCCATGACCCTAAGCAGTTTATTTCGACAAAATCAAAAGAAATACACCCCTTCTAAAACAGCAAACTTAAAAGATTTGTAAATCGCCCCTTTGCACTATACATCATAGAGGTTTATTTCCACGTTCAGCGCAGTTCAGTAAAACTTTCCTTGGAGAGCTGGTTCTTGTTTATAGCTTCTTCGTTTTAGATTATCTTTAAGTTATCTTTAAAATAACGACATTGTCTTTGGGAACTGCCACCGATAGTAGTCCAGCAGATGGTGGTGTACAATCTTTTGACTAGTCCAGAGACGTCCTTCCTTCTGAACTTCTTTGAAACGGTATCGTTTCTTCTCCCATGCCATTCTCAGGATCATGTTGTTGGCTGGTGAACTTCTGATCGTTGATTTTAATTTTTTAATTTTTTGTTACGACTTACTTAATTACATGACTGCTGTAAAACATGAATTAGGTTGCTGACAGGTAATATCAAGTGTATAAATGAGGACTGTAAACCTGAGCGGTATAGTGGCTTTAGCAATATTTTCTAATGTGTATTTTTCACCATAAGGGTCTTGATATTATCATCAATTCAGCAGACTTCTTCCTTCTCATTCCAAACCAAATTTTAATTGCAATGAATGAATAATGAAGCGATCAGTTCAGCCCTCGATAGGTAGAAAATGGTTTTCACGTTGTAAATGTTCGCAGTTTCATTGAGGTCACACTAAAATTCTGATTGACATGATACTCCAACGCAATCACTTACGTTTGTGTTTCTTTCTACATTGGTAAAATAAAGATACTACCAGCAGTAAGGCAAGTATTCCAATCACAGATCCATACACAATGTCTTTTTTGATCGTGGCCTGTTCCCGTTTAGCTTGCGTACCTGAAAAAAAAATCAAACACACAAAGAAACATTCCAAAGATGTAATCTTAAACAAACTCTGAAAGTACATTAAAAAATCTAACAGATTTAGTACAATTTATACATGAAACGTTTCCGTTGGATATAAAAAATTCCCTTTAGAAAGAATAACTTTGAGCGGGGCTGAATTAACTCGTATCGTTAACGTATAGAAAGTTATTGCATCAGGATACCTTTGACTCCCAGATGTTCTCTTTCATTACATGGCTCAATTTCCTCGGATGGTATAGCGGTAATGGATGTTGATTTCTGTGTCAATTTCGGGTTTTTGCTGACCATCGGTGCTGGTGTTGTGGAAAGGTGCACATCTATTGTAAAATTGATGAATTTATAAGTTTACTGTATGATGGAAAATATAACACTTGTATCAACATAAACATAACATTTTATTATTTAGTACGTTTTGAAGCATGTGAGCGATTTTGAATAGATAGGCAGCTTGTGTTGAAATTCTAAATATGAAGAAAAGGAGAAATGCTTATAATTGCAAGGCATGAGTATTAAACTTAAGGGTGAAAATTACTCACCCGGATCATCAACAGTGTCATAGTAAGCACTGAAGCCGGCATAAGAGTCGTTCTTGTCCGACTTGAAGATCACGAATAAGCTGTTGGAAGAAGAGTAAATTCCTTCCTTTGGAGGAGGATGATCCCCATAAAATACGTCCAGTATCTTCCCTGTTGCATTCTCCCCATCATAAACGTATAACTGGTCTGTGTTTTTCTCGATCTGAAGACTAAAGTCTGTGAACATCAATCGAATACGTAAGGTTGTATTAACCTTTATTTTCCAAGAGCAATATTGGCCATGGGGGTAATTTCTTGGATAATTTGGTGAACGGAAGATACCGTTGACTGAGGTGAGAGTTTCGTTGCACCCTAGGAAATAAAAAATGCACATATACATGAATAACTTTCCATGTAGAATCAGTGATCCACTGGTAGAATTTTCGCCTAAATGTTCGTTAATTTCTAACATGGCTCCTTATAAACTCCGGAAAAAAGGAGAAATGCCTATTATTGCAAGGCATGGGTATTAAACTTAAGGGTGAAAATTACTTACCCGGATCATAAATAGTGTCATAGTAAGCACTGAAGCCGGCAAAAGAATCATTCTTGTTTGACTTGAAGATCACGAATAAGCTGTTGGAAGAAGAGTAAATTCCTTCCTTTGGGGGAGGATGATCCCCATAAAACACATCCAGTATCTTCCCTGTTTCATTCTCCCCATCATAAACGTATAACTGGTCCGTGTTTTTCTCGATCTGAAGACTAAAGTTTTTAAACGTCAATCGAATACGTAGGGTTGTATTAACCTTTATTTTCCAAGAGCAATATTGGCCATGGGGGTAATTTCTTGGATAATTTGGTGAATGGAAGGTACCGCTGACTGAGGTGAGAGTTTCGTTGCACCCTAGGAAATAACAAATATACATGAATAACTTTCAATACAGAACCAGTGATCCTCTGGTGGAATGTTCACTCAAAAGTTCGTCAATCTCTAAGATGGTTTCTCAAGACTCCGGTAATTATCAGTGTGCTATTGACAATTGCCAATGTAAAGAAAAGGCTGTATGGATTACAGGTATAACACAACTGGACGCCGCCAAAACTGTTGCCAAAGGCAAAGGCTATGGCCGCCAAAGGCAATTGAGCCTCACTTCCGGATCCATAGTAAAAATAACAAATAGCGGGGTGACTTTTTCCAGCATGGTGCTTTGTCTTGGTCGTTCGTTTGATTTATCTAAACATACCACTTCTGAGGGAAGATCGCCTAATGTTCGTTAAACTCGAATATGGTATCCGACAGTTTCCAGTACAATCAAAAGTATGTAAGTCTATAACACAACTGGACACCTTTAAACGAGTCCATTGATTATTTCAATACTTGCTGATCATTTTTCAACTGCGAGGCGATTGACCCTCACCTCGGTAGTAACAATAAAAAATGGTGGGATGAATTTTTCCAGCGTTGTAAGGGTACGCACCAAGTGCTTCGTCTTGGTTGTCCCAATCTTCTGTATCATAATGTATCCACTCCACAGTAGAAACAGCCCATTTGACCATCTGGCACTTTGCCGACTCATACGCCAGAAGAAAAAATGGAGATTTCACCGGAAGAAGAACTGGGTCATCTCTATCACCGTCTGTTCTGCAGCAAAAGTTGATAGTTGTGTCGTGGTTATATCTGCCCTCGGGAAGTACTCCGCCATCATCGTTAATCTGATAGCCGTCTTGATCATCCCAGAAGAGTTCACCTGATGTTAAACCTTCAGGGCATCCCGGATATTTTTTGTAGATGCAGTACTTCCCTGTAAGAGATCAGAAAATGACGAGAGGGTATTGAATACCACTGACGACGAGAGATCAACGGATAACGGCCTTACTGTTCAAAAAGAATGGTGCAAAGCAAGAAGTTGATAGTTTATAGGCCTTGTTTCGAGTTAGGTTAGCAATGAGCATAAATGGAGGACACATGTTGTGCGGCAAAAATTTTCATGAGAACAAATTGCAACCCACCTTTCGGCCATGGAGGTCTGTTCCTATCACTTGTCATACGGTATTTAATACAGAAGGATCTTTTGACCTCATTGCTATTCACCTTTCCATCAAGGTGAAATTCGGGTGACCTTGAGTTGTTCGTTTGTATTATGAAGGTGGCTTGGGACCTCCATCCTTCTCTCCACAAAATACCTTCTGACCAGGGACACCCGGATACTGGTTTGGGTAGACCATATGTTCCAGCTGGCCAACGAGTGCATTCTGGAGAAAGTAAAAAATAATCAAATGGTGCATGGTCACAAAGCAGACTGCATTGAAATGAATAAGTGAAAGGTTTTTTTTTAACTGAATGCCTGTATGACAACTCTCTTTAATCAAAGCTCTGAAAGTTTACCTCTGTATTTTATGTGAATTTTTCTACTGGTGATTCGCATGGTCTTAAGAATGTTAAGCCTTACAAATTGTTGCGAACGTCTCTGGGATTTCTGGATGGAAATTGTGTGTCATTGGACCCTCATCAGCCTTATCAGTATTCATGAGTTTGTCCTCATCACTAATTCGTCTGGTTCAGATTGCCATACGTTTTCATCGGTTGTTTATTTCGGGTTAAGAGGGAATACCAAGTGATTATCGATGATCTTACCCAGAAAAGAATACTTACCAAATACATCATGTACGCCGTTATATGAGAAACCTCAAAGGAACTTCATAGTTTGTCATAAATGAAGCACTTACTCATATTTTTTAGCGTCAAAGCAATGTGTCTGTGCTTTGCACTAGAGGTTAAAAACCGATAAACAACGCCATTTATGCTAGAATTGACCACGTTGTGTACAGAATCTCGCTCGATAATATTACTATGATTTTGAGTGAGAAACATGGATTAAAATTTCTTGAAAGATTATTATTAGTTTTATTTGACTGGTTCCGCTTTCAGTGGCTGTTCAATGTAAACTGTTGGGACTTAGAAAAGGGAGACCGCGACCGCTAAATAGAGGTAACCGCTTAATAGTGGTGAAGATTACAGTGATTTGCAGAAATCAAATTCAGGACTTCGACAACTGACCGCTTATTACAGGTGACTGCTTAAATACAGTGCCGCTTAATACAGGCTGGACTATAAATCGTATGCTTGAACGTTTTACCTGTCCCAGTATTTCGTTTTAGCCTTGTCGGTGAGAATGTGAATTATAGTTCCGTTACGATAAAAGGAGAAGAAAGCCCCAGCCCCTGACGTGGTTTGAGAGTCTAAAGAGAGAATGAATTAGCTACTTAAAGTTTTATCCAAATGTCCTTCAAATTCGAATTCGGTCGCTGTCAATTTGATAACAACTCAATAAACAAACGCATACGCGAAAGCACATCGCACGTCAATCGCTGAACAAACAGTTTCTTTCCTAGAAACTGAAGAATGGGCAAAACTACCATTTACTATTGATCCTGATTATTCAAAACGATCTCCGAGAGACGAAACGAGCGGACTTAGTTTCCGCACAGGTAATCAGCCGGCGAGTTAAGGAATATTCAAAATGGCGGCATCAACTATCACGTTTTTAGGCACATTTGAAAACAATCTTCAAGAGATCGGGTTTATATTTGGGAAACTCAAAACACAGTAGGCATGATAACTTTACTTACACTATTGAACGGTGGAGTTAAATAATTCATGGTCTGTGAGCGAGCCTGTTCTATAATACTGTAATACCAAAGAAGCTTGGTCGTAAACTTAACCTTGACAATTACAATTGTCTACAGCTACTTTGCGATGTCTGTGCTGATTTCGGCAGAATTTCCCTATCTGTAGTGGATAAAAAATGAGATCTAGGGCTGTTCCTTTGACTTAAATCTGCTAAATCCGTCGGACAAAGAAAGAAGACAAAGTTCTAAAGCATAAACTGTTACTCGTTGACCACGTTTATCTGCGCACCGTTTTAACGACACTTTCTGACATATTCATGGCACACTTCATTACATCATTTCATGCATATGCAATAAATAGCACACTTACTTGAAACACTTAAGGAACAGGTGAAGAACATGAGTCCTAAAATTGTCCACAGCAGCATTTTAATGTCTCTAAAACCTTTAAATACCTCAGCGACAAAGCCATACAATGACTGCCTCGCTTTAAAGTGTTACGTGGTACGGATTAACATGTTTTTCGATGGTTGTCACACAAACTTAACAAGACGTTGAATCCACTCCTGTGACTGCGTCACTCTCTTTGGCTTCAAACCTCAGTTCTACATTTCAAGTTTTTCATCTGCAATCCTAGTTTCTTTTTCGTTATTCGTATCTCTTTTTTTAACCGTAAAAAGATTACTTTCCCGCAGTAGGTAACAAAAGTAACTCAGATATTGTAGTGACCAAATAGGAGACTCTCCTTGAGATATAATTTCTCTTTCAAGCATCTTGGTAATAAGAAGACATAAAAACATGAAATATAGTATAATTTTCACTAACACCAAATTCTCGGAGCTGAAATCGTACAGAATGTATAGGGGGACATCGAGGAAAACTGGCGGCGCCAGAAGAAAAAATGGAGATTTCACCGGAAGAGCAATTGGGTCGTCTTTGGAACCGTTTGTTTTGCAGCAAAAGTAGATAACTGTGTCGTGGTCATATTTACCCTCAGGAAGTGTTCCTCCATCATCATTACGGTTTGCGTTCTCCTCGTCATCCCAGAAGAGTTCACCTGATGTTAAACCTGCAGGGCATTGCCGTCTTCTCTTATAGATGCAGTACTTCCCTGTAACAGATCAGAGAATGATGAAAGGGTATTGAATATTATTGACGACGAATTACATGGAATGCAGATGATAACACTTTTAAAATGTTCGGTCTAAGAGAACTATTCAATTCTTAAACTAAAATGACCGGAAAGGGTTACACCACTTATTTATCCATTACAAAGGATGATGCCAAGCAAGAAGTTTAAAGGTTGTGTTATCCTTGCTTTGAATTAGGTTAGCAATGAGAATAGCTAGTGAGCGCATGTCGCGCGACCAACATTTTCATCAGGAAATAATTGCAACCAACCTTTTGGCCATAGAGGCCTGTTCCTATCGGTTGTTATATCATCTTTAATGCAGAAGGATCTTTTAATCTCATCGTTATCCACTTTTCCATCAAGGTGAAATTTTGGTGACCTTGAGTTGTTCGATTGTTTTCCGTTGGTATCTTGAGACCTCCATCCTTCTCTCCAGGAAAAGCCTTCTGACCAGGGACACCCGGATATTGGTTTGGGTAGACCGTATGTTCCAGCTGGCCAACGAGTGCATTCTGGAGAAATTCAGAAATGATCAAATGGTACATGGCCACAAAGCAGACAGCATCAGTAAGATGAAAAAAGTTACACCACAGTCACGACATTCCTCCATTAAAGCTTTGAATTGTACCTTTATGTAATTCGCGAATTTTTCAACCATTGATTTGCATGGACCTCAAAATATTGAGATGTAAAGAATAACATTATTTAAATAATCTTCAGTAAGCTTCTATCCGAAGGGACTACTGATATCATTGGAGTATTCATGAGTTTTTCCTCAACACCTGCAAAGAAACACTAAGGTTTGCAGTGTCACTGAGAAAGGTAATAGATAAAGTTGAAGTATATTGATCAGCGAGGATTTCTGTTAAAAAATCTAAGCGTCATATCATTGCAGTCGTTCTTATCAGCACTGAACAAGTAAAGTCATCTTTCCATGCCTAACATCAAAGGAATTTAAGTCATTGAAAAAAAATAATAACCGATGTAAACAGACAGGAAGAGGGAGGAAGATTTACATCTTGCTACTGGTATACCAAGGAAATTACACGATTTAAAAATCTTTTGGCTTCTATCGATCAGCCGAGGAAGAAAAGTATTGATCACTTTCCTTAAGACTGAAGCTGAGCTTCCTCGAAAGACGTTGCCAGATAAGTGATGCAGTTCACTAACTCTAGCTTACTAGCCTAGAATATTGCTGAAGAAGAGATCTTTCCTTCCCAACTTTAGGATAGAAAGGATAGAATGGTTGCCATTCAAACGGACCTTGTCTGAGTTGTCACGGCATTCCCGTCGAGGAAAGGTGAAGGAATAACCGCCTTCACCTGTGTCCTGATTCCAAAATCACTCATTAAAAGGGTATTTTCATAAATTAAACGTAGATTCTCTTCATTCCTTACCTGATACTTGTCTAAGGAAAATGAGCAAAACGATCATCGATCGTTCGCCAAAGGAACATCTCTGACATCTCTTCAACTACGAAAGTTCAATTACAATACCTAAAGTTTTCCGATGAAGTGAAAACAAATGCAAACTTTTTGTTTACTTTCAGAAATTTCTTGATTTCTGAGAAACCGTTTTATTTATTCAGTACAATTTGGACGAATTTGTCTTATGTCCTAAACATATGTGGATCTTGTGAGCTTGCACGCTCGCAAGATGAACTTCGCGATAAGAGCTTATAGCCGGTGAAACTACCAATAAGCGAAAGGGGTGAGGTACAGTTTGATGTTGATTGAATCTTAGGAAATTCTTTGGACGCGATAGAATGTAACGTAATAGCTGGCCGAGTACACTTACACCTCTAGAGGCAATAAAAATCCATGAATGGCCAAGGCTCTATTCAATAGTCTGTAACATATACAGATCGTTTTGTAAAATTGTTAACACAACATGGTACAAGTCTCTCAAAGAGAAATTCCTCCTGCCATGCTTCAAAGCTTTCAAATACGAAATCAGTTTTCAGAGTGAAAATATGGAGCACATTCGCGGAATTGGATTTGACTACAATAATTTACCAGGTCTGTGTGGATGGGAATTCTAGGTTTAGAATAAAATTTTACCACAATGAGGTGACTTAAACTACCTGAACTGTGTTACTGCAAAGCAAGAGGAGCGCCACTGACAAGAAACAACAACAGCGATTCATTATGCAAACTCAAGTTTTGAAGCAGCCTGCAAAATGCAAACTCATCATACGTCACGTGGTTTTGTACACTCCATGACACCACCCTGGTAATTAATTTATTTTACTCAATTCCCTTTAATGTGATACAGGAAGGTATCATGTGCAGTCTGAGTCATTGTCAATTTATTGCCTGTTTGACAAAACAGGTACTGAGTTAATACAACTTAATTAGCAGAATAAAGGCCACCATTACAAAATTATTGTTTGGAGTTAAATAAAGCACAAAGCAATAAAAACCAATAATATGTATGTTCTGTCCAAAGTGAGTATTTCGAACGCTAAAGGTTGAGCTATTTTCATCAAACTTTATCACGTTGTACAGTAGTTATTCCAAACAGAAGAACAAACTATAACAACTTAAGGACCGCTGCCTGAGGGGTGGGGTGGGAGAATTTTAGTTGTGTCACGATAAAATTCACCTATTCCACCCTAAAAGCTCTGTAAAATTCTTATGACTTCCCCCCCTCTTAATGGCAGTTAATTTGGAGATAACTTTTCACAGTGCCCCCTTTATACTCTATCGGCGATGGTTTATTATTACATTAATCGTCGTGGATACACGTAAAAATCATTTCATGTTTGTTATTTCAATTTTCATTATAGCACCCCCAAGTAAGCATTCTTAGCTGGCTACTTTGTTGGAGTTTTGAGTGGTGCAGTCACCTTTAATATTTCTATCAATGGATCAGAAAACTGCCAGTATGGCAGGTTTTTACCCAACTTTCGGTTTTCATGAGGTAAGAGTGGTACGAAATTGCTAAGTATGTAAATTGATCCTGAAATCAATTTTCTTCTGTAGATGATGCCCCTTATTAATCTCTGCCTCCGTTCCTCTGAATCATGAATGTGGTAAATGTTTTAAATGACTCAGTTGTCACTCTTTCGTGTTTTCCCTTTTAAGGGGTCTGAAAATAGGATAAAAAATGATTATCAATCAATATGATTTGATTTCCCCTAAATCTTATGAAATTATGGAGTAACAGCTAGATTATTACCTGTCGCTCTTAAACTGCAGTGCACTAAAGGAGTAGTCTTGTACCCAGACTTTCCACGGCAAAGCAGTTGTAAGGTCCCTACATTTCAGTAATACAGTAGGATCTGGGTATAAGATATGATAAACGACATGCCAATTCACTGATTTTTGTAATTGGTTGCAACAGCTTTGTTTTCAGGCTGGAAAAACAGTCGGATGATTAAATGAAACGACAAGCACATTAAATACAGCTGTTCAATCCGGACTCTATCACCGAATGCGCTTGTTAAGTATTACACATCACCTCAAGGAACTCTTAGGTGGAAATTACAGTTAGCTATTGACATGGTGATTTTAATGTGTGTATTTAAAGATGTTAATAAGTATTCTAAGGTTTCGTAAGTCTCACCAACTATCATAACTCCGTAATTTGAACAAATGGCACTGATTCGCTTTCCATTCTGAAAAAAAGGGAACAATGGAAAAATTGGTCTCCCAGGTCTTGAAAAATAGAAAGGTGTGCTTCTCTTTGTGTTGCCATGGCTGCCTGGAAGCCTTGAGCTCTTTCAAGTATTCCCCAGCACAAAACTGTATATAGGAGTGTTTCTATCAGCATGGTTCTTCTCGATCCTTGATACCACTCATTATTTTGTTACCTTGTTCTGAAAAGGAATACTGTGAAAACTAGGTGTCTCCGCTCAAGAACAAAACTGTTGTGACTTTTGTCATCCAGGGCTTGATCAAGCCTTGACTGCTTGATCTAGATTTCCCGGCCAAAGAATTCTTAGATTTCACTCCATCGCCACTAATCCAATCCTTCACGGAAACAAGACTAGGCCATGTTCACTACGCTTTCAACCCAAGTTGCAATCTAGCTAAGTTGAAATTTACCCAAAAAACTCACGAAAAAAACCGTGTTGAATTTGTCGCTAATCAATAATATAATTTTCATATCCGTACCTCAAATAAACCGAATCGTCTAATACTCCATTATCTCTCCTTCTCTTCCTTCGCAAAAAAGAAATCAAAACATTAAACAAATCAAGAAAATGAAAAAAAGTTTTACATTACTATTTTTTTCACGATAAGTTTTTTTTCGTTATGATAAATTCTTCTTTCTTGTCTCCAGTTATTGTTATGTCTGCATCTATGGGCTTATTTATTATTTGTGCACCAAAAAAATTGGTTCTCAATTCAGACAAAGCAAGAACGAATGATAACTGCACTATCATAGCTCTTACCTCTTCCAGCAAAAAAATGCTCCTATCAGCAGGCTTGCTAAACCAATAGTGGATACTATGGGAACGACCACTGCCACCACGTTAACATCTGTGGGCAAAATAGATCAAAGCGCTCTGTGAGCAAACTCGTGAATTGACACATGACTTTTTAGACTATGTTTAATGTTGTCTGGTTTAGGGAATTTTGTGGTTGATTGTCATATCTAGAGTACGAGCAGTAGTTCAGTGTTCGCTAATGTAGCAAAGAAACAAAGTAACGTTGGGATAAGAAGGCATTACAATTGAAATGATCATGCTATTACATTTGACAAGGTGGATGATGTCATGTGTTTTAAACGTCTATCATTTTTGTTTCTGTTTCAAAAGAAAAGGTTGGAAGTAAATGTGGGTGAAAAGTGAAATTTACTTTCTTTCGTTGTAAATATTAGAAAATCAAGGCAATACTGTCTTAATGAAAACATTAACGATTCCCTCTTTATCAAATGAGACAAACGGGAACGAGTTTTGAGTGATATAACTAAGCCAAGACTGCCACCGTCATTTTGGATCTCCGCCTGGGTAGATTTAAGTCACGTGCTAGGCAACGTATAATCAATAACAAGATAGAATTCCTTTCAGGCCTATTTATCAATTTTGTGGTGTGTAACTTTCGCATTTTAGTACGTTGTATGTATGTTGAATCTTCAAATTGTCTTGAAACTTAAAAGAAAATTGTTCTTTAAAAATTCACTGAATATCGGTAGCTAAAATTGTTTGTTTAGGTGTTATTTGATTTTCGTGTTAACTTGTTATTTCGTCAGTCGCCTGCATCTTCTGTTACTTTACACAGGAAAAACACACGCGACGAAACGTAATGATCAATTTTGTCCTCAATCTCACGCTATAACAGAAAAAGCTTTTGAACATCTGTAAACTCCGTGCGCTTCGCAGTAAGTGATATTTTCAATGAATCTTCGGATTTTTTTCAAGTTCAAGGATTGTAAATTACAATTTTATGAAAAACGAAGGTTGTTCTGTTATTTCAGTGTGAATCTTTGCATGCCTGCCAGTCGCTGGCGCCGCTTGTTGAAACTAAAACGAAAAAAAAAACTCTTTTAAGATTATCATTGGCTTCTTTTTCACCCCACCACTATTCTTAGCAACAAAGGTCGCCATTTCGTCTGTTTATTGCTCGCCAAAAACTATCAAATGCACTCAAAAGCCTAAAATCTAAAAAAAGTTTACAGGAATCGACCAATCGAGCGAGCGAATGCCATTCCCCACATCGTATCTATAACTCACTCTTGCGCATGCGCGCAATTCACGAGTTAAAAAAGGATTATTACTGATAATGCTGACTTAAATCACAGCAGATGATATAATGGAAAACGACCAGTTATTGCGTTTGTATGTGCATGTCCATCTAGGGAAGTAATCAAGAGAAAACAGAGATGTCAGAGGTTCAAAAAATTAATGAACGTGTGCTGCATCGACGAGCGAGTGAAACAGTTGTGAAAGTCGATTAGCCGCCGTAGCAAAGTGTGTTTTGCTGACGTTTTAGTATTAGGTCTCAGTTTCGTGAAAACTCTCCATTTGATTCGGGCTGAATGTTTAAAAAAAATCCAACCTTCATTTTTCTGCTCTGTGGCTTTCGCTGTCTGTGGTTCTCTAAAGGGCGTCTTTACAGTTGTGTTTGCCAGTGAGTGAAACACTTTAGAAATAGCTGGGATTGGTTGATCCGTCGCTTCTGGCGTTCGTGAGGTCTTACAGCAAACAGCAGATGAAAACGCAATCTTAAGAGAATGCGCAGTTGTAGTAAAACCAAAGTAGGACAAAGTAGGCGAAGGCATCACTTTGGGTGCATGTAACATAGTAGTTGTTACACTGGAAGCTAGGTTTCAGAGCAAAGGACAGAAAATGGTGATAACGAGTCAGATTCTTTTCCTCACACTGGGTAAATGCCTCAGAGACTACTGAAAAATTTAATTACGCGAATTCTTCTTCGATAGTACTCTATTTATGACATTCGACCAGACACAGTATGCAACATGAATAAAGGGGTAAGTTTCTAGAGAAACTGTGGTGCTGCGTCGGTGGGAGAGTATGGCAGGTAATTTATGCAACATGTGCACTTATCAATGACTTGAAAGTCCAGAGAAATTAAAATTGACTTATATTTGGCGCATGGTGCCACAAAGGCAAACACTGAGTATCACTCTAACATCACTCTTATTTCAGCGTGTGGCATATTACTACCATTATTAATCGATCTCGTTTCGTGAGGACTTACTTTTGAGGGTAGTTAATTCAACTTTGGATGACGTCAATTCCTGAGCGTCTGGAGAGGTCGCCGTTACACCAGGCAGTAGCGTCACCTCATAATCAGATGTGCATGAATTGGTGGTTTTAACATCAACGGCTAGAAAAGGAAATATCAGTATCGTTGTCATCATTTATATATGTTCCTCATTATCACCACACTTACGCGGTTCTTGAGGTCTTACCTCTAATGAAAGTAGCCACAATGCTAGATGACGTCACTTCCAGGGTTTTTAAACTGGTAGAGGACACTTCAGGTGATGGAGTCACTTCATGATCAAATACGCTTGAATAGATTGTTACAAAATCAGAAGCTAGGAAGGAAAATACCAGTATCGTTTCTATTATTTACGTATGATCATCATTATTACAATGCTAACGCGATTCTTGATCGAGGTCTTACCTCCAAAGGAAGTGGCCACAACGTTAGATGACGTCACTTCCAGGTTTTTAAACTGGTAGAGAACACTTTAGGTGATGGAGTCACTTCATGATCAGATATGCGTGGATTGATTGTTATAACATCAGAAGCTAGGAAAGCAAATATCAGTATCGTTGTTGTTATTTATGTATGATCATCATTATTACAATGTTAACACGATTCTTGAGGTCTTACCTCCAAAGGAAGTAGCCACAACGCTAGATGACATCATTTCCAGGGTTTTTAAATTGGTTGAAGACGCTTTGGGTGACGACATTACTTCATGATGAGATGGGATGGCGGTTGTAGTACCGGAAGCTAAAGAACGGTCGGATAATGTGGTCAAAAGCTGCTAAAATTATATAAAAATATTGCAACAATCCAAGACACTTAGACACAGCGGACGTGTTTTTTAGATGATGTTCAACCTCTACGAGAGAACAAGTCAAATTATTAAGCTCAAGTATGTAAAATATCAAATAAAAGTTTTTAAACGGAAGATGTGATGGCGATTTAGATTGATTGGTATACTTTCAAACTATCATACATCGGTTAGAATACCCTGATAAACTTCAAACACTTACGTATATCAGGGACAGCACGATAGTGAGCACTGAAACCGGTGTAGGAATCTGTATCGTCTGATTTGAATATTAAAAATAAACTGTTGCACGAAGAATAGATTCCTTCCTCTGGTGGAGGATGATTTCCATAAAATACACCCAACAAGTGCCCCCTCTCATTTTTTCCATCGTACACATATAGCTCGTCTGTGTTTTTCTCCTTTTGTAATTCGAAGGTCGCAAACTTTAGATGAACTTGAAGTGGGTAGTGTGTAATTATCCTCCAGGAGCAGTGCTGTTCATTTGCATATTTCTTCGGATAACCTGGCGATTTTATTGTGCCATTGTTTGACATTAGAGTTTCGTTGCAACCTAACCAAAGTGAAACAACTTAAACTGAGATCCCATATGCAGAAATTAAGAACTGAATAAGTTATGTTTTTGGGTATCCTAGAGTACATTTTAAGTCATGTGGCATTAACCACTTATTCTACATCAAATTTAATTTACTGTTTAACCTACCCATTTATTATTGTTGAATGAATCTGATTTTCTTACCCCGATAGTAACAATAATAAATGGTTAGTTGCTTGTTTCCTGCATCGTATGGGAACGCCCCATCAGCGCTGTCTTGGTTATCGGAACTAGATGTAGAAAAATATATCCACTCTAGACTCACTACTGTCCACTTGACCATCTGGCATGTCGACGAATTGTAGGCAAGCAGGAAGAATGGAGACTTAGAGGGCAGGAGAACAGAGTTATTCTTGTCTCTGTCCGTTTTGCAACAAAAATAGATCTGCGTGTACCGATCATGAAAAAACTCAAAATCAGGAAGTGCCCCAGATTGTCTGTCTTTGTTATGAAAGGAATTATCGTCATCATTCCAGAAAACATTTCCTGGCATCAATCCTTTCGGGCAGTGTTTATCTTTTCGATAAATACAGTATTTTCCTAAAAGAAAAGTATAAGATGATAAGTGATACACATTCGTTGAGATTATGAGGACATAAAAGAAAGATGATGCATATACATATTTTTAAAATTTATTGGTGAGTTAAACAAACAGCTATGTCTATGACTATATGGTGTCAATGTAAATAGTGATGAGACTAAGCGTAACTTAATCGCGTTCTGAGCTTGAAAATCAAATGAGACCAAATAATCATAAACACGAACCTGCTGGCCAAGCTGGTCTATGTTCGTCGTCAGCGGTTGTATCTTTGATACAAAATGACCTGTTCACGAAGATCTTATTTACAAATCCGTCAATATGGAATGGCGTCGACCTTGAATTGTTTGATTTGTCATGATCTCTGTAATCAGTGGTGTCTTGAAGAATCCATCCTTCTTTCCACCGAAATCCTTCGGCTGAAGGACACCCGGAGACAGGTTTTGGTATTCCATATTTTCCAGCTGGCCAATCAGTGGCTTAAATAAAAGAAGACAGGCATGAAAAGCTGTTATGACATTTGCAAGAAGCACCCAAAGGCTTATACTGTCGCTAAATGAAAAGAAAAGTTAAAGAATGCTCTTGCCTCGAATAAAAGGCGACCGAGCATGCTTGCTGATCAGGCATTTGGTCGTTGTTAAAACCTTGATGGCATCTTACACTTAACATATAACATCGACACTTTGCGGAACTTACATCGCACTGCCAACTTGGATAAACCAAGCCATTTGGACGTGTTACCTCTTATATCTTGCCGTTTTCCAAAACATGTCTAGATTATATTGTCACGGCACTGAATAGGCCAATCCAGTTGTGATTCGATGAAAATAGATCATTTTTTAGAACATACAGTTAATTTCTTGTCTATAGAATGAATAGATCTGCCATGAATTCAACTTGTGGAACCATTTGACCGAAGACGTATTCAGGATTCGATTTCTTTTTCTATTGAAAGAAATACTCGTCTTGTTTCTCGGTTTTTCAAGAATGTATCCGCCGCTAATAACCTGATTAAATTCTAAACTCTTAAAGCGATAACACAAGTAGCGCATTAGATAATGTCTGGCTTCAACAAATGCATAATAATGCTGAAATCATCTTACGCTTCCTTAGAGTTTTAAACAAGACAAGTTGACATGTGTGTTACAAACGAAATGAAAACCCTATTGCCTTTGTAATAAAAGGCTGTAGGGAACTCAGTTCACTGGATGAAGACGACTATAATTGTCTATGATTTAGTGAAAATGTTTGAGTCAACTCTAAAATTGATTTTATCATTGCCATCAAAGTATGCTACACGTATTATTCTATCTGGTTTCGTAAGGACTTGCTCTTAAAAATAGTTCATATAATACAGGATGACCACACTTCGAAACTTTTGTCGATTTGGGGGAAAAATCAAACAACAGTTTCCCTTCATGTGCGTAAGATAGCTTTTGCATTAGAAGCTTGGAAAAAGATACTGAATCGTTATTATTTCTTATAAGTTATAAGTATTATATCATTTTACCACAGCAACTGAAAACTTACCTCTAAAAGGAGTCACATCGTTAGATGATGGCGTCACCTCCTGATCACATGTGTATGGAGCTGGGGAGGGATCGGATAATATAGTCATAAAGTGCAAAAGAGATATGAAAATAGCACAACAACTCAAGAAACCGTAATTAATGGTGACTTTATCATCATTGTTATTATTATAATTATGTTCCACTCATGCAAGAGGGCTTTAGTATGAAATATAACTTTCAAAGAAAATTAAGTTTTAATCAAACTAATGAACAAAAATTGGCACTTCAAGAACTTTTGTAACAGTACAAATACTCAAACACTTACATTTTTTATTGACCACACGGTAGAAAGCACTGAAGCCAGTGTAGGAGTCTTTATCGTCGGATTTGAATATTAAAAACAGACTGTTCCATGTAGAGAAGATTCCTTCCTCTGGTGGATGATGATCTCCATAAAACACACCCAACAAGTAATCTCTCTCATTTTCTCCATCGTACACATATACCTCATCCGTGTCTTCCTCGTTTTGTAATTGGAAGGTTGTGAACTTAAGATGAACTCGTTGTGAGTAATGAACAGTTATTCTCCAAGAGCAGTACTGTCCACTTGGATACTTTTCCGGATGAAAAGGCGATTGAAGAGTGCCATTGTTGGAGTTAAAAGTTTTGTTGCAGCCTACAAGCAAAAATTACGCACTTATAATTGAGTTGCTGTCGTGACAAGAGGCCTGCACGAGAAATGATAGAAGTCTTGCACCGTATTAATTACATGAGTGGAAAGCACGCACCTTTCGACAGTCAAATTTGAACTTTCTTCCAGAGTTTCAATTCTCAGTGTAACTCACGATATGGACTAGCTCGTTTTATGACACAATACGACACCTTTACGCATGGTACTGCATCCATTTTCATGTACTATGTAACTTAAATTAACAACTCCAATGATAATTAGGATAGCAAAAACCTTTCGTATCGTTTCAGTATTTTATGCCATGTTGAAAATTTAAGTAACTTGACATTTTCACACGATTATGCTGTTTTTCTTACCCCGATAGTAACAGTAATACATGGTTGGGTGTTTAATTCCCGCATTGTATGGGAACGCCCCTGTTGCGTTGTCCTGGTTATTAAAATTAGATGTAGAAAAATATATCCACTCCAGACTCACTACTGCCCACTTGACCATCTGGCATGTCGGCGAATTGTAGGCAAGCAGGAAGAATGGAGACTTAGAGGGCAGGAGAACAGAGTTATTCTTGTCTCCGTCCGTTTTGCAACAAAAATAGATCAACGTGTAAGCCTTATTAACAAACTCAAAATCAGGATGTGCCCCAGCTCGTTTGTCTCCGTTATATAAGGAATAATCGTCATCATTCCAGAAGACATTTCCTGGTGTCAATCCTTCCGGGCAGCGGTTATGTTTTCGATAAATACAGTATTTTCCTAAAAGAAAAGTACAAGATGATAAGTGATACACATTCGTTGAGATTATGAGGACATAAAAGAATGATGATGCATATTTTTTAAGTTTATTGGTGTGTTAAACAAACAGTTATGTGTATGACTATATGATGTCATTGTGAATAGTGATGAGACTTAGTGTAACTTAGACCATCTGTGATAAGTGATACACATTCGTTGAAATTATGAGAACATAACGTTAGTTGGTGTGTTCAATAAACAGCTTTATCTATGGCTATTTGGTATTAATGTGAATTGTGATGAGATTTAGGGTAACTCATTTGTTTTCTGACCTCGAGTATCAAGAGAAACTAACCTGCTGGCCAAGCTGGTCTATATTCGTCGTCAGTGGTTGTATCTTTGATACAAAATGACCTGTTCACTAACATCTTATTTACAAATCCGTCAATATGGAATGACGTCGACCTTGAATTATTTGATTTTTTATGATCTCTATAATAACTGGTGTCCTGAAGAATCCATCCTTCATTCCACTGAAACCCTTCGGCTGAAGGACACCCGGAGACAGGTTTTGGTATTCCATATTTTCCAGCTGGCCAATGAATGGCTGTGAATTAGACGGGACATGCAATGATAGCTCTTTTAGGATTTCTAGGAACTACCAATTAGTCTATGCTTTTCATTAAAGAAACAGAAAAGTCAGATGATACTCATGCCTGGAATGAATGTTGATTGAACATACTCGTTGTGGCTGATCTATCAGGCATTTGGATGATGTTTCATTTTTTCATTGGAAGTATTTTACACAGGAGATATCACCACTAACACTCGGTAGAAGTCACATCGCACTGATATATCTTGAATAACCCAAAAATGAGGTGGAATTTATAACACGCTATCTAGATTAAATTGTAACGCTACGCTACGCCTGAATAAGCCCATCAGGATAAATCGATGAATGTAGAACAGTGTCTACAGCATACAACTAATTTTCGTTTGCAGAATAAAAGCATTAGAGATAAGTTCAACTTTCGGATACGACCGAAGAAGAATTAAGTTCGATTTCTCCTTACAGTGCAAGAAATTCTTATCATGTCGCACAGTTTTCCGAGAATGCGACCGTAAATAGATCACTGCAATTGAATTCTAAACTAGTACTCATTTATCCAAAATTTACCATTATTTCAGGCAGGAAAAGCAAGAAGTTTGACAAAACGCTTATGAGTCAATGAAAAGCACTAAATGCGAATTTAGCATTGTACTTAAAAACAACCCTCCAGCCCCTTATACCAAGACACAACATGATCCAACAGGACACCTATGAAAGGTAAACAACCTACTTCACTTAGATCCAGTTTGCCACAGTGTTTTGGTTACCTTGAGTTACCTAATTTCGAAGTAAGTACTTGTCTTTAAGTCCGGGGAGGATTCTTAAAGGATCTAGAAACAGCAAGTCACGCTCAATGTTTGCTTTCAATACTTCGAACGATCTTCGCGAATATCACTTCACAACAGTGTGGTCCTCTAAGAGCGATCATGCAGCTAGCATACCTGATGATTCTAGGCTGTAAAGAGTTGTTATTAAACATAACGACCGCCACAACATTATATCCAGACTGAGGTTACTGCACGGTTAACTGATTAACGGCTTTTCCCGGTGAAATGGATGAAGAGACTGAAGAACAGCGTATTTCTGCCGTCATCGTCTTTCAGTTTCTCAGAATTATCATTGCAACGAATTTCATTTTGTGTTACCTACCGCTTGACCTTACCGCCCTATAACTATAAGGCTGTAAGAAACTCAGCAGAAGGCAAGTATATTGGAGTCGAAATCGTTTTTTTCAATATGCAAATAGTCGATTTTTTTGTGAAAGGCTTACAATAATGTGTCACGTCAGAATCATTCTCGGGGTTATGCCTTTATGCCGGAGGACAACCGAAAAGTACTAGAAACGAATTTTGGGATCGGGCGGTTTTCGCGGAATTTGTCGGACTATTCCAATGACATAATTTGCGATTTGCAAACAGTCAGGCGACGTTCATGTAAAACACAAAGACATTTTTATTTGCCTTACATGTTCAGAATAAAACGTGGAGAGTAAATCATGCACTTTGATCTTGTCCCTCTGGCAGGTAAGATCTTAAATGAGTTAGGAATTACTATAAGCTGAAGGGACAGCTTGAACGTGATATGAAGTTAGCTAAATTTTATTTAAACCATTTGACCTAACTTCGTTTTATACACCAGCTGTCTCTCGGGCTTGAAGTGTTTTCTGTACGGTGGCTCACAACCGCCATGGCAATAACAAATATCTCACGGCAAAACCAAACAGGAAAAAGTTCACGGCAAAACTAGAAGGCCTTTGGTTTTGCCGTGAGTCTTTTGGCTTTGTCGTGAGCATTTGGGTTTTTAAGTGAGGTATTTGTTCTTGCTGTGAAAGTTGTGGGCCATCGTATCTCTGTGCCATTCAAGATCCCACCCGCGGCCAGAGAGACAATAACAAAGAAATATTCCCGTTGAGTGATAGCAACGTAGTGCAGGACCAGAGAGATGTAGAAAAGTATTCTACGAATCAAGCCGTGAAAAAACAGGGCTAAGTTGACTATTTATGCAAGCTGACGCTCTCGCCGGTAGTACTGTATTTTTTGGTCCATCCAAGATCTCGAAAGATCTCACTAGTCACGGGACAAGATAGACAAATTGAAAGAAACTTTGATTTGAGGATATTCCGAGTTAATAGCACAATGAAACAATGTCCTCAACGACGAACGCTGTCAGATGTTACCGACCCTCTCAAACAGCGTAACAGAGTGATCAGACGTGTTATCATTCTCGGAAGCATACTGATCTCTTAATCAAGGATGTTGCTATCCACGGGAACTGTTAAAAAATAAAAATACATGTTCCTGATGACATCCGTCCGTAGCTGTTTTCGTTTTTCACCCGAGGTCAAATCGTACGTGATGAATCAGTTCAAAGAACTGATGTCAAACTCAAATCAATTATTAACTTTTCACTTTTCCTCTGAGCTTTTGTCAGAGTGTTCTTCATTTTCAAGATTGCAAGGCATGAAAATTCCAACCAACTTCTGGGCGTTTGATTTAAGCCCCAATAATCATCGAGTTTAACTTGATTCGAACTGAGAAATTATGTTTCAATCGAATGGAAACGTGATACATATTAAAAGCACCAACTCGCAGAGGAAGTTGGCGGGTTATAGTGGCAGCAATAACGATTATTGAGGGTTATTAAACCTCTTCCATGGGTGAAGGTTGTAATCCAATTTATTTTCATTTTTTTTTATTTCTTTGTCTCTCTCCTGTAAATTATCATCACAAAAGATGGATTGGACCCTTACCTCTGGTCACTGAACTCTGCACTCAAACCCTCCCCCCTGACAGTCTTCATTTCTTCCCACGATGCTCCACCTAAAATATTGTTATCTTTCCCTATTATTAATCAACAGTTTTGAACATGGCAGTAGGATGTAGGGTCTCAGTACTTACTGAAAACAACACAACAGCTGTAAAAGGCCTAGGTCTGCCTTTGTATATATTTACCAGTTTCATTCAACCAAATGCCACAAATAATTCAAAAGTGACACTTTTATTGCTATTTGTGACAACAACCTTTTGTAAACCTGAGTCAAATGTCTTATCCATGTTACATCTGTGTGTAATAAAAATGACAAATCCATGTAAATGTCCATTATCTCACTTTGTACCACTACTTTCTTTAAATTTCATTTTATGCTCTTGTAATTGTCATCTTAGGCAATTCATATAAAACAAAAGTATAGCAGAGGCATCTGAGTTTTTCTGAATGTCTTCTTTTTAAAGCTTAAGAATTCTTGTTCATCTAGCAAGTATGTTGAAATATCTGCAGGAAGATAAGACAAAAATTATGATTCTTGGAAACAGCTGAGGGAAAGAATTTTTTCACTAAAATCAAAATTCTTTCTTTACATTAAATTGAAATCATGAAAGTTTGCTGAGTGTGATGATAATGAGATATAAAAATGCAGCACTGGGTCTAAAGGGTTCAACCTAAGCCCAGCCATTTGAAAATTTGCTTGTTCTTTACAAGGCAGGTATTTTGCCAACCTAATGGCTGTTAATTGTCAGCCCATCTTTTGTTTTTACTCTTATGCCATCCTCTGACCTGATCTGTTTCTAATGGTGATGTCATCCATATAAGGCAGCAGGTTTCAAGTAAAAATCTGAAGACCTTCCATTGTCCTTGATCTCATCCTTGGGGTCTCCAGTCTGGCCATTGATATAAGATGCTGAATGCTGTCTGGGTTCATAGCTGCTTGTTCCATTTGGTTGGTTGCTACAAGCTACAAAGGACACAAAAAATTGCTCTGCACAATCATTGTCATGAGCATCATGGTCAAATTCTCTGAGTAAAAAAAATTATGTTGCAAGTTTATATAGAGAGTGGTGAAGAAACTCTTGACCCTGTACACCCCAATATCAGTATGCATATTCTCATTGCAGTTCTCTATAAATTTTCTGAGGTGCTCACACAATCAAGGTGCTAAACAATCAAGGTGCTCACACAATCAAGGTGCTCACACAATCAAGGTGCTAAACAATCAAGAGCTTCTTTCATTGGTGATAATTTCCATTATTCTCATGACCTTTACACTTGGTTAAATTATGATAATATAGGGAGAAATTCAATGCTGGTCACTCTCAGGGGTCAGTCAGCTAAGAAAGTAATACTATAAAGAAAAATAAATTAAAACAAACACAAAATGGTTCACTGAACAAAACAAGATTGGAATTCTCAGAGACAATGGCACGTTCTCTGTGTTTATGTTAGGTAAGAATAGGTTCATCCCACCAAAAACATGAAACAGATTTTTTAAAAGTTATTCAATTGATTAAAAAGGCTTGCTATTACCCATATATTTATGCAGGTCTTATATTTCCCCAAGAAAGGGGGGGAATACTCAGGCCAATTGCTGATTATTCAGAACCTCTTCTTAATAGTCTCTTCTGTGGCGAGTTATAGACCTCATCATAGTCAGTTTTGGGCTAATGTAATTTTTTTATCCCAACTTAGTCAATTCCTGTTTGTGTATCTACCTCATGATAACACCTCTTACAGGTCATCTTGTATTGCGAGCTGATTATTATATATCAAAACAACAAAACCACAAGTCTTCCCATAATTAAATTCCTATTTTCTAGAGTTTTCTTTTCCCCTAAAGCTGGAAAATGTGACCCCATTCGAGTAACTCTGTGGAAAATGTAACCCTTTTATACTCAATTCAGTCATGAATATACAACCCAATCCAGCTGCACATACCCATGAGACTATTACTAGGAAGTACCCCCCTGAATATTGTTAGACCAATTTGTTGACATTATTATGCCTGGACTAAATTTCTCATGTTGCCCCATTTTATCACTTCACTTATTGCACAATGCATGTCCATTGTACTACTTGTCTATGCACAGTGAGGTTTATCATTTTATTGATGTCATCCAATAAACACACTTTCCCCTTAAAGCTGTGAATCCATTATTTTTATATGAATATATCGATTTAATCCGGTGAACACCACCAGTCCCCTCCCCTAAGGGATAGAAAGATAAAGGGCACCACAGGAAGTCATACACCTAATAAATGTTATCTTGTGTTCATAGTACAGGAGTTGCAATTGGCTTAGAGGAATAGCTGAGAGATTACTGTAAGAGAGAAGGGTCGTATAACAAGTTCCGGCCAATCAAAAAAAAAAAATAATAAACAGCCACTTTCTGTATCGTTTTTCACTTTTACGTGGTAGAACGAGGGGAATGCCAAATTGTGGCGACTTCCTAGGTGATTAAGCACATTGAATTAATGAATTAGGAAGACTCCGTAATGAACTAAACTTTGACCTGCCAGTGGCCGCACACGCACAAGCTTATGCAGTGCGATTGTACGAAAATCACACGATCTGTTCTCCAAAAGACGAATGTAGGTATCATACAACTTACGCATTTGGATCTCCGCAAGTAGGACGGTGAACTACTCACCTGAAAGAGAAGGCTGACACGATACAGTAACTTAAATCCACGTAAATATTGCATCAAGATCGTTTTGTTTTACAACTTGGGTCTCGACCAGCGATAAATCCGGGAATATTGTTTGTTTTGACAAGTCCGATTTTGTTTAGGAAAAAAATTCGCCCTGATGTCCAACAGGACTTCAGACGGAGAGTAGGTTGTGGGAGGGTCGCATTTGTTTATGTAATTGTGAAATACCTCTAGGGGGTACCGTATATTTACTAACAGCTTATTATGCCGTATACCCTCCAGGGCAAATTAGGGTTCCTTTAGACTCATCTCCACTTGTAACATCACTACTAATGGATTAATATCGCTATTAATGTTAGGGAATCTAACTAGAGGTACAAATCTTCAAAGAAACTTGGGGGAGAGCCTAGGGCATTGAAATAGGCGCCCTTTTTTATGGGTAACGGGGTGGGGCCAAGGTGGGGTTCACTGGAAGATCAGGGACGATAGTTAATAAAATCATTTGAATCATCACTCCATCCTATAAATCCACAAGGAGCCCTGGAGTAACGTTGTAAATCCACAGCATAACGACCCAGTCTTTAAATCTGTCACTTCTTTCGCGTGTCACAAGTCGTTCTCTGTGCAAAGTTCAAAGCGAGATAGTAAGTGTCGTTGGAGTCTCAACACCCTGAATACCAGAGTTCTGCGCGAAGCTTATCGAAGTTTGCCATCATTAAGCCTGAACACTTTTTTCCACAAAAATTTTTATCCCAAATAAACTCACCAGGTCCGGGAGGGTGGGGAGGGGGGGTAGAGGAAAACGACTTTTATATGC